TCGGCCAAAAAATGACGGAGTTGCGCATCATGTTGTTTAATGTCATGGATTGGTCATAGACATTTCCCCGACCTTTGACTGTAGGAAAATTCTTCCTATAGAGGACTTGCACGGGTCACGTGACTTTGTTACTGGACGGCAATAAAACAAAAACGTCCATTTGGCTCCTGCCAGTTGCAAGTCGGATTATACGTTTCCATTTTGTTTGGCTGTTGAAAATGGTTATTTCGTATTGTTCCGTTGGCTGTACGTATAGTATAGACAACGAAATGGATCTTCAGTTATATTCCACTGATTTCAAAAGATCCGGAACGTCGCACAAAGTGGATATCATCTATTGCCTATTGGCAGAACTGCTTGGTGTCAAGTCCAGAAGCCATCTTACTTGTGTTTCACTGTTTGCGGACAGCACTTCGTTGATGGTGAGTGATAATGTGGTGATAGTGTGCCGTTATCAATTTTTTCAAATATTCACAAGCTCCCTCATTTCAATGGAAAGCAGATGACAAACTACTGTTATTAGTAGGCCTTGGCGTGGGCCTACTTGCAGTTGCAGACTTGACTTGTGTAAGACAGTAAGTAATCAATAATCAATTGCTATAAGGTATTGTTTCCCTGATTAGCAGGTAATCTATCACTAAGTGTGAAAGGTTGAATAGATAACTAAAGTTTAACACCAGTGGTCATGCAAAAAATAACCAGAATTCAATTGAATTCGCCATCTAGGAATACGCTCGCTACCGCATCTCTGATCACCCTGGTAGTTTCACAGGTTCCCCCCCCCCCCCCCCCAGATAAATCCTGTTCTAATGGTGCTTGTACAACTGATCCAAAATGTCTTTTTATTGTCATTGGTAAATAGATATGCTACCCGGAATCAAATTCATTTACGACTAGTGGCTGTGGTGGGATATGAATATAAATTTCACACTCCTTGATCGTTAGATTTTATGAAAACTCTATCTGTATCCATTATCTTACAGATATGGTTGCGACCATGGAATAGATGGATGGCAAAGTATAAGTTGCAACAAGACCACAGTGGCACAAGACCTCAGCTTGCGTGACTTGATAATACATCCTAAGTATCCATTTATTGATGCTTATCGTAATGACAAAGTAACTTGTGATTACTGTGGATTGGTGGAGATAAAGTGTCCATTGTGCTTTAACGAAAGCAACTTCAAGACGACCCTATCAGGAAAAAAAATTGTTTCGGTGGGTCTGGTAGTGAAGGTTTCAGTCTAACGTTGGACACCGATACTACAACCAGATACAGTTGCCAATGAAACTTAGCGAGGCGTAATATTGCGACTTGGTGATCTGAAAGTAAATTCTGATGGGTAGCCGGCTAGCCGCAACCTTTTGTTTAAAGAATGTTATGAGATATGACTTAAGAGTCTAAACTTTCATTCGAGAGGGGTGTAACCCAAGCTAATTTGCAAATGGTATTCATGGTACCAAATGTATCACACACTTTACAGTAATTATAAATTATATTTGAAAAATAAAGCACATCAGAAATGTATTTTTAAAAAACAATTGGTTTTTATCTGCAGATACTAGGTTGATATTGAGATTGACCATTTCAATGCTAAATTTTCTTTAGTCAAAAGGCACACTTGATTCGCAAAGATTTGTGAATGCGCACAGTACACCAATTTGTCTAATGTTTTGATTCAATAGGCAGGAGGTTGATCGGTGCTGCTCAGGATGGGATATTTTTGCCTCTAAATGCATATTACGTGTTTCACATGAATCCATCGTGCTCAGATTCGACTGTTTTCAAGGTCTGAAGGCTCCAACAGCCTTATTTTATGGGTACACAAGAGAATTTTCAGTGTGGCATGCATGGGTCAGTTGGAGTCACTAACCTCAAGATATCTATAAGCAAGGATAAGATAACCTGGAAGTAACATTTCATAATTTAGAGTAAAAAATGTATCTGCCTCCACAGCCCTTTCAAATGGAAGATATGATGCCTCGGGGGTAATTTCTATCAAATATTTTACAGTATTATGGTTCTAGTGAAAAGGGGTGTAGGCGGCTTTTTTTAACGTGTGGTAGGTCTAGTCGAAAGACACATTAAATGTTTATTCTAACAACTGCAAATTAATATTGCAACGCATACAAGTTAACAGAATTTGTTGAAATGGTCCTGCCTTTTGCCTTTCTTAAAAATCCCCTCTTTTCTAGCTATTCTCTTCCTCTCTGGGGATGGCGAAAATTCAAATATCGATGGGACATATAAGCAGCTGATAATGGGTTATCTTCCCTTTTTCCTGAAAATAAATTAAACACTAATCATCATTTGACAGTGCCAAGTTTGTGTATCAGATCAGTAATAAATTACCTGCTAACTAACAAAACAATCAGACAACACCTTCTGACCATTAATGAAGATTTCTTTCAATTTAAAACGCAACTACGCCTACGAATGTGGGTAGTTTTAGGATAGAATTTATCTGTGGTTGGGGACAGATTGCAAGGTGCAACATCGTACGATTACCATTCTATGTCGGGATTAGTTAGCCAGTTATTTGTTTTAGAAGCATGGACTTGATGGGGGGGGGGGGGGGGGATGTCGTAATCGACCAGCGGTCGTGTGAACCACCCTCAGTGGGAGGAGAGCTGCAATCCCCTCGCACATAACTATCCCCGCATGGGATTGGAACCTGTGAAACTCCCAGGGGGATCAGAGATGCGGTGGCGAGCGTATTTTTAGATGGAGAATTCAATTGAATTCTGGTTTTTTTTGCATTATCACTGGCGTTAAACTTTAGTTAGCTATTCAACTTTTCACACTTACTAATGGATTACCTGCTAACTAGGGAAAAATACCTTATGGCAATTATTGATTAATACCTTACACGAGTCAAGTCTGCACGTAGGCCTCCGCCTAGGCCTACCAATAACAGTAGTTTGTCATCTGCTTTCCATTGAAATGAGGAAGCTTATGAATATTTAAAAAAATTGATAACCGCACATTATGACTCACCATCAACGAAGTGCTGTCCGCAAACAGTGAAACACAAGTGAGATGGCTTCTGGACTTGACACCAAGCAGTCCTACCAATAGATGATATCCACATTGCGCGACGTTCCGGATCTTTTGAAAACAGTGGAATATAACTGAAGATCCATTTCGTTGTCTATACTATACGTACAGCCAGCGGAACAATACGAAATAACCATTTTCAACAGCCAAACAAAACGGAAACGTATAATCCGACTTGCAACTGACAGGAGCCAAATGGACGTTTTTGTTTTATTGCCGTCCAGTAAACAAGGTCACGTGACCCGTGCAAGTCCTCTATACTTTACCATTGCAAAATTTTCGGTGCTCATTTTAAGAGTGGTTTCGCGAGTTGGAGCCTGTAAAATAAGATATTTGTTTCAAACTATCATTCTGATTCGTAGTATTCAACAATCTGTGTTTTTAAAGTACCGGTAAATAATTTTAGCCTAACCTATCATAGCTATTTCTACACTATTTTTTGATTACTGCAATTAAACTGAAAATCCTAACAGGACAAAGTGATCGTTATATTATTTTATTTATATTTAATTTTCCGAAACACAACTAAAAACTAACGAATAGAATTCAAAAAGGCGAAAATGAAGTAATGTTTACGACCACGCCTGAGTGAGAAAAGTGTCTGGGCGGATGTGAAAAGGGACATTGTGACCTCACTTTTGCATCTTGCTGATTGGCCAATGTCACGAAGGAAACAAGGAAGTCGATGCTCAGGGAAACATCCATTGTTGGAAATACACAACGCGCGCGGCGGTGTGGCTCATCGTGCTACGCGTTTTAGGAATACGCTCGCCACCGCACCTCTAATTACTCTTCGTGGGATCGCAGGTTGGAATCCCATGCGGGCAATGGTGGGATTAAGCCGATTCGCACCGGTTTTACAGAACCGTCGTCTCACGGAATTTTATGAGATCAGCGAACCGGTTAACATTACTGGTTACTGTCAATGTTCTGTTTGTAACAGAATCGGCTGAAAAATATGACTTTTGTGAAAAAACCGGTTGACAAAAAAATTGAATCCCACCACTGCATGCGGGGATGGTTATTTGCGAGAGGATTGCTGGACTCCTTGCCGCCATAGGGTGGTTCACGTAACCGCAAGTCCATACTTACGAAAACAAGTAACTAACTAATTCCATACTCGACATGGAATGGTTACCGGAAGAGAGGCCGTGGTTCGCCATATGGTTAAGCTGTCTCATCGGCTCTTCTCTCCCCCGGGACAAATATGTAAATTGTAAATCGTTCTTGACAACTCAAGAATATCTAAGGTCAAAGGTTATGAATTCTGGCGCCCAGTCAGTCGTCTGCTCGCACAGTGTTGGTGCCTGTTATTGCAGTATTATAATAGTCTAGTTTGAGTTTAAACCTTCCGCAAATCATGATTGTTCGAGTCGTTGTGGGATTAAAATACACAGGTCAATTACCACATTTTCATTCGTATCCGCTTATTTTTTATTTAATCGAACTGCGTTAGTCTCTTTTATTCGAGGATGAACGCCTTGGTTTGTAGACCGTTACCGTGCCGAATGTACCGCGCACTCACGTTAGCTTATAACGTTTAATGTGAGATATATAGGCCTAGTTTAACAAACGGGATACCGGTACTGCTACCGAACAAAATTGTAGTTTATAGTCCTCGCTTACTGTTTAGTTAAATTTGACATTCTACTGTTCTATTATCAGATCTATGTACCGGTACGGTAACGCTACCGGTAACTCACATATGATATCGTAGGCTATTGCTTAACTCCTTACAGCGTTACGATCATTTCACTTTCAATTCCATTTTACGCTTTTAGATCAAGTAGCCTAGTTCATAAACTCTACCAGTACATTGCAAATATTTGCTCCCACATTATGCAAGAGTGGTTCTAATAATTAGAATGTATGAAATGACTTTGTTTATTTTCTTGACCTGTTCTTAATTACGGGAATATAAACTTTTTGATTTTATTTTAGTAGACGAAATTAGTTAATATTTAGTTACTTTTGCCGACACATTGTTCATTTTAAAGTATGTAGATGACCTTGCAATCTGAAATACAGAGACGATAAGTCAATTATACCTATGACACACATCGAACAGAATATCCTGTTCAATGGAATAACAATAGTTATTATTAGTCACTTGTTGCTGCATGCAGAGGTATTGGGTAAGTGTTCATACAAGTGTGTGAAATAGTGAATACTAACAAAAAAAAATCCTTGTTATGAGACAATAGACCTGTATAGCCTAATGTGTAAATAGAAAATGATCAGAAAACTTATCATAGTGAATTAAATCGTGATTTATATGTAGAACCAATATTAGATTTTTACAACAATGCTATACTTTAATAATGACAAAATAATATATATTGTACAACAGGTATCTTGGAGTATAGCGATTCATGTCCAGGACGCTACGCAGATTTTGTATCGACTTACCCAAATGATACTGGAGTCTGGTCGTGTGAAAATGGCGGAACTACAGCTACAAGTATATGTAGTCTCGATTGTACACACCCTCATTTTCTAAATCCATATCAACCAAACCTCGTAATATCGTGTTTTGTATTATGGAGCACAATTACCAAGGAGGTTGTTGATGCACAGTGGTATAACTTGATACCATATTGTACACGTGAGTGATTGTCTTTTTTAGTATTTACTTGGGTTGTCTGATTACTGTGGCTATATGGATTATAATTTACTGCTTGCACTAAAGCAAATTAAATTGAATTCAAATTCTAATCTGTCAAAGTTTCCTTTTTACGATCTTCTCAAAGGAACAAAATTTGCTACACAGAGAATGACCATGTGGCTTTTTTACGCATAGCAGTTTTGTACACTGTACAGTACTTCTTACCGTGTTTCCCCGAAATTTAGACAGGATTTAAATTTATTTTCTTTTGAAAAATAACACTATGATTTTTTTTTTGGAAGAGGTCTTTTGAGTTCATTTATCAAAAATAAAATTACATTGTAGAAAATCACGAGATTTTTTAATAAACTTTATATAAAAACCGACATCCATTGTTTTTATTTGTATTTCCTATACAAAAATTGTGACTAATATCTTAATTGTGACTGTGACATCACACAATCTTGAATAGTGGTGCGATCTTCACCTTACCTCAGGTCATTGAACCTTTCCTCTCCCACACATTTTAAATTCATTTTAAGAGTAGGGTTTAATTAAAATCATTTTCAAAATTCAAATTAGGTCCTAATTTCAGACCAGGTATAATTTTCGAGGAAACACGGTAGTTTTACGATGATTAGCCATTGCTGTGTTCTGTGTTATGTCATAAAAAATTGGGTCGCCATAAGCTGTGGTAATAAATAGTGGGTCGCAACTCTTAAAAGTTTGGGAACCACTGGTCTATATATCTTCAATGTTCAGATGGTAAATAGAAGGGATTCCAGTGGTTGTTTTACTCTTTCAGGTTTTACTTGTAGGATTCCAATGGTGGAGGGCTTTGGAAATCCAATGCACTGTACTGAGGGAACAGTGACTCGAGAAGTCAAGGGGGAGACGACAAAAAATTATGGATACAATCTTGGAGTAAGGTGTACTATCCCCTGTCAGGGTGAATCATATTATACCAATGAGATTGAGTGCAGAGATCGTGGATATGTACATGAATTATATGATCAACAGGAGTCTGAATATGGGAATTGGGCAAGAGGAGAATGGCAACCTGTGGAACAGCAGTGCTCTTGTGAGACATTAAGCCTATATTTGCTTATTCAAAAAAAAGATTATTGATTAGATTCTATACATACAAGTTCTGTAGCAGATTCTGTAACTGCTTCCCTGGCAAAAACATTCTAAAGGCAAACAATACTAATTAAATTATTTTCTTTTCACACATTAGTTTAAAATTTGCATACATCAGGTTTCTAAATGGATTAGGTTTCCTAACCTGTAAATCCACTTTTTACTTCAATCTTTTATTTAACAGATGATCCATGTCCTGATATGATGCCAATGGTTGCGATTGAAAGTGATTTAATTTATCAATGCTCCAAGGGTAACCAGCTGTTTTCAGAATGTACATTTTCCTGTGAGCAAGCATTAGGAAAACGTGAAATAAGTCACACGAAACTTATTGTTTGCAAAAGGGATGAGAGTGGAATGAGTAATTGGAATGGTACAGTACCGTCATGCCAAGGTGGGGTTCCTTGAAATTATATTACATATTCAACCTATGAATTGAAGAGGTAGATATTTGTGATTGTTCTGAACATCAGGTTATATTCCATCATAGAAGTGATAGCGGTGGCCTTGCAGTCAAAGTTTTAAACTTGGCGTCAAAGATAACACGTGGGCCCTCACACTCACTCAGGGTATGTATTGCCAAACCCAAAATATCACGGTACAGAACATGAACATGATGTTGTAAATTTTGAGCAGAATGTATTCAAGATCGATCTAATTGATGACTTATGAATAGGAAATTGAGAACTACAGCCTACAGGCCTACAGCACACATTTGTTATAACTTTTTAGAGTTGTGTTACAGCTATTCCTTATATTACCATAGGTCGGTTTTGCAAATATCAATTATAATTACACCCTTCACCCCGAACAAGGTTGTGTACATATGGCCACTGATATGACCTAGGCTAGGGAGATCTTTAATATTTATTCAATTATAAAAGTCGGTGTTCTGAAGGTGTTAAACCTAACTTTGATGGCATTTCAGGTTAAAATTCCTGATTGCCAACCCCTTCAACTGTAATAAATTGGGTAGGTAATGTCGAACCAGAAAGATTCAGGTCCTACCTCATTGCCTTGCAATGGCTGCTTGTGCAGATTCTTGTTCATAGCAAAAGACATATAAATACGTTTTAATAAAAAGTACACTACTACTATTTATTTATTCCCTCATGGTTAGAAAATTCTAACCACCAATGGTATTTATTTTTTTTGTATTTGCAAGATGCTACTTCAAGCTGTGACCCCATACCTTTAAATTACGGCGAAAGAAAATATCATTGCACTAACAGAAATAACATTGGCTCAGTATGTAATATACTTTGTGAGACTTTCAGCTACCCTCATGGACCTCCTTCGATAGTTTGTACACATTCATACGAAGGCTCGAAATGGAAACCACAAAATCCACTTTATGTCAATGCAATGCCACGCTGTGAAGGTAATGGTTTTTAAATATTTATTCATTACACCAGCAGTTCCCAAAGTGGTTGCTGCGACGCACGAGTGCGGCGATTTGCAAAGTGCACCTGAGAAGAATTGTGTTAAACATTCTAAACCAGGGGTGTCAAACATGCGGCTCCAGAGCACTTCCAATGCAGCTCTCGAACGCTTAACAATATTTGTAAAATTTTGCGAATTTATTTTTTATTTTTTCGTGAAATGTGGCGGAAAATGTCTAGTCCGAAAAGTCAGTCATTTGTATTATTGTATTGTATTACTGAAATTAATCAAACATTCTCAATGATCCAGAATAACCGATGATCATGTGACCTCTTTAATTAGAGTTGGTTCTGTAAAATCATTTCAGCCTAATATTAGTGAGCTGGTGGCACAAAAGAGATGCCAAACGTCAGGACATATGTAATAAAAAAAACAGTTTATTCTGTAGTATTTTTGTAAATTTTAGGCTTATATATTTAGATTTAAGTGTTTTTAAGTGTATGTATTATTCTCTTCTTATCAAAACTTTGTTCAAGAATGTTTTGGATAGTTGTACATAAAAATTTATGATTTCTTGTAATAAATACAGTAAATTGCAATAATATTGAAGTGCAAAAAAGCCAAAAATTAATATGTGTATAAGGCATTTGAAATTCGAGAAGATACCAAAACTTCATTCGGATGTTCAATTGCATCACAAAATATGTCACAAACTATACCTATCTAAAAATTCAAGTATCGATAGACTTCAAGTATACATTGTCAAAATATATCAAAAACTATTTGCGACCCTTTGCACAATTCCCAAAATGCAATGCGGCCCTCGAAAACCCACGAGTTTGACACCCCTGTTCTGAACAATTAACATAGGATTAAATATTTTACACAGCCTATCAAATTTATAAATATTTTATTGTATTTTATTCAAAATGCTGTGTATATGATTCAATGAATTCATTTTACCTTTCTAAGTCGTTTACTTCATGTTACGAGTGACCGCCCTCTATTGTTACATAGCTGTTACGATACAGTTGACAAGTACACCACATGCCGCAATTTTTGCACTGCAAAATTTCGATCTGCAGTTTATTTATTTGCTGAACAGAGGTGATTTTTTTAGTAAACCAAAAAAAATCAGGCAGAAATGGGAAGAAGAGTTGAAGAGTTGACCCTGCTTTTTTATTTTTTAGGCTTACATGCTTACAAACTTTGTTTAAGTTTTATTTGGAGGCAGCAATTTTGTTTCTTCGTGTAAGTGCGCCATGATTTTTTCCCTCATAATTTTGAGCCGCACGAACAAAGCATTGTAATGAGTGGGGAAAGATTCAGAATACTATTATCTCTTTTATTTGCCTTGATTTGCCAAGACGTTATTTATTTCATGTTATATCGGTCAGTTGTGAAATATATTCCTTATCATTCAAAATGTTCATATGATAATATTACAGAAATAAAATGTCCTGATCCTGCATCTTTTCAACATGGAGATTTAGATTTTTGTGATAACACAGATATGACAAAACTACAAACCGTCTGCCTTTTTCGATGCCCTCGTGGTACTCGTGCACTTGATAATAAGAAGATTAGACTCAGGTGCTATCACACAATACAAGAACACTATGAGTTTTTAAATGATTTTACTGGATTTTTTGCACAGTGGACTATTGAAGAGTACCCATGTACAAGTTAGTATTGCTGCATTTTTGTGTATAGTTCGCTTGGAGAGAAAAATTGAAGCTAAATAAGATAGCACAGTGGGTCGTTGTATACTGAATACAGACTGAAGCAGGCCTTTGTATGAAACAGAATTGTGCAATGATGCCAAATTTTTTTTGTCTGGTTTTCGAACAATACAGTAACAAACATTACAGAGCCAATTGAGCTATATGTAATAAAAAGTGTTCCCTTTAATTAAAATAAAACAACCAAATTCTAGGTGAGATATCGGGTCCAATAGGACTCAGAAGAAATCTGAACAAAATAAAGTATTTGTATTAAAGTATATTAAGTTCTTCTATCTCTAAGTAATGGATATTTGAAATCGATTTATCCACTAGTTGCTGAAAAAAGCGATTTTTTTTTCTAAAATCAACAAGAATTTATCAAAACATCCACAGGCCCACTTCATGTCCTATAATAGTCTTTAAATTACCTATATCATGTTTTAAAACTGAAAAATTTTCATCTAGTTGCATACTGTGAGGAAATAAGTTCTGAAAGTATTGGCTCTATTGGTAGTGTTATGTGCTCTGGGAATAAATTTGGAGATGAGTGCCTTTTCTTATGCCCGGGTGGTTATAAGTTAGATTCTGAATTGAGGTGGTCAACATGTGATGATAAGGACCAGACTGCTTTCTGGAATCCACCTCCTCCAAACTGTATTCCACGTAAGTGTTAGATTGTTTATGATGATGATAAGGAATGTTTATTACTAATACATTGTGATACAAATATTCAATTGATATTAATAAAGGTATACGGTTCGAGCTCATGTTTGGTTATAGCTTATAAAAAACGACAGTTTATCAATGAATGAAGATCAGTGGTCCTCAAACTTTGATGATCTGTGACCCCCGGCCAGAAACTCTCAAACTTCCCCCTGCTCTTCTATAAATTTACCTAGTCTTACTTTTAACACGTTTTCATAAGTTATTTCATGCACCACGAATACAAAAAGAATGAATGCATTGCAGTTAAAGTGTTTAATGTACACGATTTTGCTGGTGGACCCCAAAGAACTGCTTCATGCCTTTCTAGGGCTGATGAGGGCCTCAGTTTGAGAAATATTATCTAGATTCTTATAACTTATCAGCTTTAAAATCTAGATTAAAAGACTTTGATTACTATACCCCAATGTATGTATGCATGTTGATTCACATCAGAAAACAGCATTTTAAAGTTTTTCCTCTCATACTCTTTCAAATGGTATATATCAAGTGCAGTGTAATAACTGAATATTTATAAGTTGAACAAATTTTCTAGTGCCGCCTCCCCCACCACATCCAGAAGCTGGAGTTCAAACTTTGTATCCCAGTGTCGTTGGTGAGATAGACAAAAAGTATTTAGCTTTCAAGGAGAATCTTACATGGAGCAGAGCAAAAGCATATTGCAGTGGTAATCAGTTAATTTCCCACTTACTGCGGATGCATTTGGAGTTTAAATAGAAATATTTTATTTTACACTGGTTGTCCTTTATTCTCTCATTTTCCCCCTATGCAAATTTCAAAAATTATAAATCTATCTCCTGATATTTCATGTTATATTTTCACTTCTACAAATATCTACCTATCTGAATAGATTCCATTTGAAGATATAGAAGCTACAGTTGTATTTTCAACTACCGGTAGATACAAGTTCTTTGAGTTATCATTATTATTTTTTTTATTTGAAAAGCTATGTGGGGAGAACTAGCGATGCCAAAAAATGAGGCTATTCACAATTATTTGTTGGGAATGATATCAGATATGCATTTACCAGATGATCCTCAGCAAGGTATTGAATTTTTTATTGTTTGTTATTTTTGTAAAATTTATGTTAGGGTGATAGGGATTCCCTAATCAAAATACTGCAATCTAAATTAATTGCCTTAAAATCTCATCCCAATTTTAGCATGCTCTTGTTTTACATTTGTCCCACCACGTTAGGGTATTTATGTAGGTATATATCATGGAGCAAATGGTTAAAAAAAGGTAAGCATATATGAAGTGAGATTCATTCTTTTTTCTGGACTGGGAAATATATATTACTATAGCAGAAGGTTAGAGTATTCTTATGAACTGAGATCCATACAATTGGTACAAGCGTGTATCACAATAACCTTTACGTTCTCAAATGTTTCGAATTTGTGTTTATATTCAGATATCTACTGTGATACATACAGGTATAGGTCATTAAAATTTCTCTTGTTTTGTAGTAATCACTTTCTATTTATGCTATTATATTGCTATTCAGGGGTTTGGATAGGAATGAGTGACTCCCAGTCTGAAAGTCATTGGAAATTTGTTGATGGAGAGGATGTTGAAAAGCCTGCATCATTTTTGGGTAAATATTTTCATTAGTGTTTGACATTGATTCCACTGGTATTTTCTTTGATTTGAATATCACTTCCAAATGCTCTACTTCAGGGGAAAATACGGCCCGCGGGCCGGATCTGGCTCGTGGCGTCCTTTCATCCAGCCCGCAACAACACGGAAAAATGGTAAATTTTTTTTTTCGATGAATTTGGTTGCGAGAGGAGGCCGTTTATCTTTCACTGTCATAGCGCAAATAAGGGGACTATGTGGAAATAATTTTAAAATGTTCCTCAGAAATTTAGCAACAAATAACACATTGTTCCCATTCCCAAAAGTTGCACGTGTTATGAAAAAGATGCTTTTACTACAAGAAATATGTGCTACAATCTGTCCTATATTCTCTGCTTTTCCAGCAACATTGGCCAATTAACACAGACTTCTGCATGACGTAACAATTAAAATTTTATCAGCTGTAGGCAGGCGGATGAATCTCAGTTTGTACTGCTTGCTCTCGCATTGGGTAGCCTTTCCATCGTCTTTTTTTAGTTACTTTTGTTAGGTTATGCTCAGACTGTGGTAAAAGGGGTAAGTAAGCTATTAAAGATTTGTTGATTATTTCTTACCATAGATAGCAATTTTAGTTAAGCTCCAGACTATATAACGTTGTTAAATAGGTACGGTGCTGTAACTTCAAGGAAGGCTAGACCTATTCTCATGCTAAAATGAACATCGAACGCATTTTACAAGTCATGTTAACTTCTGTACTGCTTACATGCAATTGTTTTGCTAATAGCTAACCACAGGATAGTTGTCTAGGAAATCTGGTATATTTGTTTTGCTATGATGTCCTTGATCAATATTCTGCGATATAGAATTTAATATTCAAGACTTCAGAAATGTAGAATTTATATTGTTGAATAAATTGAATAGATATCCGAAGTTTTGGAAATTCATTGTATTGTATTGACATAGTTTGAGTCATACCTGTCCCCCAGTCAAAAAAGTTTGATGACCCCTGCTCTACTTTCATAAGGTTGTAAGTCGTTTTACATGAACTATAAATACTGTAAGTCAGTGGTCTTCAAACTTTTTGAGACACAACACCATCTACAATATTATTACGTATGATAAGCACTCGCGACTCCAGGTTATATATATATGTTCACCTACAGACACGAAAAAATATTTATCAAATTAGGAAATTTATTGAAAGAACCCAACAACAACGATATTTAATCAGTGTGAAGAATGCGACTGCTTCCTTCCAACGAGATCTTGCATTCGTGGCTTGATGTTGCTCAAGCTCAAACGCAAATCGTGTTCTACGTTTAATCGATTTCGGTGCTTTGATTTTAGCAGACTCATAGCACTAAAAGTCAAGCTTTCAAAAAGATTGATTATACGATATTTTTCTTTTATATGTTTATCAGCCATTTAATAAATTGTAATTATCAATATGACGGTAGCCTGGAAAATGAGGCTTCGCAGTAAAAGCAACGGCCACTGTACAGCACATTTAAGACACAATAACGATTTACTTTAAGATATAAATTACTGTCGTTACGCAATAGCCTTATTATAAAAGAAGTCACTCCAATTCGAAATATCGAAACTTGCTAGCCTATGTAGCGTTATTCAACTTAACAGTGCAGACTGCACACTGTTGTGTATTTGTGTCATAGAACGCTGTTTTTCACACGGACTAAACTTGTGATTATGATGTCATAATTGATTTATCGTAATTGCTCTTGATATTACCTGTCTGCGTGCTTGTTATTCATTCTTTTGTTTGAAGTATCTAGCGTTAAGCCGGGAAGTCACACACATATTAAAAATAATAAAAGAAAAGACAACGATGGGCACTCGGCGACCCCAGAAATATTTAAGGCGACCCCACTTGGGGTCGCTACCCACACTTTGGTGATCACTGCTGTAAGTATATAGGAATCATAAAAACTACGGTACAAACCAAGTTCTTCGTCAAAGATCTTTTAAAGCAATATTTACAAGCACGTCACTGTCTCTCAACAATGCAATTAGCAAAATTTCTTATGTGCGATTCATGAAATATCTTGCAAACACTTGACACGCACGATGACGTGAATTCTCTCGAAATCCTGTGCACGATTTTCGTAAACACTATCTGAACACTTGGCACTTGCCACATCGTCAGCCACCCGGGCAGACCAAGCCATTTTGCAATGACCAGTCAGCTTTTTCTGCATGTGTTTCCGAATTTGGGTTGCATAACAGTAATCTATGGATAAATTGAAATGTTCAAGTTGCATTATTGTGAACTACCCGTGTAAAAGACAATGGAATGAGTACCGTAAATAGCCAAAAATTACGACAATTACGTGCTTTACTAACACGTTAAATGGTTTTATTCAATGTTCTGGTCACAAAAACAAATGCCTGACAACAGAGTAAATTTATATTCAATATAGTCAACTCTAAGCTTCAGAACAGTGGTTCTCTAACTTTCATGATTTGTAGCCCATGTTTAAAAACTTAACACTTGTGGCTCTCTGCTCTTATATAAAATACCCAGATTTGCTTTTAATAAAAGCGAACAAACTAAAGCAAAAGAATAGATGCATTACAGTCGAAGAATTAAACAAATCAAAGTTAGTTAACTTAATATAGTCCTCAGGAATTCTACCCAGTGATGGCCTTCGCTCATTGCCTCCAGAGAAATTTGAGGCCCCAGATGTAGAAAATCCTAGTTTGAGATTCCTTGCTTTAGGAAATATTTTTTAATATCCATGTGTATACTGTATAGCAGGGGTCGGCAAACTTTATGTACCGTGGGCCAACTATAAACATCTTCGGTAGAGCGCGAGCTGCACTATTTTTCGCCTGCAAACAATCGCCACAATAAACTTTAAATCATGGGGCACTTGCACCTTCTATTTCTGTGATAAATTGGACGTGCATGTGGCCTCTTTTAATATACTATCAATAGGGCTGTCCAAAACCGAATAATTTTTTGATTCAAATCGAATATTTTCGCTGAATCGAACTGAATAATCGAATATTATTGCGCAATCCTAAATTGGTCTCTGTTATACAATAAACGCCTGCCCTTCGATGTTGTGGTAACTTATTTGCAGTTACATACATCTGACTTACTGCTGGTATTTTGCAATACCATGTTTTCAGATTTATGAAAGGAGATCACACGCGTGTATGAACCGGTCAAAAAAATTGGAGGGCTCTAAAATTAGGATTTTGAAAATTGTTGAGTGTTGTGAGTAAAAATTGCACAATTCAAAAATTGCACTCTCAATTCTAATGGATTCTAAGGTTCAATAGGGCATGTAAATAAAGCCTGTAGATGCTATTTTAATCCTATTATCACTAGTCTTATGTTTTTTTGTGTAATTTTCAGCAAAGTGATAACAATCATTAATATAGATAAAACTGTTGCTCGGATTCAAAATCGCATTTAACATCTTCATAGCTAATTTGTTGACAATATTATTTTATATTGTAGTGCAATTATTTGTGTTGGTGCAGTGGTGAATAGTTGGATATTATAGTATTGCCATCATAAGAAATTACAAATTTCATTGAAAGAAGGTATCGCCATCATAAGGATCCCACAATACCTGTTTCAGATCTGAGTTTCCTATGTCATGTTCCTATGATAACTAACTCTATAACTTAAAATCGATTCTATTTATAGAACTATCGTTTATTAACCGCACTAAATTGCCTTTTTCTCCTTGTTCTCTCTCAAAAACGTCATTACCGATTATAACTTTCAAGTTATGAGGACCATGCATGAAATGGATAATCACGTGCCACCGGGCATTAGGAATGACTCATTTATCGCAAAATGAAGGCGAGAGAAATATCGGGAAATCAATTAAGCCTTGAGCGAAAGTGGTCAAAGCTCGAAGCGCCACCGCTTGCCTAATGAAAAACGTCCTGCAAAGGTGGTTTCAAGCCTTTTCCGCTTTATGTACCTAATTTTAGCGATTCAAAGCCGAAAAACGATTCGAATTATATGCGATTCGATTTCGAATATTTGGTTCGCTTGGACAGCCCTAACTATCAATGTGAAAGACGATGTTGTTTCTGTGTCATAGGATAGCCAAATTGTTAAAATCAAATGCCAACGTTGTTGCCCTGCAGTACGTCGTCCAAATGGCGATCTGGCAAGCGAATACGAAATTTATTCTTAGTGGCTCGTGCAATGCATTTTATATAAAGCTATTCATCGCAATATGTGTTTCTGAACGTGCACATTACACGTTTTGCATTGACGCACAGATGAGCTGTGGCGCAGCTTTGGGTTGAATTTCGTATTCGCGATGACACGTTTCGTAATGATATTCAACATTAATAAATCTCTTAATAACTGCGGTGCTGACTTGGCATATCAAGCAAACTGGTTTTGAAATGCGTAAAATGAAAAATATTTTTCGTACAATCACTTTGGAATATCGACCCTTATCACAAACTCCCCTCCATTTTCCAGACATTAATAAAACTCATCATAAACTTAACTTATACTCACAATCAACGATGGGACATTGACATACAACTGATGCTACTAACTACAAACCAAGCTCCGTACAGTAGCACTTGTTACCACGTAAATCCTAATTAAGGCAATAATATATTTAATATCAACTTTGTTTTATGCACTAAAAGTCGGGTCGTTCGAGGGCCACAAAAAATTAGTTCGCGGGCCGCATTTGGCCCGCATGCTGCAGTTCGCATGCTGCAGTACATATTGAAAAAGAGTAATGACTATTTCAAATTAGTGTACTTCCACAAAGATGTCATGGTGTATGTTATTTTTTTTCCTATCACAGCACTGCTTAATATAACCAATATTCTAGATTCAAAAATATGTAATTTAATTGAAATTATAAATTATTCAATGATATTTTCCACAGATATGACTCTAGATGGAAGACTGAGCAAACCTGCTGCTAATGTGTCTGTCGGAGATAGATGGTTTTTTCTTTGGACTATGGATTTCTTTTGTAATCAAAGTGAATGTAAAGAAATTTGTAGTAAACTTGGTGGCACATTGATTAATATTGTTTCTCAAGATATCAATGATGCCGTTACAAAAAAACTTTCTGTGAGTGGAGTATAACTTTATTTTACATATGAATGGAGATACTTTTTCTTAGTTCAATGATACTGCTCATAAGAAAAGCTATTGAATCATTCCATTCATGCGAACTTGACTTTTGTTATTTTATATGCATTTCACTTTGAACAAAGCTCTGCAAAAGCATCTGTTGCTATGCATGGAGCTACTTTATTTTGAAATGACCGGAATCTTCTCTGCATTGTCCAATCAATTGTACACCCTGGGTGAGGTTGTGGGCATGGGATTTGAATTTTTGACCTACTATGCCAACAGCCAAGTCCAATGACTTAACCACTTAACTACTAATCACTTGCTGTATTATATTTTGGAAACATCTGTTTGTTGAGTTTGGAATAGTGCAATCTTGGCTCTTGTTTTTCTCATCAATGATTAAGCCTATCATTTGTTATCTGTGTCTGAGGAATCATTCAAATAAAATGTCTACTGGTTAAAAAAACACAACACTTCCACTGAATCTGAATGAATTTTCATTTTGTAGCCTTTCTTTCCTTACATTCTTCTTCTTTCACCCTAATATTTTAGTTTTGTCAGTTTGAAATATTATATTTATTACTGGAGGAACATATGACGAACCAGCCTATGATGGAGAGAAGCCCAGCAATCCTTTTGCATCCCATCCTCCACTGAAATCAATCCTAATAGCAAGCGCATTGCGCCAACCGCTGGAAACTGAGTTAATAATGTTCTCTTGTGTTTTTTCACTTTGTTTCCAGATCATGTATAAAATCTGGGCTGATGCAGGTGGAAAACTAGAGCTCCCTTATGGTGCCGGTAATTGGTTTATAAACATTATACGCAACCCACAAAATATGGATGAGTTCAGACAAGGTGATGGTCAGCGGGTCTACCTTTTTGAAGACTGGTATACAAGAAATGGATTTCCAATACCACCAAACAGAGAAGATTTTGCACGTGAGACACATATGTCGTTGCATTTTCTTACAGAAAAAACTGCAAAAATAATTAGTATTAGATAGAGTATTAGACCTAGCTATCTCACATTGTTCATGTTGGGTTCAAATCCCATACCCCTCACCATACCCATGGCAATTTTCATCTGTAGATGCGTCTCTGGCATTTCAAGCTGTGGGTCGATATTTCCAAACTCAAATATAAGTTACCTCAGTTTTTCACAGCTTTGTTTATTTAAAGCTGAGAAACTAGAGAAGGTATTCTGTTTTATAAAGAATATTATTTTTTTTTAAATACAAGGTTGACTGAAAATTCATAAATTGTTCATTAATTCCTTAATTTTTACCTTTACCTATTTTTTTGCCCAAATTTGAGACTAATTTCAAATTTTTAGCTTTTCAACATTGGCAGCAGCATTCAGACCCAGAAGGATTTTATAATGATGAGCATTGTGTTGCCATACAAGATAATTCAAATTGGATCGATACTTTATGTTCCAGAAAACATCCACCAATGTGTGAATTCGGTGAGATTTTTATTGTCATAGGTCATGGGTTCAAATTTTGACCGGTTCTTGGATCATTTCTTTGTACATCACTTTCTGGTACGCCTGAGGGCATCCTACCTTGAGGTGGCACCTCGTTTGACACATAACACAAAAAAGACCAGAATATGCGTAAATTTATTGTTTGTAAATTTATCATAAGCATTGAGCGTTTGCAAAGACTACAGATGAATGAATCAACCAATTATTAACTATTAAATGCTGCTTTATTATCTCTAAACTACCAGAAAATATTGTACCTATTTCAGGAACATATCCCTTTGAGCGTTGGGCGGGTAGAGGATCTAAAAAACCTGAGCCGAACAATAACTGGCAAATAGAAAACTGTGGTGGATATCTCGTTAATCTTGATCCAGAACCAGCCTGGAATGATTTTGACTGTTTGAGAGAAATGCCGTTTATTTGTGAAGTAGGTAAGAAAATTAAATTCAAATTTTTTAAAAATATTGCAAATAATAATCGTCTTAGTGCATAGAGTTAAAAAATATTCATTACATCAAAACAATTTAATAATAATAAGTAAATTTTTAATAAAATTAGACAAATCTAAGAGTTATTTATATCTTTTACTAGTCAGAGATCTTCTTTATCATAGACCCTTTTTTGAAAGAATGGAATGATTAAGTGTTTCATTTTTCAATAATGGGCCGCTTGTGGCTAGAAACTTGTGTTATGATGTCAGTGTCACCCTTTTCTGGTTTCATGATGGTATATTACAGCCTTGAGTTTCTTAAATTCCACGTCATAATGAATTTTATGAAAGCCTATATGACGTCACTGTAAAACTTACCATACAATATTCAGTCACTCTTTTTCCACCATATTGGGCTAAGTATATGACTTCTTTGAAAGTACAGTATGTTTGAAGGCATTGTACATAAAAATATATTTTTGTTTAGATGTGCATTGCCCTAGTGTGGAAGGAATTTCTCCAGGAACGGGCTATTACTGTTATTTTTCCGAAGCGGACGGAAACCCGCAATGTAAATTTTATTGTGATCATGGATTTCAACTCAATTCGGATACTGATATTTCTAACTGCATTGACCCAGATGGGGATTTTGATGGAATATGGACTCCATCGTTTCCAAGCTGTTTTGCTATAGGTAATCAGAACTGGGATGTTTCAGTACATTAGGAGTATGTTCGACAATTATAGTGTTATGTAATTATTTTTAACAAATCCTGCAGGCGATATTTTCAGTTAGCCTACAATTGTATGTAATTTTTTACCTTACTTTTTACACATCGCTATATTTCAGGGGTGGCCAACTCGTCGATTGCGATCAACCGGCCTGCATTAGAAGTATTTTCGACAATTATAGTGTTATGTAACTATTTTTAGTAAATCCTGCAGGCAAATTCTCAATTGGCTTAAATAATGTATGTAGGTAGTTTTTACCTACTTTTCACACATCGCTATATACCAGGGTGGCCAACACGTCGATTGTGATCGACCTGTCGATCGCCACATCTCGCGCAGTCCATCACGTCTGATGTTGAGTGAAGTTTATAACATACATCAAAAAATTTCCTTGAACCAGTTGAGTGTTTTAAAACAGGAAGAATACTGTACTCTGTACAGGAGTACACTGTACTCAAAATGCGATCTGGGGCAAGCCCGACACAGCATCTTATTACGTAATAAATGCAAGTTTTGCCGCTGCTAAGGTTTCAAAATGAATTATCAATTATTGGTGGCTAAGAACGTTCCTACAATAACTTCTGCAGTATGCGAAAGTTATTGTCTCACTCCAAGAGTAGTGTGATCAATTTTATCCGCAATGGTGGCAGCGGCATCAAAATGTACTATTTTTTTAATTCCAAAAAAGCGAAGAAGCACTTGATGGCAATTGTAAATTAGATACTGAAGTTTGAACAGACATGTAGCACTCATGGTTTGAGAATATTTATTATTCGCTCTTCAGATAATACATTGATACTTAGCGAGGTTTCTTGAGAAATTTTCAACACTTACGACTAAAAATTAGGCAGGCTTACCGGTATATCTGAATTGAATGCTTTGAATAAATCTTAAATAAATGATGAAACATTTACTCTGGTACAATCAATTTAACAGCTAAAATAGAACATACAAATAAAAATTGTGTGTTAATTTCCTTAATTAAAGAATGCACCCACAAAGCTGAGCTTATTGGAAGCGGTGGAATTTTTTGTATGTGTGTGTGCATGTGCAGTTATCTGCATATTCAGTACCCATTCGTTTTTGTGTATGATCTTATTACCGATCAGTCGATCGCGAACCTTTTTCAAGATTTTAGTCGATCGCAGAATGCAGGTTGGCGAAATTAAATCTGTAGACAATGACAAACTTGAAAGATTGTGATAATTCCAAGAATAATAGCTCCTCACCTTTGTTAGATTCAAGTGTGACTGTTCATTGCGAATAGTGTAAATAAGCCTCCATTGGCTTCAAGATTTTCTCTATCGTAAAATGTCTCACAACCAATATATTTTTATTTCAACATTTTCAGCAATAAAGTGTCCGAAAATTGATGCAGAAATACTGTCTTTTGAGACATATTTCTCTTGTACTGATTCAGACAACCTGAACTCTAATTGTGTATTCCACTGTGGATATAGCACAAGGCTTACAGTTGATCATAATGAGATTAAATGTGAGGATGTTGATAACGATCTCAATGGTGAATGGAATTTGTCAATACCGGATTGTGTCTGTAAGTGATGGTAATAAATGGGTTATTTAAATTTTATATAAAGTTTGCTCATAATTTACTACACCTATTTCAAACCCATTCTTGGATATTTTGATATTTTGGCCATGCCTGGGTGCAGTTGCGCAGCCAAGGGGGTTGGGGTGGAGCCCCCCTCCCCCTTTTGAAATTTTCGAATAACTGAAAAAGTCGCTTATTAAATATGCGATTGCATTTTGTTTTCGTTTGCTTCACATGTTATTTAGGACGTAAACATAATTAATTACGTCTGTGGTAATTCATCTTTCAATCACAAATTTTTCTCAACATAAGTATATCTTGTACTTTCACATAATTGGGAATACAGTGAACATTTTTATATATTCATGGAGGCGAGATGTTAAAGACACACAAATGAATAAATTCGCGCTTCAAATTTTTTGATTGAAAAGCGGCAAAATAAAATATTACTGTAGATTAAAACAGAAATCAATAAACGTTTTGTTGTAGAAGATTATACACTTCTTTAGGCATTGAATATCTCAAAATATCATTAATACGTTTGATTGACGTTGAAAACCATACCGTCACTGAAATGAAACACATGTAATAGTGCTCAGAATTTACCTCTTTATTCATTTATCCATTCCTTTAAATTGCTATCGAAAATTTTCATGTTAGCATTATACAAGGTTGGACATTTTCCTGGATTGTCATGATATATAAGATAAATAATCTAAAGAATATGCATTCAATTTTTATTGTACATACTCAATTAAATTCTACTCAGTAAGATTTTATACCAAACCTGGGGATTTTTCTCAGATCATATTTTGAAAATAATGTGAGTGGCAGCATTGCGATAGAGTGGAGTCAGTGTTGCAAGTACAGCACATATTTGTCGAATTTGCAAAATGGCGGATGAAAACAAGATATAATCGCGCAGTTAACCACACATTTTTTATTTCCCCGGACTACAGTGGTATTTTAGGGTAGTGACTAGTGATGCTTTTATCTTGTCGATGCAACCGCAGGTTAAATTGAAGAAAATTATATTAATAAAGCAAAACATTTTAAATATGCCTGTATCGATTAGGAATTTATTACTTTTAGGCGACATAGAAATAATTCTTCGAAAAACCATCGAGGCGATGAATATTGGATATACATTTACTAAAACACCGTATTTCCTGTCGAATAAGTCTACCCAGTAAATAAGACGAAGCCCGTTTCCAAGCCTGAAAAAATGGGTTTTTGCATATAACCTGCCAATAAGTCGGGGTAGTAAAATCACATCAACATCTGAATCTCAAATTACCATGAAATGCCTTTTGAGCGGTCGCCGTGTTTGCTTATTGGTCAAAATAGCTTATAATGACGTTTTCTTGTAGCGTAATATTCAATCCATAATAACTATGGTAATTCAAACCGTCTTTAAATTTTAATCTAATTGTGTTCAACTTGCGATTGCGTCCACCATAAAAGAACATTACCTACCTAATACATAATAGGCGACAGCAAAAAAATGAAAATTATCATACTCGCCTAATAAGACGATCCCCCCAAAATCAGGCCAAAAATTTGGGTCTAGAAAAGCGACTGCTTCGCGAAGAAATACGGTATATGTATTTTCATTGTACTGAAAAAAATTTTATTTTATGCATTTTTCTAACAATAATATCGGATTCGCCAGATAGCAAAAGTATGTATCAAAACGAAATTTTCATGTCCACAGATTGCCAGGATATTTTGGAGTAGTGATGTTTTTGTTTTGTGGTAAGAAGACGCAACCGCCAGTTACGTTGAACACAATTAGATTAATAAAGAAACACATTTTACATTCTTGCAGTTGACATGGATTGAATAATTTACACGACATGAAAGCTATTATACTCTTAAAAAGTCGACTACTTCAGTAGTTTATTTTCATTACGATCCAAAAATAGGACATCAGGCGGGCTACTTGGATGAGATGCTTTAATGTTTTGTTACCAGAAATACCAACTACGTAACATTCATTGCTAATGATGCTCTTTTTGTGATTTTTTTTTATACCAAAGTTCTCCAGACGACCATTGAGGCATTGAGAGGTTGGAGAACTTATTTTCGTTCTCATGGGTTTTGGGTATTTTTGTTAACTTTGTCTACTAATTTTGATTGATGACAGGGCTAGGTAAAATACAGCATGAACTTTCTTGTCTTGATTGCAGAACATTATTTTCTTAGTCACCAAACTAGACGCAGTAATGATATATTGATATGTATAAGTGGAAGTTGAAGATGTGCAATTATGCTCATAATATACTGCAATTATGCTCATAGATAATAATACGCAAAGCTAGGTTTTTTGAATTTTGTGAATTAGCTTAATAAGACATAATAAATTTGTTGGGAATATTGAAGCGCTCATTACCTGTTATTCATAAGATACCCGTATTTGAGATACATTCATTTAAACTTTTTAGTTTTCTTATTTATTTTGTTTGACTATTTATCTTGTTCCTCTTTTTCTGACTCATGATTTAATAAATTATAATGCCTCTCTGAATCCCAGACATCACTTGCCCAACTTTGGATCCATCAACTCTAGCACCTGACACTGTTTTTGATTGCACAAGATCAAATATATTTGATTCTGAATGTACATTCAGTTGTCCTGATAGAAGGAAATTAAATGTAGAAACCAGTGTTATAAAATGTGAAGATTCTGATGATGATGGGATAGGAGAGTGGAATGATCAAATACCTGATTGTATTGGTCAGTTTTTCTCTGCAATTTCATTTGTAGATTAGATTTTTTGTCGTCTCTGATAAGAAGTCAACAACTTAAATGTATTTGAAATAAGGATGTCAATATATGCATAGTAACTGGTAGTAAGTATTTTTAGAAAATCAACTTGAATATGGACATAATTAGTTGTCTATTGGTCCGAGTTGTAATGAATTTTGACTCGATTCCAGTTTTGAACTTAAGAAACTTTAATACAGAAATCTTTGGTGTGTCTTAGCCTTCTTTGATATACTGCTGAATAACTAGTGAAAAATGCTCTTTGAGGTTTTGTTTGAATTTTGACCTCTCTAATCATCATTGAAAATCTGAAATTCTGATTATACTCCTGGTACTGCAACATACTGGCTGAAGTAATACAATATCTGATTTAATAAAAAATTGTGTTAAATCAGTGTGCTCCGAATCCTGGTCACATTCCGTGCGGTCCGCGAGGCCGCCTAAAAATTTTTTATGGCTTCACAATCTCGCAACCTTGGACCCCCTTGTCATATATAATACGTTATATAAACAAACTGTAAAATAACCATATTGTTGTAATTGATTTAGACGTCACCTGTCCATATTTAAATGAATTTATATCAAGCGATACAATAGCAAGTTGTTCTAATGAAAATATGATCGATTCATCTTGTACTGTGAGTTGTAATGAAGGCATGACATTGGATGGTACTGGATCTGAGACAGTTGTTTGTGAAGATAATAATAATGATAAGGTTGGAGAATGGAGTTCAGCTACATCAAATTGTGTTGGTAAATATACTATACTATTTTATTTGGGTAAATCACACCACTTTAATCCTGCTACCATGCATATTGCTGTTGTCACATTTGTGATTTTGATGAATATAAATCAGGATCATCAAATGGCTATGTCATTGTCCAAGATAGCTTATCGGTTATTGTTGTTCAAGGAAGGTGTCTTTACCAGTAGCTTCAATATACATAATGGAAAGAGCAATGTGAAGACAAAACCAAATTGGAGATTGGCTTGATGGTTAGTGCATCATACTAATTGTTGCATTCATCTGACTACTCAGCGTAGCAGATGTGAATCCAGTGGGAAATGGTTATGTGAGAGGGATTTGCTGGACCCCTCGTCATCATAGAGTGGTTTATTTAAGGCAGTAGTCAGCCACACAGATTTATGAGGTTCTGTGTGCCACTGTACGGTGCTTGTTTTGTAGTAAGCTGTATTGTATGTCGTTTACTTAATCATCATTGTTTGTAATCGTAAGTTGGGCTAATTTTGATATTTGAAATTAAATATATCTGGGACACGGAGGGAAGTTTGCGATGGAGTTGCATATTCCAAAGTGCTTGGACGGAAAATATTTCCCTTTTTTGCGCATTGCAAACCAGTTATAACTGGATATGCCAGATCAGCATCGCAGTTATTGGTTATTAGTCTCGTTGTTGCAGACTTTAAACACGGCAATAGAAGGTGCGAATGTGACATAATTTAAAGTTTAATGTGGCGATTATTCTTTGGTGGAGGTAATGCGACCTGCACGCTACCAGAAATGTGCATATTAGGCCCGCAACTACATTTAGTTTGCTGATCACTCATGCAAGGGATGATCTGTTACAGCTTTCTCCGCTATCCATTTCATGCATCTGGAAGAAAAAAACTTGTTTACATACAGACGATAGGCCCAGGTTTGCCATATGATTAAATACATCTCATCAACTTTCCCCTTCCTTGAAAATCCAGGATTAATAAAATATTCCTATCTAACTCAGAATATATTATAGTCTATAATCTGGCCTTTGGTGGAACAAAAAATGCCCTAGACCAGGGGTGGGCAACCCCTGGCACGCGTGCCGAACTTGGCACGCGAGCCCATTTATTCGACACGCGAGCAAGGCTTTGGAAACGAGATCATTCTCCTTCAGATAAAAAGTTTCAAGACTCTGAATTATCTGATGAAACTCGGTGTTCGTTTATTCATTATCGTTTGTTAACAATCCCTTATTTAGTTAAACTCTTTTTGTTCTTTCATGACATATGGCTACAAAAAATATATTATGACGTAACAAATGAGTTAGGACTCCAGAAGAGCGCAGCATTCATTTGGCTACATTCTTACATAATATAATTCGTCTGTGCCACCTTTTTTCTTCATTTCTGCTTGATTTATGAAGTTATTCAGCTCATATTGGTTACTTTTATCTTACTTTTATAAATTGATTTAGAAAGAGATACTGTAAAAGCGATTATGGGGGGGGGGATACAAGAGAGGAGTGCAGAAAACGAACTATTGCGTGATTGGGATGTCATTCCCAAAAATTTTCCGTGTCTTAAAAACTTTGCAACTGCATTACTCTCCATGTTTTCATCTACATATGCTTGTGGATATCTCTTCTCGGTTATGAGCTTTATTAAATCTCATAACAGGAGTAGCCTGAAAGATGAAACCAGTAGTTCGTGTATTTCGCTGAAAGTTACAAAATATAAACCCAATGTAAAATCGCTATCAGCGGTAATGCAGCAGCAGAAGTCCCACTGATATATAATAAGAAAAGTAATCGAATCTATTTGTTGGACTAATATTTTCCCGAATAGTGAATTTGCCTGGACATGTTTAAAAGGGTGGTTTTTAATTGTGTATCTTTGCTTTGATAGTAGCAAAGCATTGTTTTTAATTTTTGTCGGCACGCGGAGGAATTTTGTCGTTAAAATTAAGCCGATTTTGGCACGCGAGCCGAAAAAGGTTGCCTGCCCTAGACTCCTTCTTTTGAATCTTTGGTAAAATGTTGTTGCAAAAAATGCTTTGAATTCCTTTAAAATGTTATTGAATGCTCCTTACAATAGCATTGATCGAAAATTACGACTCTGAAGTCTCAACAGAGTCTTAGTAAGTGCAAACCTTTTCATGAAAATAAATGATAAAATGTGTTCAAGTGACTGCAGTGACATCCGTGTCACAACAATTTTTATCAGCCTCAGGAGAAATTGAGTGCATGCATTTACATTCCACAAAAGATAACAAACTAATATAAATTATTTCTAAATTGAAATACGATGATTTTTAAAATTAAATCCTACTTTGATTTTTCAAATAGTTGCTCCAAGCATCTTCACCCAATCTGATATGTGACATATTTTCAGGCAGTTGGTAAAAAGGCCACACCTAGGGAATCAGTGCGCCACTGAGTGTTCTGATATTTAAATATTTTATAACAGGTGTACCGCCCATTGCATTGTTGGACAATTCAGTACATGTGTGTGTGTGTGTAGTGTAGGCTTCAGGACACGCTGACACTCGTGTTACCTGGTGTTTTGTGGGATTAAACTGACCTGATGGGAAATTCTGGGGGATGCTATCGGCCAAGGTATTTTATGGTCAGAATTGAATAATAAGCCGACACCGAAAAAATGGAAATTACCATACTCGCCCAATGGGATGGCTCCCCAAAATCAGCCCAAAAATTTTGGTCTAGAAAAGCGACTTATTCGCCGGTAAATCTGGTAACTTTTAATGTAATTTGTTGTTATTTATGAGTTCATGAAAATTTTTTCAGGAATACTATGCCAAATAATTTCAAATTCTGATTTTTCTGCTGGAACATCATTTGACTGCACAAATATGAACAATTTTGGTTCAGTTTGTACATTTGAATGTATTGATACAATGAAATTAACTGGTGGATTGGACACAATAGAATGTGTTGATTCAAATGATGATGGTGTTGGTGAATGGAATATTGATGTACCTGATTGTATTGGTAAGAAGAGTAGATTTAAGTATTATTGTTTTGGAAAAAATGATCATGAGGACATATTAACAGTATTAAATGCTCATTCAGGAATCTCTTTTTTGTTTTCTAGATGTTCTATGTCCTGATCTATCTACTATTGTAACGAATGAAACACAAGTAACATGTACAAATGGATTTATAAAGAATTCAAATTGTGATATGAGTTGTCCTGAGGGAATGACATTGGATGAAAATACAGGATCGGGATCTGTTATTTGTGAAGATAATGATGGTGATGGAGAAGGAGAATGGAATGAATCTGTAGCTAGTTGTAAAGGTAGTGAATGCTATCAGGATTATGTAAAGATTTTCTTGTTGTAGATGGTCATTGTTCCAAAGATTTCGCTAAATGTTGCAATATTATGATGCTTGATTAGATTACATGATATTCAAACTGAATACTCCAGGTAACCTATTCATTAGCTGGAATAACAAGTTCCTGAACAATTCCTATACTGTATTACTCCTATCTTTGACCAATGAATTGTTAAATAACTATGTTATCCTGTTTTACAGTCATAACTTGTCCGACCTTGGATCCATCAACTCTAGCACCTGAAACTGTTTTTGATTGTACTGGAACAAATACATTTGATTCTGAATGTACATTCAGTTGTCCTGATAAGAAGAAATTAAATGTAGAAACCAGTGTTATAAAATGTGAAGATTCAGATGATGATGGAATAGGAGAGTGGAATGCTCAAATTCCTGACTGTATTGGTTCGTTTTTTTTCTGAATACGTATGTAAAATGCTTTTGATTTTATCAATGAGACATAATTAATAACACTTTATAATTAATGAGGATAAAATTATCTTGCTTCTTTGTAACAATGTCATTACTTTATTTTAGATATCACCTGTCCATATTTCAGTGAATCTATATCAAGCGATACGATAGCAAGTTGTTCAAATGAAAATATAATCGATTCATCTTGTACTGTAAGTTGTAATGAAGGCATGACATTGGATGATACTGGATCTGAGACAGTTGTCTGTGAAGATAATAATAATGATGAGGTCGGAGAGTGGAGTGCAGCTGCATCAAATTGTGTTGGTAAAATATAATTTACTGTTATATTTGGTTAAGTTACACTCACTCTAAACCTTTGCTGTGACACCTGTTACTAGTGTCACATTTATTGTTGTTTTACTGATAAAACCAGGATAATCAAATGGATAACTTCTCAGTCATGATTGTTGAAAGTATGTGTCATTGCCAGTAGCTTCAATATACGTATTTACAAAAGTAATGTGAAGACAAAACCAAATAGGAGATTGGCTTGGTGGTTTGTGCATCAAGTGTTGCCATCCTCTGACTACTCAGCACTGGAGGTGCGAATCCAGTGGGGGGTGGTTATGTAAGAAGGATTGCTGGACCTTTCGCTGTTGTGGTTCACATAATGGCTGGTCTGTTACAGCTTTTTTCACTATCAAGTCTATGTACTTGAAGAAAATAACTGGTTTGCTAATGCCAGGCTGTCATTAGTTGCCCAGGTTTGTCATATATGATTAAAAACATCAATTTTCCCTTCCTTCGGGGTAAATAAAATATTCCTAATTGATTCGCTATTTATTTTAGAATGAGGCTTCTGGTGGAACGGAAAATGCACTAAACTAACCTTTTTATTTGAATCTGTAATAAAATGGTATTGCAACAGTTCTTTTGAGCTTCAATAAGATGTTATTGAATGCTCTTCACAATATCAATTTGATTTGCAAAATTAGTTATCCAACATGAAATTTTAAGTTGTTTGTATTCATGTATAAGTTTATGAATCTCTTTTCAGGAATACTATGCCAATTTTTTACAAATTCCAATTTTTCTGTTGGAACATCATTTGATTGCACAAATATGAACAATTTTGGATCATCTTGTACATTTGGATGTATTGATACGATGAAATTAACTGGTGGATTGGACACAATAGAATGTGTTGATTCAAATGATGATGGTGTTGGTGAATGGAATATTGATGTACCTGATTGTATTGGTAAGATTACAGTATCATAGATTTATGTATCATCTTTAATGGATTAATTGTTGTTTCGGCATCTTGACACAATTTACTGTGCAATAGTACCGTAAGTAGATTCATGAATCACTTCTCTGTATTCTAGATGTTCTATGTCCTGATCTATCGACTATTGTAACAAATGAAACACAAGTGACATGTACAAATGGATTTGTAAAGAATTCAAATTGTGATATGAGTTGTCCTGAAGGAATGACATTGGATGACAGTACAGGATCTGGATCTGTTATTTGTGAAGATAATGATGGCGATGGGGAAGGAGAATGGAATGAATCTGCAGCTAGTTGTAAAGGTAGTGAATGCTATCAGGATTATGTAAATCATTTCTTGTTGTTGCTGGTCATTATTCCAAAGCTTTCCAATTGTTGTATCTTTTGAATCCTTTCAACTATTTTTTGTCTAGTGTGATATTGCTTCAGCTCTAATATTTAGTAAAATATATTTATTCATTTATCTTACCTTGGAACAGCGTGTGGTTAGGCAGTCTTATCTTACTTGATCATATCTTATGAGATTCAAACTAAATATTCCAGAGTAACCTAATAATTAGCAGGAATAACAACTGGCTAACCCAGCAATTCCCAAAAAGTGCACCACGACACAGCGAGTTACTAAGTGGGTCATGAAAATTAACCCTTTCCATGCGATTTTTATTTTTTAATAAATAATCGTATTTGCTACGCCGATTTTATGCATTTGTACCCCCACAACTAATCGATCGACTAACGAAAAACTAATGATCCTCTGCTGCCCACTGACGGCTCGTTGGAAAGCTTATTTGAAGAGCTTGCAATTGGCGATTAAAAAAAAAAGTTTTTTCAAAAGTGGTGGTCCGAGTCACAAACCGTATAGAAAAAAGGCATTTTTTTTTCTTGGGAGTTGAAACTTCAAACCGTGATAAAAAATAGAAATATTTGCTAAATCCGTTACTGTTACCGCTTCGTGGTTGGCAAACAATAGCATAATATTGCTGTAGCAATTTCGTGATCCAACTCAAAATACTTTGGTAGATGGAAGGGATAATATGTCTTCTATTACCATCCAAAAAACACCGAAATTTGCATAAATTTCAAAAACACTCCCTCGTTCCGCCGCAAATAAAATTCCCGCCGTAAACGAAAGCGAGATTTACCGTCGCTTATGTTAGTCTCGAAGAAGACTTTTTATCAATAAACTAAAACCCGGAAAAACTAGACCAACAGTTTGCGACGGATTGCTAAATAAAACAGCGGAGTACATCAACGTACCCGCCGCAATCTAGCGACTTTTGTCGTGGGTACGTATACGTGCCCACCGAACGGAAAGGGTTAATAGAATTGTAAAAATAACTAAAATATGATTGAATATTTTACATATTGTATTTATAATAAATCATTTACGGTTTCTTATTATAAATGCTGTGTACACGAATCAATAAATGCATTTTATCTTTCTATGACGTTTTCTTTTGGTTTCGTAATGTCTGCCTCTATTGTTACATAACAATACAGTAGACACTCCTTGCTGCAATTTATCTGCTGAACCGAGTTTAGCGATTATAAGTGATTATTTCAGCATTTTAAAGGAAAAATCGGGCAGAGATAAGGAAGAAGAGTTGACATTAGGCCTAAATATTTACAAAACTTTAAAAGGCATAAAGTACACTTTAACGATCACAAAATTGAGTTTCATTTATAAGCAGCATTTTTTTTGTGTAAGTGCACCGTAAGTTTTTTTCCTGATAATTTTGTTCCACGATAAGAAAAAGTTCGGGAACAGCTGGCTTATCCAATACCGTTTTCCGAATACTTCTATCTTTGACCAATGAGTCAAAGAATACCGGTAACTACGTTATTCTGTTTTACAGTCATCACTTGTCCAACTTTGGATCCATCAACTCTAGCACCTGACACTGTTTTTGATTGCACTGGAACAAATACATTTGATTCTGAATGTACATTCAGTTGTCCTGATAAGAAGAAATTAAATGTTGAAACCGGTGTTATAAAATGTGAAGATTTTGATGATGATGGAGTAGGAGAGTGGACTGCTCAAATTCCGGACTGTATTGGTTCGTTTCTTTCTGGATATGTATGTACAAAACTTGATTTTATCGATGAGACAAAATTAATGAAACTAATGCAGAAGCATAAAATTTACCATTTGAGCTATTTTAAAGCATAGTTCGCTGGTGAATGTAGGTTTTCTAATATACATTGAATATTTCATTCAGAACCAGTTCATCATCATTGAACACCATTTATGTTTTCGGTATCAAACACTTTGTAATTAATGAGAATAAAAATATATTGCTCCAATGTCACCATGCCATTTCTTTATTTTAGATATCACCTGTTCATATTTAAATGAATCTATATCAAGCAATACAATAGCAAGTTGTTCTAATGAAAATATAATCGATTCATCTTGTACCTTAAGTTGTAATGAAGGCATGACATTGGACGGTGCTGGATCTGAGACAGTTGTTTGTGAAGATCATAATAATGATGACTTCGGGGAATGGAATTCAGCTGCATCAAATTGTACTGGTAATACAATGCAATGCAATTAACTAAATTACACTAAACAATTTCTCTTACTTTTTCATGCTCGAATCATGATAAAACCAATTAAAATCAATATATATTCACTAATTTAACCTGATGTACTATGATGATGTACAATATTTTCACACTAAAATAAGGAATTTGGTATTTTACCTGCCAGCTTAAAAATGACATGTACTACTTGTACTTTTTTTATCGTGTGTATCGTGTTTTTTTATCGTATCATTAAGATCATCCGTACTACCTCATGTACCGCTGTATGGGCATGCTCAAAAAACTTTTGTCAACATGGACAATCTGTTCAAACCTCAATGTCTTACAGCCTGAATATACCTGACAGGCAATTGGGCTAATTTGTGCGGTGGACTCATACCCATATCAATCAATTTGTACCAACCTGCGATAACTATTACCGTATATTACATACCTTTTATAAACAATCAGTTCAATCAATTTAAACATTACCAATCTGTACCCACTTATATCAATTTGGGGCAACATATGCCAATTTGAATCAATCAATTGCGGCAAGGGGTAAATGAAGTGTTGAAAGTTGTGCATGTGGTACAATTAGTGCAAATAGTAAACGTGGTCCACATGATTCATGGGATGATCTAATATTCTAATACACATTGCATATATGCTAATTGCAATAAACATGATACATTTTTCACAAATGATGGCTGGGCATACAAGACACATATTGTACAAATGGTCCAAATATTAGGAAGTAGATCAGGCCTGCACAACTCAAATTACCACGTGGGCCGCAAGCATAAATCTGAAGGCCCGGCGGGCCTCAAGCTTTGCCACAAAAAAGAAACTTCAGTTTCATAAACCTCTAGTAAAAAATAATGGGGTTATTAAAGGTTGCTAATATGCACTAATGGGTGTAAGATTGTATACCGATATTGTTTTAAGCTTGATTCAGTCTGAATACTGAGATATCTAAATCAGGGTTTCCCAAACGAGGGTCGAGCGACGAAATATAGGGGTCGCGAAGGGCACACTAATTTCACACAATGTTCGATATTTATTGAAACTAGTGCAAAATATAAATCACACGATTTCGGATATGATCAGAGTAGCGGCGCGCTTGCATAACAATGCCGGCTCCGATTGTTAGACCTGAGAAGTGGTGTGTTTCCAAATCACCCTCGGGCTGCACAGAAGTATCTAGCGGGCCACATGCGGCCTGCGGGCCGTATGTTGTGCAGGCCTGAAGTAGATAAATGGTACAAAAAGTACATTTTTGGCACACATGGCAAACGTGGAACATTTGTTTGCATTTCACAAACAGTTGATGTACAGAAGTGGTGCAAGTTGTATGTTGCCAATTAGTGCATTCAGTATATTAGATAGAAGTTTTAAACAAGGTACATGTAGTACAAGGGTATATATGGTTCTAAGCCGGCACATGATGCAAATGGATGGGTGTAAAAGCAATACATGTTGTATGAGCACATTGAACAATTGAGGTGATATATGCAATGCTTCGATGTTAGCAACAGTATTTCTGAAAATTATTTAAATGAGCTAATTTGTGTGATTCTTTTCTTTGTACTATGTGTTTGTGCTTCATTTGAATTGGCTTCAGAGCACATATAAATGCATTTACATTTTAATGAAGATCACTAAATATGTTGACTGCCATAGAGGTACAAGAAGATGTTGATAGGCTAAGATAATATACATAAACCATTTGTGCAACTGACTCAAATCTTTGGTTGAAACCTTCTTGTTAAGTTCAGGTAATGAACTATTCATTTTTCAGATATACTCTGTCCATCTTTCACTATTTCTAATTTTACTTCTGGAACAACATTTGACTGCACAAATATAAATATCTATGGTTCTGCATGTACATTTGAATGTACTGATACAATGAAATTAACTGGTGAAATGGATACAATAGAATGTGTTGATTCAAATGATGATGGTGTTGGTGAATGGAATATTGAAGTGCCTGATTGTTTTGGTTAGTATACAAAATTTACTTGGAAAAAATTAGGACATCTTGAAACAATTGACTGTACTATAGTAGGCACATTCTATGGTTCACATTTCTCTTTTGTAGATATCCTCTGCCCTGATCTCTCTGCTATTGTAACGAATGAAACACAAGTGACATGTACAAATGGATTTATTAAAAATTCAAATTGTGATATGAGTTGTCCTGAAGGAATGACATTGGATTACAGTACAGGATCTGGATCTGTTATTTGTGAAGATAATGATGGTGATGGAGAGGGAGAATGGAATGAAACTGCAGCTAGTTGCAAAGGTATGTGATTGTGAAGTCAAAACTAATAAATCTTTATATTTAACAAAATAAGAACATATTAAGACTACAACTCTGATTATGTAATGTACATTATTAGCTGTTTCAATCTTGTATTTGACTAATGGTGATTTTGATTTATAATTACACGTACTTGGTTTGTGTTTCAAACCGTGCCAATGTAGAAAAATTTCTTGAATAACAGTTGGTTGATCCTCTTGTGTTTTCCACTTTACCATTGACAATTTCTAAAAAATTTTGGTCTACAGTTATCACTTGTCCAACTTTGGATCCCACAACTCTAGCACCTGAAACTGTTTTTGATTGTACTGGAACAAATACATTCGATTCTGAATGTACATTCAGTTGTCCTGATAAGAAGAAATTAAATGTTGAAACCAGTGTTATAAAATGTGAAGATTCTGATGATGATGGAGTGGGAGAGTGGAATGCTCAGATACCGGATTGTATTGGTTAATTTTTTTTTTCTTCTGAATATGTTTATACAGTACTTTTGTTGTTATAAGTATGGTATAATCTATACATAGCTTTATTGCAACATGATTGCCGACATTAATATAGGTTATCTGATATACAGTAAATATTTTTACTCCAAAACTGGTTTATCACCATTGTTCATTAAATATGTGGGATAAATTAAACACGCCATAATTAATGAGGCCTGATTACATAATGCTTTAATGTAACAATGCCATTCATTTTATATTAGATATCATCTGTCCATATATAAATAAATCCATATCAAGCAATACAATAGCAAGTTGTTCAAATGAAAATATAATCGATTCATCTTGTACTGTGAGTTGTAATGAAGGCATGACATTGGATGGTACTGGATCTGAGACAGTTGTTTGTGAAGATAATGATAATGATGAGGTCGGAGAATGGAGTTCAACCTCTTCAAATTGTACTGGTAAAGTATTTAAGATAAATATTAGATATATTGTGATACAATTATCACCTTTTTTTAATGCTTAAAACATAAATACAAACTAAAGAAAATTGCTATGCTCTCAAATTTAGTGGCAGCAGTTAAATTGGAAAATTGTTCCACTCACAAAAAAATTGTGTAAACCAGTTGAGCTTTGTGTTGTGCTAGCCTATTCCAGGTATGACCATTTTGTTCCCACTTACCAGTATAACTATATCCGGATTGACCAACTTGTGACACTTGCAATATGATTTGAATGCATGTATTTGGAAGTCCAGATAGATGTACAAGATGTACACAGTGGGAATGGTGAAAATGGTACATGTGGAGTAACACATGATTCATGTATAGGTGGTATTAGGGCTAGAATTGCTGGAAGTGTGGAAAGTTGTGCATGTGTTACAAATGGTGCAAATAGTATATATGTGGTGCATTTGATATATGTGGTACACATAATGCACATCATATATATGGTTCAGACGTTGAAAATGACACAATTATCCACCAATTGTGGCCGGGCGGGGTTACTATGGCACAAATAGTACATTTGGTGTAATAATAAAAGTGGCATGCACATCAAAAGTGAAATATTTCTTTGCACATCAAGAAGTATATGCGCTACAAGTGTATACATGTTGCTAAAGTGTTACAACCACAGGTGGTAAAATTTGTTGAGATGAATATGATACATGTGGTGCAAGACGTAGGAATGTTACAAGAGGTGTGTACATGGTGCAAGCCCAATTTACGGTATGGGATATGAAGGCTGTATGTACATGGAGTACTTAGTTTAGAAATGGGCTAAAACATTTCACTAGTAGGGAGATATTTTGCAAGTCGTATGCATGGTGCCAATGCTACCATTTTTCACATTAGCAATTAAGAAAATTATTCACATGAGGTAATGTTTGTCTATTTTTTGCCTAATTTGGTGTTTTTGTAAAGTCAATCCGGGACGAAATATAAATAAAATATTATTCATAGCGCAAACGATGTGCATTTTGTTACAAAAACTTCATATGATGAAGCATCCGGGCAGGGGCTTCATTTGGATTCACTCTAAGTCACAAACGAATACAATTACATTGTGTTGAAGTGCACTCAAGATGCTGTATGTATCAAATTTATGATGCAGATGTTGATAGGCTAAGATGATATATATCAATAATTTTGTGCAACTTACATAAATCTTTGATCAATATCTTCTTGTAAAGTTGAGTTCAGGTCATAATCTCTACATTTTTTTCAGAAATACTTTGTCCAGCTTTTACTATGACTAATTTTACTGTTGGAACAACATTTGAATGCACAGATATAAATATTTATGGTTCTGTGTGTACATTTGAATGTATCGATACAATGAAATTAACTGGTGGAATGGATACAATAGAATGTGTTGATTCAAATGATGATGGTGTAGGTGAATGGAATATTGATGTTCCTGATTGTATTGGTGAGTATACAAAATTTCTGTAGAAAAAATTAGGACATCTTTGAACAATTGAATGCTATAGTATGTGCGTTCTATTACTCAAATTTCTGTTTCGTAGATATCCTCTGCCCCGATCTATCTACTATTGTAACAAATAAAACACAAGTAACATGTACAAATGGATTTATTAAAAATTCAAATTGTGATATGAGTTGTCCTGAAGGAATGACATTGGATGAAAGTACAGGATCTGGATCTGTTATTTGTGAAGATAATGATGGTGATGGAGAAGGAGAATGGAATGAAACTGCAGCTAGTTGCAAAGGTATGTGATTGTGAAGTCAAAACTAATAAATCTTTATATTTAACAGAATAAGAACATATAAAGACTACAACTCTGATCATGTAATGTACATTATTAGCTGTTTCAATCTTCTATTTGACTAATGGTGATTTTGATTTATAATTAACAGTACTTGGTTTGTGTTTCAAACATTGTCAACGTAGAAAAATTTCTTGAATAACAGTTGGTTGATCCTCTTCTGTTTTCCACTTTACCATTGACAATTTCTAAAATTGTTTGGTCCACAGTCATCACTTGTCCAACTTTGGATCCATCAACTCTAGCACCTGAAACTGTTTTTGATTGTACTGGAACAAATACATTTGATTCTGAATGTACATTCAGTTGTCCTGATAAGAAGAAATTAAATGTTGAAACCGGTGTTATAAAATGTGAAGATTCTGATGATGATGGAACAGGAGAGTGGAATGCTCAGATACCAGATTGTATTGGTTAGTTTTCTTTTCTTCTGAATATGTTTATACAGTACTTTTGTTGTTATAAGTATGGTATAATCTATACATAGCTTTATTGCAACATGATTGCCGACATTAATATAGGTTATCTGATATACAGTAAATATTTTTACTCCAAAACTGGTTCATCACCATATGTGGGATATATTAAACACGCCATAATTAATGAGGCCTGATTACATATTGCTTAAATGTAACCATGCCTTAATTTTATATTAGATATCATCTGTCCATATATAAATAAATCCATATCAAGCGATACAATAGCAAGTTGTTCAAATGAAAATATAATCGATTCATCTTGTACTGTAAGTTGTAATGAAGGCATGACATTGGATGGTACTGGATCTGAGACAGTTGTTTGTGAAGATAACAATAATGATGAGATCGGAGAGTGGAATTCAGCTGCTTCAAATTGTACTGGTAAAGTATTTAAAATAAATATTAGATATATTGTAATACAATTATCAACTTTTTTATGCTTAAAATAGAAATACAACTAAAGAAAACCGCTATGCTTTCAAATTTAGTGGCAGCAGTTAAATTGGAAAATTGTTTCACTCACAAAAAAATTGTGTAAACCAGTCGAGCTTTGTATTGTGCTAGCCTATTCCAGGTATAACCATTTTGTTTCCACTCATATCTATATTCGGATCAACCAACTTGTGACACTTGCAATATGATTTGAATGCATGTATTTGGAAGTCCAGATAGGTTTACACATGGTACAAGATGTACACAGTAGGAATGGTGAATATGGTACATGTGATTTAACCCATGATTCACGTATAGGAGTTACTATGTTATGTGGTGTAACACATGATTCACGTATAGGAGTTACTAATGCTAGATTTGCTAGAAGTGTGGGAAGTGGTGTGTGTGGTACAAGTGGTGCAAAGCGTACATTTGGTACATCTGATATATGTGGTACACATCACATAATGCACATTATATATATGGTTCTGACGTTAAAAATTACACAATTTTCACAAATTGTGGCCGGGCAAGGCTGATTTATGGTTGATAGATGGCACAAGTGGTACATTTGGTGTAATAATAAAAGTGGCATGCACAGCAGAAGTGAAATATTTCTTCACATTGCAAGAAGTATATATGCGCTACAAGTCTATACATGTTGCTAAAGTATTACAACCACAAGTGTTAAATGTTGTAAACACGATACTTGTGGTGCAAGACGTAGGAATGGTACAAGAGGTGTGTACATGGTGCAAGCACAATTTACGGTATGGGATATGAAGGCTGTATGTACATGTAGTACTTAGTTTAGAAATGGGCTAAAACATTTCACTAGTAGGGAGATATTTTGCAAGTCGTATGCATGGTGCCAATGCTACCATTTTTCACATTAGCAATTAAGAAAATTATTCACATGAGGTAATGTTTGTCTATTTTTTGCTTGGTTCGCTGTATTTGTAAAGTCAATCTGGGACCAAATATAAATAAATAGTATTCATAGTCCAAATGGTGTGCACTTTATTACAAAAACTTCATATGATGAAGCAGTTGGGCCAGGTGCTTCATATGGATTGACTTTAAGACACAAATGCATACATTTACATTGTGTTGAAGTGCACTCAAGATGCTGTATGTCTCTAATTTATGATGCAGATGTTGATAGGCTAAGATGATATATATCAATAATTTTGTGCAACTTACATAAATCTTTGATCAATATCTTCTTGTGAAGTTGAGTTCAGGTAATAAACTCCACATTTTTTTCAGAAATACTTTGTCCAGCTTTTACTTTGACTAATTTTACCGCTGGAACAACATTTGACTGCACAGATACAAATATTTATGGTTCTGTGTGTACATTTGAATGCATCAATACAATGAAATTAACTGGTGGGATGGATACAATAGAATGTGTTGATTCAAATGATGATGGTGTTGGTGAATGGAATATCGATGTTCCTGATTGTATTGGTGTGTATACAAGATTTATGTAGATAAAATTAGGACATTTGGGACAATTGACTGCTATAGTATGTGCGTTCTATTAGTCACGTTTCTGTTTCGTAGATATTCTCTGCCCCGATCTATCTACTATTGTAACAAATGAAACACAAGTAACATGTACAAATGGATTTGTAAAGAATTCAAATTGTGATATGAGTTGTCCTGAAGGAATGACATTGGATGGAAGTACGGGATCAGGATCTGTTATTTGTGAAGACATTGATGGTGACGGAGAAGGAGAATGGAATGAAACTGCAGCTAGTTGCAAAGGTATGTGATTGTGAAGTCAAAACTAATTTATATTTAATAGAATGAGAACATATAAAGACTACAACTCTGATCATGTAATGTATATTATTAGCTGTTTCAATCTTGTATTTGACTAATGGTGATTTTGATTTATAATCAACAGTACTTGGTTTGTGTTTTAAACATTGTCAACGTAAAAAAATTTCTTGAATAACAGTTGGTTGATCCTCTTGTGTTTTCCACTTTATCATTGACAATTTCTAAAATTGTTTGGTCCACAGTCATCACTTGTCCAACTTTGGATCCATCAACTCTAGCACCTGAAACTGTTTTTGATTGTACTGGAACAAATACATTCGATTCTGAATGTACATTCAGTTGTCCCGATAAGAAGAAATTAAATGTAGAAACCGGTGTTATTAAATGTGAAGATTTTGATGATGATGGAGTAGGAGAGTGGAATGCTCAGATACCGGATTGTATCAGTTAGTTTTTTTTCTTCTGAATATGTTTATGCTGTACTTTTGTTGTTATAAGTAAGGTAAAATCAATACATAGCTTTATTGCAACATGATCGCCGACATTAATATAGGTTGTCTGATTATACAGTGAATATTTTACCCCAAAACCCTGATATCAAACACCTCATAATTAATGCGACCTGAAAACATATTGCTTTAATGTAACCATGCCATTAATTTTCATATTAGATATCATCTGTCCATATATAAATAAATCAATATCAAGCGATACAATAGCAAGTTGTTCAAATGAAAATATAATCGATTCATCTTGTACTGTAAGTTGTAATGAAGGCATGACATTGGATGGTACTGGATCTGAGACAGTTGTTTGTGAAGATAATAATAATGATGAGGTTGGAGAATGGAGTTCAGCTGCATCGAATTGTACTGGTAAAGTATTTAAATAATAGATAAATTGTCATATAATTATCATCTTCTCTTTCATGCTCAAAAGATAAATAAACTAAAGAAAATCGCTATACTTCCGAATTACGTGACAGCCCTATATGTTAAATTGGAAAATTGTTCCACTCACAAAAAATTGTGTTAACTAGTTGAGTTTTGTATTTTGCTAGCTTATTTCAGGTATGACCATTTTGTCCCCACTCATATCTATATCCGGATTTACCAACTTGTGACACTTACAAAATGATTTGCAAGTCCAAATAGGTGTACACATGGTTCAATATTTACACAATAGAAATAGTGATGATGGTACATGTGGTGTAACTGGTATGTACACATGTTTCACGTTGTGCGAGTGGTACCATTTCTAGATTTGATATAAGTGTTTAAAGTTGTACATGTGGTACAAATTGTACAAAGAGTACATGTGGTGCATCTGATATGTTCAGTACACATATTTCTTATCGTATATATGGTGCAGAGGGTAAACATGACACAATTTTCACAAATTGTGGCAAGGCATACATGATACTAGATGACACAAGTGGTACATTTGGTGAAATTATGAAAGTGGCATACACAGAAGTGAAACTCTTCTTTGCATTGCACAAGATTTTCATGTACAAAAGGTATATGTGGTGCAAGTGTATACATGTTGCTAAAATGGGACAAGTGGTAAAAGTGGTAGACATGGTACATGTGGTGCAAAAGGTATAAATGGTTCAAATGGTGCAATGGGCCTATACATGGTGCAAGCATATTTTATGGTATGTGATGTAAAAGTTGTACATGGAGTACTAATTATAGAAATGCGATAAACATTTCACTAGTAGGGAGATATTATGCAAGTGGTATGCATGCATGGTGCAAGTGGTGCCAATGCTGCCAAATGTTGACATCAGCATTTAGGAAAATCATTCACATAAGGTAATGTATGTGTTTATTTTTTTGCTTGGTTCTTTATATTTGTAACATCAATCTGGGACTAAGTATAAATAGCATAGTATTTATAGCACAAATGGTGTGCATTTTGTTTTTTGACAAAGAAAACTTCATTTGATGAATAAGATAGGCCAGGTTCTTCATTTGAATTGGCTTCAAGTCACTGATGAATCAATTTACAATGTGCTGAAGTGAGGCATGCTCAAGCTGCTGGATGTCTCAAATTTATGATACAGATGTGGATAGGCCAAGATGATATACAGTATTTCAATAATATATGCAACTTACCGTAAATAATTCTTTGATCAAAATCTTGTCAAGTTGAGTTCAGGTAATAATCTATTCATTTTTCAGAAATACTTTGTTCATCATTTACTATGTCTAACTTCTCTTCTGGAACAACTTTCAACTGCTCAAATATAAATATCTATGATTCTGTATGTACATTTGAATGTACTGATACAATGAAATTAACTGGTGGAATAGATACAATAGAATGTGTTGATTCAAATAATGATGGTGTTGGTGAATGGAATATTGATGTACCTGATTGCATTGGTGTGTATATTTTCATGCATTCATTAGCTCAGTTTTTTATGTGATGATTGTTATATGATTGTATGAAAAGTTTGACATGAAGGTTTTAGCATATACCCTATTTTTCGGCTAATAAGCAAACTGATGAGTGAGGCGAGTTTTAGCACCAAAAATGGGGTTTATTATGACTATCCCATATTCCCGCCCAATAAACAAATGCAGAAAAATATTTTAATATTTGTTTTCATCAGTCAAGCAGCAAATGCGCGCTCTATTTTTATCAATTCTATTTTGCTATTTAGAAGCTTTTTTAAATTGGGCAATGAAATCAGAGTCCGCTCACAAATGTGCAGATGACTAGTTTTAATTATATATTCTGACTGCTTTTGTCAGCTTCAGTGGCATTTTGTCCGCGGACATCGATAAACTAAATTCCGTCACTAAATCACTAAATTCTCCCTATCGCTTGCCATTGATGGGGTTTTGAAGTCAAAAATCTGCGCTGATTGAACTTTTCTGTTTTACAGCCATAATAAGCCAAAATCCCCCATAATAAAAAAGTAAGTCCAGATGACTAATAAGCAGACAGGCAAAAAAATGGGTTCAAAAAATTAGCTTATTAGCCAGGAAAATATGGTTTATGTCTTACCATTCGGTTGTTACATATAGTAATTAAAATTTGAATGTTCTTGAAATTGCTGATGCTAGAAACATGTAGAAACACTTAGTGGTTAGGGTTTACTATCTGTCAATGAAGATTTACAAAATTTAATGTAAAACTATTTTATTTTGTGTTTAAGCCTGAAAATATAATAATGGCTTTTTCACAATAGGTGGAAAATATAACATCCTATTTACGTACATTTCACTGTTGTTTAATTGTTTTATAGTCAACCCCAACTTGAATTAAACGAACAGCTGCATTTGCATACGTATGTTATCATTTTTTCATATTGGAAAAATCTTCTGTCATGAAGATCTTGTACAAAATTATTTTTTGTAGTATATATTGTCTTACAATAGTCTGTACTTTATGCTTCTCCTATTCAGATATCCTCTGCCCTGATCTCTCTACTATTGTAACAAATGATACTCAAGTAACATGTACAAATGGATTTATAAAGAATTCAAATTGTGATATGAGTTGTCCTGAAGGAATGACATTGGATGAAAATACAGGATCTGGTTCTGTTATTTGTGAAGATAATGATGGTGATGGAGAAGGAGAATGGAATGTATCTGCAGCTAGTTGTAAAGGTAGTTGGTCAAAACTAATAGTACCCATATTTTTCAAAATAAGAACATGTAAAGACGCTGAATTGTCCATTATTAGCAGTTTGAATGTGCTATTTGATAAGTGGTGTTTTGACTGATTTTTTTTGAATGTCTTGGCGTTTTCTGAACTTGATGTAGTGTGATAGAGAATAGAAAAAATTTACATATTGGATATCTGTATAGAGTTTTCAACTTCACTATTGATAGAGCTGTTAAAAGTCTATATTTTTATTTTTTACAGTCATCACTTGTCCAATTTTGGTTCCATCGACTCTAGCACCTGAAACTGTTTTTGATTGTACTGAAACAAATAGATTTGATTCTGAATGTACATTCAGCTGTCCTGATAAGAAGAAAATAAATGTAGAAACCAGTGTTATAAAATGTGAAGATTCAGATGATGATGGAATAGGAGAGTGGAATGCTCAAATTCCTGACTGTATTGGTTAGATTGTTTATTTATCGGTTTAATATATGTCGCATTAGAGGGGAAAAGATTTGCATTGGATTCAGAAGAGTCCTATCTACCAGTGTTAAATTAAAGTTCCCAAATCATGAGGCCTGAGTCGTCGAGATATTACGAGTCATTGTTGAAAGGAATAAGGAATTTCTATATTTTCAATACAACATTAATCACTGTTGTAAGTAGTACCTAACCAGAGTTTATTCTGATTTTCAAAACTCCTTTCCTCCTTCAAAATTTCCTCCAACTCTCTCTTGTGCTCTGTTGTGTCGAGTTATTTTGCTCAGAGGACTCGAGTCTTTAAAAAACGTGACTCTATCTCAAGTCTTCAAGACTTGAATGTGACCAGACTGTTACATTTTTTCCAGATATTATCTGCCCATATGTAAACAAATCAATATCTAGCGATACAATAGCAAGTTGTTCAAATGAAAACATAATCGATTCATCTTGTACTGTAAGTTGTAATGAAGGCATGACATTGGATGGTACTGGATCTGAGACAGTTGTCTGTGAAGATAATAATAATGATGAGATCGGAGAGTGGAGTTCAGCTGCTTCTAATTGTACTGGTAAAGTATGAAATATTTAATAGTATACCTATTTCATGGGTTCCCAATTTTTGTAAAATCTCGCGACCCAATGATATATTATACAATGAAATACGAGACTTGATGTAGTGCTGTTATTGCCCGCAAAATTAAATGGGTATTATAAAACCATATGAAATTAACTAGAAAATAAAATCAGTAATTTTTTGTTGAAAAAACGAGCAACCCGAGTGGCTCTCAGGCAACCCAGTTTTGGGTGCGACTCGTAGGTTGGGAAACACTGGTATAGACAATGTTATGTAATACAACTCACACCAATAATATTCGGAGACTATAAGTCAATTTTCTATTCATTTCTAAATATCAGATCTTGATGATTGTTAATAATTTCTAAAATGATGGATCACTTTAGATAGGGTTTGGTATTTATAAATTAGCTAACCAACATGGTAGATTCTAAATATATTATAACGATTTTACATTGCACCAAACACAGAATCATGTTACTCATGCCAAGTGTAAATCAAACATTTGTGAGATGACAGTGTTGATTGTTTTCGAGATTTGTGACTTTCTCTGGATTGTTTGCCATGCTGTTTAAAGCTTATGTTATATATAAGAAAGAACAGTTTGTTGAGACTTCTGATCTCCCAGCATATTTACAATTTTAATGGACTTGTTATTCAACTTTTCAAGCAGCTAAAATTAGGTCTAACTGTCATTGATCAGCTATCGTCAAGAGCAGTGTTGTTCAAACTTTTTTCATCACAACCCACTTGGCATAGCCAAATAAAAAAAAAATTGTGACCCTCAGTAAAATATAAAAATACAGGAAATTAAAAAAAATAGTGAAATTGACAATACCTCGAGGGCCGATGTGCAAAAAAACGAATCTTGGCTCTGTTGGGCCGATGTGCAAAAAAACGAATCTTGGCTCTGTTCTGGTGACGGTGTGTCTCAGTACTTGTTCCAAATTTAAGCAATATCGGTTTTAGCATAAGTTAGTGTTAAAAAAGATTGTACACCTCCATTGAGCTCCTTTGCGACTCACCGGGCAGGTCAGCCAGTTTAAAGAGCCCTGGCCAAGAGAATGAAGTGGCAGAAATTGTGCATTGTTGGTGTTTGTGTGCTGCTAGGCTGTATGTTTCTATCAGAATTCATAAATATTCTGAATCTGTGATAATGTGAAGGTTTCATATTTTGGGTTTTTGTTTTGTGTTTTTAGAGTGTAAGCAATCTCATAACAATATTGCAAATATTAGGGTTGGTGCCGATGCTGTGTCCCGTGTGTCTTCATTAAAGATATATTTCGTGCAGAAAGCCATCTGCATCTAAAACATGTGTAGACTTGACACTTTACATTTTGGAAGGAAGGAAGAGACCACAAGGAAATTTTCATTTGCTGGTGACAATATACACAATGTACAAGCATCTCGGTTCATTTAATGTATTTTCCATTTCAGAAATACTTTGTCCATCTTTTACTATGTCTAACTTTTCTTCTGGAACAACATTTAATTGCTCAAATATAAATATCTATGCTTCTGTTTGTATATTTGAATGTATCGATACAATGAAATTAACTGGTGGAATGGATATAATAGAATGTGTTGATTCAAATGATGATGGTGTTGGTGAATGGAATATTGATGTTCCTGATTGTATTGGTGAGTATATTGTTTTTTAGCAGATGCTGTGTGATTGTTTGAATGTTTCATACGTATTGTACAATATCACTATCATCAGAGATATATATATATATTGCATTTCTTTATTAGGTAAACATATTATCAACTTGTTTTCTTAATAAAACATACTTTCGGCTTACTATCTATTATTTGTAGCTTATTGTTAGCTAGTTATTTTTGAGGTAGGGCGCAAGACTTAAAATTTTGTATTTATTCTGGTTAGATGGCGTGATCATATGTCGAACCACAGCGCCTCATCCAGTTACTTACCTATGTCGTGTATGGGAAAGTGTAAGAAAATGAACTTAATACCTTGATGCCCGATATCATGTAATGGCTCAAACTGTTAAATGTTACTTCCATAAATATTATGGGGATTATTGTTCATAGATGTTCAATGTCCTGATCTATCTACTATTGTAACGAATGAAACACAAGTGACATGTACAAATGGATTTATAAAAAAATCAAATTGTGATATGAGTTGTCCTGAAGGAATGACATTGGATGACAGTACAGGATCTGGATCTGTTATTTGTGAAGATAATGATGGTGACGGAGAAGGAGAATGGAATGAAACTGCAGCTAGTTGCAAAGGTTTGTGGAGTTTTTTGGACTTGGTGATGGTGATATAAACTATATGTATTTCAGTACTTGCTTGCTGTTTTGGATTATCTGAACTCAATGGAGCATTATGGTAGTGACTTCAACGCAGTTGAAAGCTGATCGAAAACTATAATTTTACCAGGGTTAAATCATATGGCGAACCATGGCCTCTTGTCCGGTTACCAGTTCTCGTTGGATATGGGATTAGTTAGCCATTTATTTTGTTTTCGATCACATAAACTTGGTGGTGGGGGAGGCCATAACCGACCAACGGTTATGTGAATCACCCTACAGCAGCGATGAGTCCAGCAATCTTCTCGCACATAATTATCCCCCATGTGGTTCGAACCTGCGAAGCCACGCATGGTGATCAGAGAGGCTGTGGCAAGCATAGCATAATGCGCCACGCCAGTGACCAACAACTGAGTTTATCTTTTTCTTAATCCTCAAGTTGATTGTTTTTCTTCGTATAATTGTATTACTACAATGTTTTGGTGAAAATATTATGATTCGTTTCCAAGGTAGCCAGGCATTGTTGCCAATGTTAAAGCTCACTCCGGACAATGTCTTAATATAGTTGTGAATAAATGGTAGTTTCCATTTTATAAATTGCACTTCTTGGTATTGATTCTGAATTTGTTCAAAAATGATATGCAAGTAAACTGATAGTTTGACAGTTAATTAACTTACTCTGTATTTACTGTTTATTTCATTTTCAGTCATAACTTGTCCGACCTTGGATCCATCAACTCTAGCACCTGAAACTGTTTTCGATTGTACTGGAACAAATACATTTGATTCTGAATGTACATTCAGTTGTCCTGATAAGAAGAAATTAAATGTAGAAACCAGTGTTATAAAATGTGAAGATTCTAATGATGATGGAGTAGGAGAGTGGGATGCTCAAATTCCTGATTGTATAGGTAAGTTTATTCTTTACTGAATTTCTATGTACAAGTCATTTTGTATTTATAGCTTCTATGGCAGATGTGTGCAACATTTTTTGTCGGGTGGGGCCATATGACCATTTCAGACATCTAGCCGGGTCACACAGAAAATTTAGTGGGAAAGAGAAGAGAATGTCGCTATCTGCTTATCCTTATCGTAATAAAGGCACTGTGCAAAACTGCGAAAGATTTAACGCAGCGACAAGAGCAAAAAAACATGTATTTTGATCTATGTGAGCGCCTTTTCTAACATGGACCTGTATTGGATTTGGATTTTATGCTTGATGGGGAAAAAGCTTGAGAGTTGACAAGGGCCACATTGGATAACTTGGCAGAGTGGGTTGTGGCCCGCGTCGCCTGTTGCACATCTCTGTTCTTCTATGGTATATTAGTTTGTCTTATTACATGTCAACATTGCTATAGATAATTGAACATGGTATAATCTAATTATGATGATATTATTTACCCATTTCAGATATTATCTGCTCATATTTTAACGAATCAATATCAAACAATACAACAGCAAGTTGTTCAAATGAAAATATAATCGATTCATCTTGTACTGTAAGTTGTAATGAAGGAATGACATTGGATGGTACTGGATCTGAGACAGTTGTTTGTGAAGATAATAATAATGATAAGGTCGGAGAATGGAGTTCAACTGCTTCAAATTGTACTGGTAATTGGTAAATACTATATGGCTGCAACAAACCTTCAATTAAATACAATTTTTCCTACTTTCTCAGGTTCATAACATCATTTGACCTGTTTCTGATACATATATGTACATTTTGGTGGTAACATTTCTCACATACTGGAGTTTGTTAATTTAGTATAAGCACTGGGAAGCATAATTTCATTTTCTTCAAATTATAGTTTTAATTTGAATGGCCAAAACAATTGTGCAGATCATCTGACTAGTCAGACTCACCTCGATTAAACTATTTGCACACTTTTCATGCAACTCAACTTTTGAAAAGTTGCACACCACATGTGGTAATTGCACCATCTGTACCATATGGATCATACATACAGCATTTACATGTGTAGTATGTACTATGTAGTATGTGTACCGTTATTGCAAAAGTGTACCACTTGTACCTTTGTATCCTTTGCACTACCTCTATTGCTTTTTGCACCAGTTGTACCACATGCATAACTACCACTAGCACCATTTGCTTTTTTGTATGACCTGTAGGTATTACAGCATTATTTTATGATCTGCGTATATTCATGGCATCTTTTATTTACTTGTTGTCAAGCATCCTATTCTTAATTTTTGTTGCTAAATTACCAAGACTGTAAACTTCACATTTTGGCCAAGATTTTCAACAGGACTGGACAACCGAAGCTATAGAGCCAAGACATTTTGTTGGAGCTAGAGTTGAGCTTACCATGACAGATGGAGCTGGAACTACCAGAAATTTTATTAGCTACTACTCCAGACCATCCTATTATTTTTTCACATTTATAATTTTCTACTACTTCATACAAATAATAAAATCTATCCTTTTTCAGCTTATAATTTTTTCAATATTAATTTTCTAATATTTAAAAGTATAGAATTAAAAATTTTAAAATTTATAACCCTTCTACTATGGTTTTGAGTCCCACTGCTGTGAAACTACATCAAGGGCAAAATTTCATGAAGGTGGTCATAACGAAAATCCTCAATGAAGCTAGAGCCCAAGGGGAAAATGAAATACAAGAGCTGCAGCCACAGTTTAAAAATGCCGTAAAGCTGGAGCCATTGTGATATCAAACCAGTTACCCATTGTTGGTACCAACTATCAGCAAATACAAGTTTCCTTACCCTAACATGTTCAGGTAATAATTTATTTTTCAGAAATACTTTGTCCGTCTTTTACGATGTCCAACTTTTCTTCTGGAACAACTTTTAACTGCTCAAATAGGAATATCTATGCTTCTGTTTGTACTTTTGATTGTACTGATACAATGAAATTAACTGGTGGACTGGATACAATGGAATGTGTCGATTCGAATGATGATGGTGTTGGTGAATGGAATATTGATGTACCTGATTGTATCGGTAGGAATATTTTATGTAGTAGAATTGTTGCCATCAAGTGCTTTTTATATAAATAACAAAATTTTCAATTTTTTATGTATTTGATACTAATATAATACAATTAGTATTACATTATCAAATAATGGATAAATTACAGTAATATATCAGTATCTTGCCAGTGCCATGTCCCAGTTGAAATAATAGACTTTTATTGCTGTTGTTTGCACTCTTCATGTATTTTTTCCGCAGAACCAAACAATTAAGCGTTCTCTTACCCGAACAACAGTTCTCAAAGTATCCATGGTTAGGAAACCTTGATGTACATGTATTTTGATAAAGATTACATGGATTGTGTGAACAATCCACTACATTTTCTCATATTCATATAGATATAGTTGGTACTATTCCTTAATTGTTTTCTAAATCCTAAATACCACCTTGGCAAAATTTACTACCCTATTCATGTATATAAAATTGACTGTTGTATCTGTCTAGTGCAGGCCTGCACACATCATGCCGGATTATGCTGAGCCTGTTGCAAACAAAAGGTGTAACATTTCACATTAAACTTTATTTTGTGAGATTTTGTGTTTATTGTTGATTTATTGTCAATGCTTGCAATGAATCTTACATTTTGATAGTTTGCTATGATTTGTCCCTGTCTTGAGGAGGTTACTATTTCTCAAAAATAGCCGAAAGCGGTTACTAGCCCTAATAAAAGATTCACGAAACAAAGCAATTAATAAGTTTTTACTGCCAAAAAGTACTAGAAACAACAATTAGATGTGTTAGTATGTTGGTAAAGAGGTAACGTTTTTTTTTTACTTTTTCCACGATCACAAGACGTTACACCGCAACAGGGGTAGTTACAACAGCGACAGCATGCGGCCCGCGACAAGTAGTTTTGTGCTGTTATGGCCCTTGTACTGCATCCAGTTGTGCAGTAACAGGTAGTTCTAGTTCTAGTAACAGGTCATTTATCATCTAGATGTTTCATGTCCTGATCTATCTACTATTGTAACGAATGAAACACAAGTGACATGTACAAATGGATTTATTAAAAAATCAAATTGTGATATGAGTTGTCCTGAAGGAATGACATTGGATGACAGTACAGGATCTGGATCTGTTATTTGTGAAGATAATGATGGTGATGGAGAAGGAGAATGGAATGTTTCTGCAGCTAGTTGTGCAGGTAGACAAATTGCAAAGTTAAAATTATATACGGTACTTTGCATACTTTGATTTCAAATTCAAGCACCATCAATGTTGCTGCTGTTAAGAAATATTGTTTTTCTCCTCAAGTGGCTCAGGCTGTTACGCTGAAATTAGCTATCAGTTCTTTCAAATTACAGTTGGTTAAGTATTTCAATTCCAAATGATGGTTATGAACACCTTGTCAAACACTCGCAAATAAGCATCGAAAATTTTGCAATAGTGAAATATACCTGTAATAGGAATTTAGAAGTACAGGTTTTTGTGGGATCAAGGGTCATGAAAAATATTAATATACTTCATTTTTGTTACTTTCAGTTATCACTTGCCCAGCAATCAACACATCAGCTATCTCATCAGAAACCATGTTATCATGCACTGAATCTAAAAATTTTGGATCTGAATGTACATTTTCATGTCCTGAGTTCATGAAATTAGATAATGATGGTACGGCCATGCTGACATGCGAAGATGCAAATGATGACGGTATTGGAGAATGGAACACTGATATTCCAGAATGCATAAGTATGATAATGCATATTTGATTTTGTTTCACATATTCAGCTTTTGGGACGAAAAGACTGTACTTTTCTATACAAAGTTTATGTGCCTTTCACTTCGAACACTAGTATAAGCATTCACTGTTATGTAGGGACTGGTTGACAAAACAAGAAACTTTATTCTATCTTTCTCTTGTTGCAGATATCGTCTGTGAGGCGATTAATACATCTTTAATTAATCCCGAACTTGGGGTATCTTGTTCATCTGAAAATCTTGTCAATTCGGAATGTCACTTCTCGTGCTCAGTTGGTAAGAAATTAGAAAATGGCGATCCAATCATTTCTTGTAATGATGATGATAATGATGGGTTTGGTGATTGGAATGGAACTTTTCCCAGCTGTACAGGTGGAGTTTTTAATAGGGATGGGACGAGTCCGGCATTACAGAGATTCGACGAATCCGAGTAATAGGTCAGGGACTCGAATCGAATCCTCCGAGTCCGTGACGTCACAATGTAAAAGTAGAAAAACACGTTTTCGACCATACTACAGCATCGCGCGCTCACAAACATACGTCGTAGCTCATATTTTTGCCTAATGGTTCCGCAGATAGCTGTTGAATCAATATAAAAATATATTTTTCGTCTTTTTTGGCGGCCATAATACAAACGTAAACGTGGGTCAATGTGCGCCTTGGCTGTGAACTGGATTTCCAGCCCACCACCTTGCGTCAATTCTGGGCGGCTATTTAGAAATTCTTACATGTCAAATAGGAAAATAAAAAGCTTTTGACTTCAATGCTTTCTCATAATTTCAGATATTTCTAGCCTTAAATTTACTATGCCGCGTGTGCAAATGGTAGAGAGATGCCACTCGTCGTCAATACAATGCTTGCAATTTAGTAGTTCATGTAAACGTTCTGAAACGCTCCATGCTTTCCATTGCTCCCTTTTTAGAGAAAGGATTGCACGTAATAAACTCGATTTAAAAGAGGTATTGGTGAGATTTCCTCTTGGGTTGAACGAGCGCATGTTTCATATTTATTTACGCAAATCGAAAACTCAAAAATAATGCGCTGACACATATTTTATTGTGTACCACATGTATACCAAAAACGATAGATAGTTTGAAGGCGACTGGCGCATCATTGTTATAAGCTATCAATAGTTTTTACCTTGCGGTATATTATCTGGTTATCTGTCGTCGTTTTTATTAGGAGTGTTATAATACACACGGGTGATATTGTTACATATCGTCACGCTAATAACCGAATTGCGTAAGTCATTTTTAGCAGTTTTGAGAAAAACGTAAAAAACTTCCTAATGAAATTGCTATGCCATTGAGAGTCAATAATTTGCCATGGTTGAATTTTTTGATCGTAGCCGGATTTAAGTTAATTTGTATGACGCAGTCATGTGACGTCATAATGACGCACTGTGACTTAGGCAGAAATGTGTCTATGACTAGGGGACATACGCAATTTTGCAACTTGACTATATGTACCAGTCCTGAAAACCAAACAATCCAAAAACGAATGTAATTCTTAGTATATACGAAGTCTAATCCCCAAAATAGCTAATCTGTTTCAATTACATTATTTTTTATGTTTAAAATATATATTTCATCAATACAACACGCTCTGCACATCCACCGAAATAAGACTAAAGTTAAATATGAAGAATAAAACAGCGATGTACCCTTATATTAAAGCCAACCAAGGTGAATTGGACTCAGACAGTAAATATCACAAGTGCACGCCTTCCTATACTGTAGTATAAATTGAAATTTATAAGCGCTAAGCTAGAATCTGAGATGCAAAAACTCGAAAATCCTTGGCCGAGGTTATTTTGCCTTTGTGACGTCACAATAGTCCTGCGTTAACAGTGATAATTCATTATGACGAAACAATTGAACAAATTTGCATATTATACAAAATCTCTATTTTTATGGGTTTCGGAATTCTTAAAATAAAATCTGAGTTAACAGACAGGTGCGCAGCATTACATAAATACCTGTTTTATAAAAAACTCAAAACCGCCAGAAATGACTTACGCAATTCGATTATTAGCGTGACGATATCTAACCTTGAATTTCAACTAGTTAAGGTATGTAGTGAGATTTATAGGGGTGAAAGTACAAACATAGGCGTAAATTAGTAAAAACAGAATTGATTATAGACTCGGCAAAAACGACGTGGACTCGAAATCGAATCCGAGTCCAAAAAATGCCTGGATTCGACTCGAATCCGAGTCCGGATCCGAATCCCGGCCCATCCCTAGTTTTTAATGGTTTGTTAGTGTTGCGTGACAAATTTTATTTTTTTTCTGAAAAACACCTGAAATTTTATTTTTTTATATATTTTCTCTGAATGCTTTGTTATTTACTAACTTAATTATTTATAGTTGAAAATTAATGTCTTCATTCTGAACGAAACAACAAAATAATCTGTAAATTTTTAATAAATGACTTTCTTACTAGCGAAATTTTCCCACATGCTGTATTTTCCTGTTAATAAGTCTATTCGGCAAATGAGACCAGGCCAATTCTTAGTACCAAAATTTTTTCCCATTTAACTACCCAATAAGTTGGGGCAGGAAAATTGTGTTACTTTGCTTCTCTGTTTGTCAGTTAACCCTTTCCGTGCGGTGGGCACGTATACGTACCCACGACAAAACTCGCTAGATTGCGGCGGGTACGTTGATGTACTTCACTGTTTTATTTAGCAATGGGTCGCAAACTGTTGGTCTAGTTTTTCCGGGTTTTAGTATATTGATAAGAAGTCTTCTTCGAGATTAACATAAGCGACGGTAAATCTCGCTTTCGTTTACGACGGGAATTTTATTTGCGGCGGAACGAGGGAGTGTTTTTGAAATTTATGCAAATTTCGGTGTTTTTTGGGTGGTAATAGAAGACATATTATCCCTTCCATCTACCAAAATATTTTGAGTTAGATCACGAAATTGCTACAGCAATATTATGCTATTGTCTGCCAACCACGAAGCGTAACAGTAAAGAATTTAGCGAATATTTCTATTTTTTATCACAGTTTAGAGTTTCAACTCCCAAGAAAAAAAAAATGCCTTTTTTCCATCCGGTTTGTGACTCAGACCACCACTTTTAAAAAACCTTTTTTTTTTAATCGCCAATTGCAAGCTCTTTAAATAAGCTTTCCAACGAGCCGTCAGTGGGCAGCAGAGGATCATTAGTTTTTCGTTAGTCGATCGATTACTTGTGGGGGTACAAATGCATAAAATCGGCGTAGCAAATACGATTATTTATTAAAAAATAAAAACCGCATGGAAAGGGTTAAGCACTAATGTTTGCTCTATTTTTATCGATTTTATTTTACTAATTTTCCATTAGTGTGTTAGAACAAGATTATGTTTATTTCACTAGAATCATACGGCCATGAAATTTACTATTCTCCCCAATAAAGCCAGTACTTCATAAGTTAACTGCTGTGTCGAATAGTCTTGTGACATTTCTCTTATTGTTTGAATTGTCAAAATCCAAGAGTCATGAATCATTTTATCTCCCAGTTGCCATATTTTTCTTTTTATTGGCCATACATAGGCAGTAATTCATCACACAGCGCCACTTATGCCACCAAGTTTTAGTCAAATTTCATTGATATGTTTGAGATGGGATATGTGAAAAAATGAGCAGACTGCAAAAAAAAAATAGGCCCAACTGCCAAATAATGGGACCCCAGAAAATCAGGTCAAAAAATTGGGCCCAGAAAATCTTAAAGCTGGAAAATATGATACTTACTGATATCTGGTAAATCTAATAACATAGTAATTTATTGCATCCTGAGTGAGGTTTTGTTCACAACGTTTGAACCAGTCCAGGCTTCCAAGCTTCTGACTGTCTAATTATTTTTGCACATTTTTATTTTTTCCAATACTCCAGCTCTGTTCTAACTTGCGATGCAAACACAGCTAGATTCTTGATCCCGAATCTGGAAACTCATGTTTTTAATCATTCTATCTTACATATTGATAATTTATATATTTCAGAAATTCTATGTCCTTTGCTTGACTCTGAAAACTTTGCCCCTGAGACCAAATTCAATTGTACTGATGAATTTCATCGAGGAACACAATCATATGGAGCAGTCTGTGGTTTTGAATGCTTAGAAGGAAGTATGCTAAATTCAAAATTAGATCAGGAAATAATTCAATGTGGAGATACAGATGGAGATTTTAATGGAGAATGGAATGGAACATATCCTGATTGTTTTCGTGAGTTTGAAGAGTATTTCTAGATTCAAATTTGACCCGTAGATTGTTTTGCTGAATTTATGCTGAATTTTTTTGTTGCAGCTATTAGACTAATAGATTTTGAATTATCTAGAACAGGGGTTGCAACAGGCAGCCCCCGGGCCACTACCCGGCCCACCAAGTCATTTAGTATGTCCCCTTGTCAACACTCAGATTTTTCCCCATCAATCATAAAATCCTAGGTTCAAAATGGGTGAATATATGATGTATAAAACTTTCGCCGTTGTGCCCGGTGGCCCTATTACTGTAGGGCTAATCGATATCCTTTTTTGTGTGCCTCAGTTAAATGTCTGAAATTGGTTATTTCATCGTGATGTGCTCAAATTTAACGAACTCACGAGATTTGATCGTTTTTAGAATATCCATAGTGATGGACTTGAATTCAAATTACCACTATATTAGACTAAGAGTGAATTTGACTTACGAAAAAATTTATTTTTAAAAAGAAGTATTTATTTATCATCTGATAGGATATTTGATAAATATTAAATATGTATTTAATTTCAAATTTCCGAATTGAAAGTTTATATAACAGAATGTTATTTTCTATATTATATAGGTTTTACACTTATTGTAGTCTATTAAGGTTGCATTTCTGTTTTGCATGCATAAGGTCATAAATTGTTTTCAAGCAAGAATAGAAAAGCAGTCTTGATCAGTGTTGATTTCATATAATTATTTTTCTTAGCTTAAACGGGTCATTTTCAGATATATTCATTTTATCACTAGTATCAATTGATTTAAATGAAAAGTTTTTTAAATGAAAACTATTGATCTCATGATGTAAAGGGGTTAATAATGACTCCTCCCTTATGTCATAATTCAGAAATCAAATGCGAGATAGAAAATGCAAATATATCAGAAGTGATTTCAAACTGTACAAAATCAAATAAATACGGAACAGAATGTCAACTTTCATGTCCTGAAGGAACTAAATTAACTGGAGAGACAGATTCACTCACATGTCATGACTCTAACAAAGATGGTGTCGGTGAATGGAATGTGGAATATCCTTCTTGTGTTGGTATGTTAATATGAACTTAAACAATATTAGTTGGAGTTACCGCTTTCCTTGCTCTATGCGTTTGCGTTAGTAAAATGATATGTGTATAATGCAAGGATGCTGCTTTTTTATTGTTTTTATTTTTTATTCCACATCACTTTTTTTGATCAATTTGTTCAAAGCAAGGTCACACACACACTTACACAGAAATAAAGAATTTTCTGAGCGAATCTATGTGCGAACACTATCGTGACTAAAGCTACTGAGACTATAAATAATCAATCATATTGTAGAATAAATTTTCAATTGCTCAATTTGTTCGAAGAAGGTCACACACACTTACTCGGAATAAAGAAGTTTCTGAGTGAATCTAATGGCGAACACTAAAGTGACTAAAGCTACTGATACTAGAGATGTATCGGTATCGGCAATATCGGCCATTTTTTCGGTATCGGCCATGTATCGGTATCGGTTTGATTAAGGCCGATATTTCCGATATATTAACTTTTTTGATATGGTCCAGAATGTTTTTAAAGATAAGTTGAAATACTACTTTTCAATTTATTTTTTGTCCAGAGAGATCGTGAGCTATGAGCCATACATGTCCCCACCCTCGCAAGGGAATAGGATCCACCTGTTTTTAGCTATTTATCAGCCAAACTAGCTCAACTAATTTGGCTGTTTTCGCTGTCAAAATTTTATATTGACATTCTTAATACTACATAGTAATTTTGAAGAAATATATCAACACAGCACATAACAAAAAGCAACGAGGCGCCCAGTTTTAAATCATATACAGTGAAATTGGAGTCCTTGTTAACGCCACATGCACTTTGGGCACGGCTATAAATTCTGACTGTTAATCGTCAAGTACGAGTGTCATTTAGTCCGTCGACATCGATAAACTAAATTCCGACACAATTATCCCTATACGCAGGTATTAATTTCAATTTTGTTTAATTTCCTCATAGATATATTGACATGACCGCCTAGTGCCCTAGACTGTCTCAAAATATATGATAGCAATTGTAAAATATTATAAAATAGTAAAGTAAAAAAACATCCTCGACAGTTATAGGTAGGCCTTCTTTTTGTCGGCGCTGATTGATATTCTTTGATGTTGGCTTTGATTTATTGCGGCGACGATTATGATCAACCACAAAATAAAATATTTGTAAAATGCTTTTGATTTGAACGTAGGACGACGGCGTTAGAATGTGTGGGCGTTATTCGATATTCTTTTAAACACAAATAACGATATTCGAAGGTCGCGATTTTAACATTAACTTCGAATTGGACATCCCGGCTTATGAGTTTTCTAATTGAACACCGAGATTACTAGTGTCACTGTACAATGCATCTTAATCAGCATCTGGATACCAAACATCAATTTCATATTATGTTATATAATTCTTTTTTCGATCCCAAATAATGTGTACTATGAACAACGCTCAAAGACCATTGTTTTAACCCTTCTGCCCTACACAGCACACTTAATTAAGTAATAATTACATAGTATTGGAATATCGGTAATATCGGCATTTCTGTAGTATCGGTATTAGCGTTTTTAGCTGGTATCGGATCACATTTTCTATCATTTTCACACACTTCAAAAGTACACCAGTGGAATTTTTTTTTTATATATCTTCATATACTTTTGTTAACCATCTTAAATGATTGACATGAAATCTATCATTTGTTATGATTTTCAGATGTTCTCTGCCCTGATCTTAAGGAGCTCGTATCTGATATCACAAAAGTGAATTGTACTAAAGAATATAAGAAACATTCAGTTTGTACATTAAGCTGCTCTACCGGTAAAAGATTGGATAATGATGGGGGACCAGAAATGTTGTTATGTGAAGACAGGGATGCTGATGGATTCGGTGAATGGAATAGTACTGAAATGAGTTGTATAGGTAAAATTTACATTTTTTTCCCTTATACTCATAAAAAAGCAAATGATGTATATTCTAATAAATAATGTATGTTTTTTGTGTTTGAACACATACGGTTATTATCAAATGTGATTGCGATAAATACAACCATAGTAAAATAACTTTATACGCAGTTTACTCATACATAGGCTTGCATGGAATTTACGGAATTCATTTCCAGTTACGTCAGTAAATTAGAAATTACCTAAGGTCATAATTAATGACATTTTTGTGGGCTCATGCAACTTATAATTAAGGCATGGCGAATTCTCATTCGATTGTCATGAGGAGTTGCAGAGTGTATGATGGCGAATAGGTATATTCTCTCTTTTTTCTTGGTAAAGCTTGGTGAATAGCATGTAATTTTATCCTTTGCTGTAATCATTGAGTATGGCTTAAAATTTTTATTATTTGCCTAATCTGCCCACCTTCTTGTAGTATCATGGACTTATCCATTAAAAAATTGAAGGGTTGAGTCAGGATACTGAGCCCAATGTTCAGTTGTACATCTGATTTGCAGATCGTAGTACTGGGCTAATGGTAATACTGGACCTCAAAACTAGCAACAGAACCAAATGATCATTAAAACATTTTTCATCTAAATTTTTAACTGATCGCTGAGTTAACCCCGAATTACCATGTTACTTACCAATAAATAGTTGCATTGACAACCCGGTTAATCTTGGGACAGAGCCGTTGGTATATAGCGATAAATACACTACTTATTATAATGAATAATATTCACAGAATCCTTCAGCTATTTTATTATTGAAAATGCAACATTCGATATTCTCCTGGTTTGATTGTATATGGTGTGCAAAGATTATCTTCAAACCTCAATTACTATCAATTTATCGGGTGTCGCTGCTCGATAACCAGCGTTGGTTCCCCACGACTTCCCTTCCCCAGTAAAACTGTGTAAATTTATGCTTGTGATATTTTTTTACTAGTTGAAAAAAATAAACTTGACTTGACTTATCAAGACAATATGATCAATACAATCACAAATAAACACTTTTTATTTTTAGTTCCTGTGGCTGTGAATAACATTTTATGTGTTGAATATTTTTGTGACAGATATAACATGCGAAGAGATTGATTCAGATTCATTGCCAGAAACCAGCTTCGAATGCAATGACACTAATATTTTTGGATCAGAATGTATTTTTCAATGTCCAGATGGAATGCAAGTACCAAATGCTATATCGGAAATATATTGTGAAGATTTGGATAATGACGAACACGGCAGTTGGAGTGACCCTCTACCAATTTGTTATGGTAGGCATTACAAATGTACTTAATTGATACAACTTAAGTAGTTACAGTAATATACATAGGATTCGAAGATGACAATCTAGATATATTTTATGGAAAGTCAATTTTCAAAGCGAATAGAACTTTTTCAAACCGAAATAGCAGGATATAGTCTGATGACCCTGTGAAAATTTGCGGGTTCAATTGGGTGATAATAATGTGCGAGAGGATTTCCAGATATCTCGCACTCATGGGGTGGTCCATGATACCACTGGTCTGTTCAATCACACCATCAAGAACATGCACCTGAAACAACTGGCGAACTATTCCCGTACTTGGCATAGAATGCCAACCACATTAGGCTGTTTCATGTTCACGTCCTCCTATGCCTCCTCCAGCTTAACTAGCTTAACGTGCCCGCAGGTTGTATTGACAAAAAATAAAATATGGATAAGTAAGTATCTTTAGTATGCAATATGTATCGGTTTGTAATTTGTTCCAATCACCATTATTGTTCGAAAGTTAGATGGCCATTTCAAATTGTTTCACGGCCTCACAACAAATTCTTCATGTGTCATGCATTCTGTTATTGCAGATGTTGAATGTGATAAAATTAAAAGGTCAATGGTGACAGATGAAACGTTTTATTCTTGTTCAAACTGGAAATGTTCATTTTATTGTGATGATGGTACTACATTAGTTGGTGGCTCGGAAGTGCTTATATGTGAAGATCCACATGGAAATAAAACAGGAAAATGGAGTGATGAGGTTCCAAATTGTCGACGTGAGTTTTTACGTAATAACATGTCACCTATTCAATGTTGCTTGAGCCTACTTCCTATGATCTATTAATATCGTTTTTATGCAACATTTTGGAGTCACTGCTACATGAAGAGGCACTATTTTGATAAGGGACTGGGAACTAAAATAAATTTTTGCCCATTCAGTGTTGATTTTGCTGGATTTTGTTTTTTTTCTGAGCCTAGTGCCTAAAATCAATAAATATCTTTTTATGCATTTTATTCCGAATGTGACTCTGTAGAGGAAGTCAATCCCATATGATGAGATACTATTTATCACGGGATCAGAAAACAAAATATATGCTTTTCTGAAAATTTGGTTTCTTTTAAGCTCACTGCCTATAATCAAGAAAGCTCCTTTTTTATATGACATTTTTATTCTGAACAAGGACAGTATATTCATCAAATGATTTAATTATTATTTGATGACAATAACTTGTGCTATTCCTTTGTATGAATCATAATTTCTTCTTCTGAACAAAGCTCTCTACTTGCAGTCTTTGCAATGTTGGGCGTTAACTATTCTCAATATGCCACACTAACACTCTCAGCATTCCTTTAAATAAAATACTTTTCATTTCTTTCTCTAGCAATAAACTGCACCGAACTTGATTTAACTAATCTGTCGAACGATACAAAAATGACATGCACAAATTCGTATCATGCTGGTTCTGTGTGTTCATTTAATTGTCCGCAAGGAATGATATCAAATAAAGAATATAATGAAATGAAATGCCAGGATTTGGATGATGATGGCGTAGGTGAATGGGATGAGAATGAAATGCCTAATTGTATTCGTAAGTCGACATAAGAGTGTTTTGTTTTATTACATAAGAACAAAATACTGTAATACGTCGGTAGGCGAACATAATTTGTTTGGGATTGGTATTCGACTACCGATTTGTTAAGGTATCGAAACTTTTTTGCCATAAGAAGCAATGGTGATGTATTTATTACGTTCATGCGCATTTCAAAATATCAATAAAACGTATACCTAAACAACATTACCTATTTAAATGTTTTCATGCTAAAGAATAAACATAATGAAGATGAAACTGCAAAATTTTTTGTATCATTTACTATACCTTTGAGCAGTAGTTTGAGCAGCTCGGTTCCTTCCCTGAATAGGCTGGTTAATTCTGACTTGAGCTAATGCTTGCTGAATGGTCAAGATGCAGCCGAGATGCACGCTCGACTTGAATGGGGTGTTTGAGCTCCGAATTTGAGTTTGAGTACCGCATCATTTTTTACTCTGATTTTTTAGTCGGTATTGTTCAAGAGGAACTGAATATTCGGCAGTACAGTATTGTTCAAGAGGAACTGAATATTCGGCATAAATTTAAAATGAAAAATTTTATTTTTGGCTTTGAAGGTCTCACAGTATAACCAGAAAGACCTTTGTTCAATTTCTGAAAACTGTAAAAAATATAAAGCCAATCGAATTATCGTTTATCTCAACTTTCCTACATTTCCAAATTCAAACTTTTGTTGAAACTGATTCAATATGAAATAGATTCGCCATTTTTTGCCATATCAAAAATATTGTTTTTGAATATATACGCCAGTAGGTTATCAAGATTTGATCATGTCTACTGTCAATAAATCAATCTAGAAATCATTGTGTTATATATGTTGCATTACATTTTATATAAATGATTAATAAATATTTTCTAACGTTTTAGATATCTTTTGTGATGAAATTATATGGAAAATGGTAGACGATAAACTTGATATTAACTGTTCAAATACAAACTACTGGGGATCGGAATGCTTATTTACTTGTCCTGACGGAATGTGGGTTGATGGATCCGATACCAGCATGACATGTAAGGATAAAGATAAAGATGGAAAAGGAGAATGGACAACGGAAATACCCAAATGTGAAAGTGAGAAAATTTTTCAATGAAATATAATTATCTAGATCCTAATTTCTGTAAAGGCTTAGTGGTTGAAACGTGAAACTTATTGTATGTATGATGGAGTTGTGGATTCAAATCCCACCTAATCATCTCATGGATTTAATAAATTGAGAGGGTGAGCCACGCACCTTGAAGATGCCGGTCCTTCCAAAATTAAGCAGTTGTTTACATATCATTAGCTGCTTGGGCAGAGCCTTGTTCAGAGCAAAAAGCATATAAATACCTACAAACTACTTATCCTTCCTCTATGCTTTTACATTGGTGTATGTCTATGTCAGTTGATAAAAACAATACTGTTTGGTATATATATGAATACGAAGTATTCAAAGTATTAGAGTATTTCATTCGCTTTGAATGTCAGGGATGTTTATTTAGCCCATCTCTATTTTGTCTTCCAGGAATCAAATGCTTACCTGAATATTCGTTTTTACAAAATGGAATTGTCAACTGCACTGATTCAAATTTTTTTAACTCAACATGCAATTATACATGTGATTATAGTTTTCGATTGATTGGTTTGGCACCGGCATCTTGTTTTGATGAAAACAATGATGGAATCGGAGATTGGAATGCCAGCTTTCCTTTCTGTGAAGGTAAGAAAACATGTCTATCATTCATGTATTATCTCTCTGACAAATGACAATGTATTTTTCGGTATTAAAAATATCTTCTGTTTTTTATTGACATTTTTTTATTTTAGCAAAAATCAAAAAATCCGGTGTTGTTTTTAGCGATACCAAAAAATTGTGTTCAGATTTTGGTTTGGTTAATTGAATGACCATACGTTATAAAACCTTTCCTTGTCATAATTTAATATTAAAAAAAGGTTTTTTTTCCAATCTGTCGTAAATTGTATGGGACTTCAGGCATCTTGGTCAGAGTCTATATAACCAGTATTGGATTTGAACATGCTACTTTTGTGCCAATAATGCAAACTCTCATCCAGTTATAGGCGAACTGCGGCCCGTCCGCTAAAGCATTTTATGCAGTACCCTGCTTCTAGAGAAAGTTATGAAAATGAAACTACATACAAAATTGAGATTTCTTTTTAAACCCTATTTAAACTAAGAATTGTTAAAATAATATTAATGTTGTTTTCATCTTCAGTTCAGTAATGTCAGCCACTATTAAATTTGACACAATCATATCAAATGGGAATTGTGACATCCAAAAACATCTGAAAACAAACTGCTCTAGCCAATCAATAATGCATTTTTCCTAAAATCTTTCAAAAATTTTCTACACAGAATATGTAATCATTATTCCGAGCGATTGTACTGACTTAACTGATCCAGCTGATGGGGAAATGCAATGCACTGATGCAGCCTATGTTGGTTCTATATGTTCTTTTTACTGTAATAATGGATATGTTTTATTTGGTCCTGAGGAAATTGAATGCTTAGAAAATGAAGAAGAAGAAGATGCTTACTTGTGGTCCGATACTTTTCCTATCTGCTCAAGTGAGAACAATATTCTATTTATAAATATCTACATTAAATAATAAAATTTGGTAATGGCTTGAAAAATATATGTTTCTTTACCATGGGTGTCCAAAAAAAAATTCCCTTTTATATTTGATATTTGGGATTCTAGCTTTTTGGGATATTTTAGAATACCGGTATTTCCTTTGGAAAATTATCATTCTGAGCAATGAAAGCAATTTAATTGCTTTGAGTGAATATTTAAGAAAAACCTCAAGCAAAAGTGCGAGAAAATTGATGTCGAATAGCTTTCATCAATCCTTACACTAGTAAAGAGGGTAAAGAATGATCTAATATTTTATAGTTGACTACCATTTTTTCCAATTCTTTTTTATACATATTCATCAAACAATTGGTGAACCCAGGGCTGCAATTGTAGCTAAGATCAGCAAATCCCTAGACAGGAGTACGTTCGAGTGCTCGAAAATTTTGAGCATTGGACGTAGGGTTGTCTCCAGTGCTGAGACGGTCATTTGGAATGTCTTAGATGACTGAAACCTTAGGGCACAATCATACACAAACAGAAGTTTAAGTGTGAACAAAATTGAATACATTTTCTTATTCCTTGTAGAAGAAATTACCGTTAGTTTTTTCGACGACCATGTTTTTTCCTCATTTTATTTAATTTCAGCTTATTTGGGGGAATGTTTACCACCATATGGATCCCCTATTCATGGTGATGTATCTTGCACTGGCAAATCATATGTTACATCAGTATGTACATTTACATGTATCGAAGAATATCATGTTGTTGGTAGTAATGTGGTTACATGTAACGACAATGATTTTGATAAAATTGGTGAATGGAGCGATGATGAACCGATCTGCTTTCGTAAGTATACATAAATATATATCATAAACTCTTTCCATGGAATAGCAAGTATATTTGTAAGCTTTCATTAAATCATACTCTAACTTCATCAGACAAAACTCTTAAGATAAATATTATAGTTATTGTTGAGTCAAGCTACTTACATAAATTTCTATTCAGTGAAATAATAACTTCTAAATTAGCGTCAAATTTGTTTTGATGAAAAATCAGGAAAAAAATATTGATCTTTCTAGTGAGCTTTTCTATCTGTAAGTACAGAAAATTGGAGATCAATCACTTAGTTCATTATTTGCAAAAAAAATAAAGATTTTTTGTCTCAGTAACAAGATACAAGGATTTTGCGGTGGCCTAGCAGTAAAAGCGTTAGACTCAACCATTTTAGCATCACAGATCACTCATCTCTGGTTTGAATACCATGCCTGCCCCTTTGCCCAGGGTATATTGAATTGGGTAGGCAATATCAAACCTGAAAGATTCCTGTCCTTCCAAATAAAAGTAGTTCCTTACATATTGTGAGATTTCAGTAGCCGCTTGTATAGCGCCTTGTTTAGAGTGAACTAGCAGGAATATAACTAAACAATTTATATGTACACTTTCCCTTTGTTGTAATTTCTACTGAATTCCCAAAAACAGTTACCTAGTAATAAATAATGCAATCAAACATTATGATTCACAGCTGATGTTGTCAAATGCAAACCAAAGTTAGAATCACCGGAGTCTGGTACATTATCATGTACAAATGAAAATATCAAAGATTCTGTTTGTACTTTTGAATGTGAAACTGGTTATTATGTTGCTGGTTCATCAAGGAATGAATGTACTGATGATAATAATGATGGGATTGGAAGATGGGAGAAGATGGAACCAACGTGTGAAGGTGAATAAAGCTACTCCAACGGGGTTGAATAATGAAATAGGTAGCCTTGAAATTCTTCTGGCAATATGTAAGTATTTAAATATTTGGGACGCAATGAGTTTGGAATTAAAGGTGTGCGTAGGTTTTTTTTTGATTCCACAGCCCTGCCTAAATACAGGACTCCCAGAGGTTGGTGTTCAAATTCTGTTTTTCCTGGAGGAAAGGCATTAATTTCGCTAGACATTCGGAACAGTGTATTCATTGGTGCAGCTAGGAATTTTTCAACAGTGGTGTTAAGATAAAACTGAACAGTGCGTCAAAAGTGCAACTCGCGATGTCATGAAACGTTTTAAGAACGAAAAATTGTGTGTCATTCGTAGCGAAACGCTGTTAAATAAATTCCGGAGTTATGTGTAGCTCGCCTCCCTTTGCCAGGCGCCATTCGGTTAATATTTTAGACATCCAATTTCAAACAGGAAGTAATCGTCGACCATTAATCTGTAGTTGCCTGGTAACCCCAATTGCTGGTTGCGCCCCTGAGTGTAAGGTTAACATACGAAAGTTTCGTTTACAAAACTTGATTTCATCAGAATTCGTAGCTGAATTCATGATCCAAATCAAAATTATTTATGAGTTAAAGTTAAAAATTTTCTTAATCCAGACTCGGAACCAATTTTTTTCAAACCCAAGTTCAAAACGATTGTGAATTCCCCTCAACTCCACAGCCTGCTTGAATTATTTAAAATAAATAGGCATTCTAATTTGTTTCATTTCTGTTTAATTTATAGTGATAACTTGTGATGTGATTGACCCGAATAAACTATCCAGAGAAACCAATTACTCATGCACAAATGAAAATATCGGAAACAGCAAATGTGATTTTAATTGTCCTGATAAATATCGACTTCATAATGGAGTGGACACAATATATTGTGAAGATGTTGATGAAACAAGCAGAGGAAAATGGAGCGATGGTATACCTAATTGTGTTCGTGAGTATCAAATAAATCAAAAATTCAAAATATTATAAAAAGAATTTTATATCAAGTGAAAAGATTTCAGCTATTTAATTATCATTGTCTTTCATGGTAATGTTTAAAAGCACATTGAAAGGTAGCTCCTGCCTCGGGATAAATTTTGCAAGTATTATATTCATGTTGTTCTCTACTCCCTGGATAAATTTAACAGGGGGAAAGGGATAAATGGGAGAATGAGGGTTGAGATCATATCAACTTGTAGTGATTTGAGTCCCAACCCAATCTGAATTTGCCAGCTCAATGCACTACCCTAAATCTACGGTATATATAGGTCAAACATACCTTTTCACATACTTGAGTGTCATTTACTTCTGAAGGCACCTGACCTTGCTTTGGATGAATTCTTTCAACTAAATTGAAGCAAATTTATTGATATTCTAAAATGATATTTCTGATCTTTTGACATAATTAAAATCATATTATATATTTTCGAAATAATCTTGTCATTTTTGCAATGATATAATATTCATATTCCAAATCTAATAAATTTAGTTTTTCCAACAATTAAAGCGTAAGACTTGAATGCAGATTACACAGGCTGGGTTCAAATCCCACCTCAACCATTGTGTAATAAATCAGGTAGGCATTACCGTACCAGAAAGATTACAGACCTTCCCAAAATAGTACCCACTTAGGCATCAGTAGCTGCTCATGCAGGGCCTTATTCGAAGTGAAAGACATGAGAAAGCATTGTCCAAAAAAACTATAAATTGACAACTAGATTAACACAACATATTTTTCAATATAATAAATTTACAGTTTCTTTATATTTTAGTTATGGTAATGGATTTTGTATTTGTGGGTGTTTTTCTAGTTATAAAAAACATTTGCTTTATTTTTAGCTGTCTCGTGTAAATTTGATGAAAAATCTCTCGATCCAGACACAATTTATGAGTGCACTAAATCAAATGAATTGGATTCTGTATGTGACTTCACATGTCCATCTGGTATGAAGCTAACCACAGAACACAATCAAGTAACATGCCAAGATCTAGATGGAGATGATTTTGGAGATTGGGATAAAGAAGTTCCCAATTGCACACGTAAAGATTTTTCTAATTGCTTTATGTTTGTATGATTAATCAAAGTTCAAAAACTCTAAATGCTTAAATCGATAAGAATTTAATTATTTTAAATCCAATATGGAAGTCATCACCCAATTTTGAATATATTATATATTCGGAAACAACTGTTTTAGAATGTATTTGGTCGTAGTAGCATACAACACCAAAACGAAGTAGTACATTTATACAATCTGTCACAATCAAAAGGTGCACAATTTTCAATTTTGAATGACGTCATTGCACACAATAACAAATCTCATATAGACTACAGAAAATTTCAAAATAAAAATGATCGTCCTCTAGCAAAGAATACAATCTTTAAATTGGACGTTAAAATTTATTTCAACAATACTGTACTCTTATCAAAAACAGGGTATTTTAGTGAGTGTTTATTATTGCTTGATATATGCACAGCTATTCTATGTGAGGAAATAGATGATGACAAATTATCACCTGAAACTTCATATAGTTGCACTAAACTTAATCACGGAAATTCTGAATGTACTTTCAATTGTCCGATCGGATGGAAATCAGATCCTGTTGAAAATGTAATCGTCTGTGAAGATAATGATGGAGATGGAATTGGGGAATGGAGTGGTGAAATACCAAATTGTATACGTAAGCTATCATTATTTATTGCGATTTGGATAGTACAGGATTTCCGTTTTTATCCTGCGGAATAGGAAAGATAGACTAATCATATGGTGAACGGTACAGCTTCTTGTTTGGTTACCAGCCCAGGTCGGTTTCTGGAAGAGCAAACCAGTTTATTGATTTGAGTATTGATAATACTTGTTACCGAACAGTGGTACGTGAAACACCATGTAACTATGAGAAGTCTAGCAATTCTGATTATTATCACCTTCCTGATTTCCTAGTGTGATTCGTAAGATCAGTTTATGCTTGATGCAGTTTGTTGTTGGTGCAATGAAAATTTTTTTTTCTATTTCCTTTGCTGTGGTGATTATGTTAAAAGAATGGCTAGACTACAATTACCATTCCTATACCCAAACCTGACTCATAATGCGGCAAGATGTTTGTTTTTCGCCATATAATTAATTTGTATTATCATTCTTATTCTTTCCCACGATAGACATTGTAATTGAAAGTCTTAAAGACCTAATGTTCCCTTTCTAACATGAATAAATGAAATCTTTTATTTCTTTCAGCAATCGTGTGCATTGCAATCGAAGTTTTTGAATTGTCAGAACAAACGACATTTACATGTACGAATGCAAATCTAGGAAATTCTGTATGTTCATTCGAATGTCCGGATAATATGCGATTAGATGAAGATATCGGTAAAATAACCTGTGTCGATAAAAATGGAGATGGTGATGGGGAATGGAGCACAAAAGTACCTAGTTGTATGTATATTTTATCAAATTTAGAGAACAAAAGTGTTAGATGCAAGTTTCTGAATTATAAGTCAATTCACAGGTCATCCAAGTCTCGAATAAAGACTAGTCCGAACTTTGAGTCACTGCACTCTGGAATGTTGAATCAGATTGAGTTCTGTGTCAAGTTTAATTCATCTTAAATTTAATACTCACGTGAAATGGACAAACTTAAGTCACATTCACTGTAAGACTTGACAATACTTACCCCTTCACAATCTGCTTGTTTTCAGTTATTGCTTCAAAATTCTAGTAAATTTCGCCTGTGGTGAGGAAAATTTACGCCGGGTTCTAAAAATCTGACCCGAACTCTGAGAAAATAACAAAACAAGCCGACTATTAAGTGTTGAGATCACTTTGTAAACATGATTTGTTTTGAATTTGTTTCTGACTTCTTCACTTAACAATAAAAGTGTGAAATTTTGACAGAGACTTCAGAATTTTGAATTCAACTCCAGATACGACACGGATCATATTAATGGAAAATTTCAACCCTCCATATTTATAATAAATCCAACATTTTGTTTTCAATATTTCAGGTGTATATACGTGTAGTCCTCCTCTGAAACCTCCAGAAAATGGCGCCCTCAGTTGCTCAGATTTGAATAGGGTAGGATCAGATTGTCAATTTGAATGTGATTCGGGACTTGTTTTATCCCATGTCAATCTGGTTACTTGTGGCCTGACTGAAACAGAGGATGGTGGGGAATGGGTTGGAAATGTTCCAGAATGTGAAGGTTGTTTATTGCATTTATTTTATTGCTTCTTTTTGGGCTCTTGTTCATGTCACTGTTTATTCGAGTGTTCCCAACCTTCTTCAATAGATTTCTATCGATTTGCCTATTTTGGATCTCTTCATCCTTGCCTCATTATGAATATTTCCTTTATTTGTTCAATCTTCAAAGAATCCTTAGCTAGTTCAACTTGCACTCTGGCTCTTTTGCACGGTTCGAATAGGCAGTAATGTGTGCGTAAATATGTATTACAATAATATTAAATATCCGAACAATATCAGTGAAGCCACACTTGATACAAAGTAATATTTCTGTATTTTCTCCTGAAACAACAAACTTCCCTTATTCCTTCGCAATTGAGAAACGATGATCTAGACAGGAGAGGATAATATTTACTGGTTCATCCCAGGGAAAGGGAAATCCGATAAGACGGCTCATTCATATGGCAAACCATGACCTCTCCATTGGTTACCAGTCCATGTTGGGTATGGAGTTAGTTTAGCCATTTATTTGTTTTAAATGCATGGACTTGATGATGGATGAAGCTGTAACCGACCAGGGGTCACGTTAACCAAATCACTAGGACTGGGAATTTTAGGGAAAACACTTTATAACCGTTAACCGGGTAAAATTACCTGGTTAACCACAGCGTGACGTTCTATGTAATGATTCACAATTTTAGCTTGTTACGTCACTATGGTTACAAAGCAATTTCGGGTGATCTCAACTCGGTATCGCTCAAAATTATTACGAATAGAGATAGATTCATGATCGCTCTGCTGCAAATTTTGTGACAAACTTTCAGTGTTTGTCATGCAAATTCTACTCTGAGATATCATGAAGAAAAACAGCATCAACTGCGTATTTGTTGGATGACATTGAATATATGATTTTGCAATAAAATTGTGAACAATATATTTCGACCGAAAACTGATTTTGAATTTATCATTGTCAAATTTTCATAATTACCGGTAGCAATCTTCGTACTTGAATTGTTTTTCACATTTATTAGGTCCTTACAAATAAAGTCAGTGATATTCTGTTGAATTAATCGCCACAGGAGATAAATTTGCGATGACGCAATCATTTTTGGAGAAATTATACATTATAAAGATGATTTGTACATGAGATGTCAGTTAACGGTTAAAATAAATCGGAACCGTTAACAATCTAAAATCGATTAAGCGGTTAACCATTCCCAGCCCTATAAATCACCCTATTGAATCGTGGAGTCCAGCAAATCCTCTCGCACATAATTATCCCACATAGGATTCAAATCAACAAACCCATGCAGGGTAATCAGAGGTGTGGTGGCGATAGTATTCCTAACGCTTAGCATGATGCGCCACACCGCTAAGCAGAAGACCAAGAAAAGAAGTTGGTAACTGATCATATAGAATGCAACCACTTCAAGTCTCATGCTGGAGAATTTGCTGTCACATAACGCAACATCATTAATTTATAAAGTAGTAACTCCCTTTATATATTTTTTATAAAAATTAACATTTTATATGCAGTTTTCAAATATTTGTGTCGAGAGATTGAGAAGTTTGAACTTTCACCCGAGACCGAATACACTTGTACGGACTCAAATGAAAAAGATTCTCGATGTACATTCAAGTGTCCAGAAGGTTTAGAACTTGACACAGGTAGAGATATCATTGATTGTGAAGACAGGAATAGAGATGGGATTGGAGAATGGAGTTTCCGACCACCAGAATGTATTAGTAAGTATATTTTGTACATTTATCAATGGCATTTTATTTATTTATTTTTTTTGTTGAGTCATTTTCTTTTCTTTCAATAAGATTTTCTATTATCCGGAATGATGGAAAAACTCTAGCCATATTGCCTGTCAAGGCTGTCAAAGTCAAAAATATGAATAGTTCACCAGTTTACAGTGCCATATGCCATTATATACCATTATATAATTTCTATAACTATTGGCTCTTACTTTGCTTTGAGGTTAGTTGTTAGTTGGTGCAATCAGGCCTTATATCAGTCATGCAAAGTTTTTTCTTTTATGATTGTGTTGTTGCTACGTGATAACCAGTGTTATTTTTTTCACTTCCACCTTCACCTCGAAATTTCAAGTTGATTTGTACCTCTGTATGTGTAATTTGTTTTTACTTTTCTACTACTAATAGCTATATAAATCCATTAGTATTAGCATGAAAAATTATTGACCCAATGTTCGATTGCTGGACTTATCGCCGCCATAAGACCAGTTACGTATTCCTCCACCATTAAGTTCACGCATCTGAAACTTCATAGCCGGGATGGGCTGCTAACCGCTTGAGAGGAAGCGGTTCACCATGGGATTATTTTGTTTTGTAGGTTTTCCTCTCTTTGGGATTAAAATAGAAAATCATGTATCTGTTCATCGATTATGCTCGAAATCGCTATCTTTCACTTTTTATAGGAACCTCATGTGCCATTTCTGGAACAAAAGTTGATCATGGAGAAGCAATTTGTTCAAAATTAAACAGTATTGGATCTCAGTGCTTATTCAATTGTGATTCAGGATTTCAACCTGAACCTCCATATGAGCTAGTTTGTACTAAGGAAGGAATATGGAACTCTTCAACACCTACTTGTGACTGTAAGGATTATGTATTGAATTGTTTTTGTTTAGTGATGTGAGAGTCGAAACACTGATATTCCGAGTGGAGATGGGCATTTTGAATCAAATAGTAAATTGCGCGAATCGGTTCGAACAAAAATTTCGAATCACTGCCATCTTGTTTTTATTCCGCGAGGTGAATCCATTTTTTGTTTGTTGGAAGTAATTTTTTTAATATGCAAACAGACATATGACTCTTCTTCCGAGTGATTTATTGATGAAACATGTTTTTGATTGTGTGTGAAAACTAAGTGAACTGTTTAAGTGACAGACGTGACTCTTTTCTTTCAATGGATTTAGTGATAAAATCATGTTTTCTAATGTAAAGTCTGATTATATTTTTCAGTAATTTATGAGTCTGCAGAAATAAAAATAAGAATAAAAAATGTACAATGAAAAAATTTCGGGGCTCCCGAAGTATACGAACCAAGATGGCGGACATCGGAATGTAATATGTGTACTAGGTTAGGGTTAAGCCATAATTTTAGGTATAAATACTACGGGAGGCTCTTGGCTAGTCTTCGAACTGATAATAGGACTAAAATAAGGAAAATTGGAAAAAAATTATCGCCTAACCCTAACCTGTTACCCATGTTACGTTCCGATGTCCGCCATCTTGGTTCGCATACTTCGGGAGCACCAAAATTTGATACCGCCATCAATTTCCCAAGTATTCGATATTTGATTCTGAAATCGGTATTCGAAAATGCTCTGCCTTCATTCCGTGTTACTCGTCATAACAGATTTCATGAACAACATTGAAATTGATAAATACGAGTTACATTGACTCAATGACATGAAACTTTCCATCTTAACATTATTTGTAAATCAAATTAGGATATATTTATCAGCATTTACATTGGTATCATAACAGCATAATACGAGTTATTATGACAACAAGCCATTAAATTTTATATTTTTTTTAATATGCCATTGATTGGGGTGGTAAATGTGTCCCAGGTCTGAATCGAGTCAATGGGGCTGCCTTGTACATGATTGAAGAATATTCACTTTGAATATTCCTTCTTCATGGTGATTTTTATAATATTCTCTCCCAGCGACAAATTGTCTTCCTGATCTCAAAGATATGTTTGGACCTGATGCTTATTGTCTTGGTGGAAATTCACCTGGAGCTGAATGTGATGTAAAATGTTCACATAAATCACAAAAATACAGAGAAAACGTCAAATTTATTTGTGCAGATCCAGGTGTTAACGATGGTGCTGGGTTTTGGGATAAAGATCTTCTCTCTTGTGCAGGTACATTGTTTATTCCATTTTGTGTTATGCTTGAAAAAATCGATTTTATCTATTTCTGAAAAAATTAATCAGTTATTATTACGAGTGGTGCAACGGGAGCGTGTAAGGTTGGTAATCAAAAAGCTTGAAGGAAAGTTAGTTTGGACCCAGTTAAAAATTGAAAAATTATAAAAAAAAATAAGAAAAGCATCATCGGCCATACATAAGGCTGGGTATAAATCGAAAAAGAAGATTCATCATATCTTGTATCCCTTGATGCCAGTCTCGTTGATGGTCAAAGTTAGTTTGGACCCAGTTAAAAATTGAAAAATTATAAAAAAAAATAAGAAAAGCATCATCGGCCATACATAAGGCTGGGTATAAATCGAAAAAGAAGATTCATCATATCTTTTTTTCCTTGATGCCAGTCTCGTTGATGGTCACTTCACCTTCAACCCTGGGACAAAACTCGTTCCCCAGTAATTTGTTTTGAGCTTTATGGTTACCAAACCGGTAACTGACCAACTGCGAAGAGTTCAATAATAATTCACCCGCACATAATTACCTCCCACAGGATTCAACTATGCTAACCCACATAGGGTATTTAGGGGTTCTATGGGAAGCTAGTTGTTATCGTTTAGCATAATATGCCAACTGTCAAACCATGCTAGTTGTAGATTCGACCACATCCGCTTGGGCTTTATGTGTGATCAATTACACTCTTGCACCCAATGTTAAGTGATGGACTATAGTGAAATCAAAAAGGAATGAGTAGCAAAGATGAAAAATCAAATTTTTAATCTGTGGATATAAATATTTCAGGATGTGGCGTCGGACTTTTAGATGTTTTCATACTAATAGATGGATCACAAAAATGGGAATCATGGTTCTTTTCTGACGCTCGTGATTGGTTGTCTGGAGCTCTTAACAAAATTCGTGGAGGTATCAATGCTGGAGCTACTTGGATATCTATTGCTGTTTATGGAAGTAGAGAAAAGAAATGCAACACTGCGTATACAATTCCACATTTCAAGGTCATGAATAGTTTCAATACATTATCAATATATCATTTTTGTAAACTCTTGTGTAGATCTCTCTCATCAAGGAAAATCATATTGTTGTCGTCAGTGAAGTGTTTTAATATTTGCGATTTTCCAATCCTAAAAATGCTCAGTATTCCAGGTATATGAGTAGCAAAGCTGTGTTTGGCATATCTTTACTGGATTTACTGGATTGAGAATCTTAATTTCAAGCTCCACAAAGTCAAATTCTGTCTGCTTTTTTTAGTGATTAAAAAGTCAAAACTCAACACCGAATTTTTTGTTATCAAAATTTGATTTTTTCAGAATTTGAATTCAAAACTCGAAGCTGAAATTTTTCCCAATAAAAATTAGGGGTAGTTTAAAAATTTTCTACGGCTTCACAGCCATGATAAGTATTCTGAAATTGGCAGTAATGCATTGCATAGAATTGTTCAATTTTGCACCATACATAAGCATTCAATCTGACCATATAATTGAGCCTAACCCTCCCAACTTTATAAAAGATAGAAATGGAGTTGGATTATCGCAACATGGAGGCTTTGAAAAGAAAAGTAAGAAAAATTAAACATGTTGGAGGATGCTCTCACCTTGGTCGAGCCATGATCGATACAATGCAGTACATTGAAGAAAGGCAACGTCCATATATGATGCCTGTCATAGTACTTTTACTTGGTGGTGAAGCTGAAGATGGCACGTATATTGCGTTAAACAAAGCAAATGAATCTGGTGAGAGCTCCATTAGGGTGTTGCTAAGAAATTTTTAGTCAATCTCGCGAAGCTCAGCCTTCTTAACAATTCACTACACTATCGGTAAGGCCATACCTGCTTTCGGGAAGAATGTGTCAGACTAGACTAGCGAAGTACACGCAAACAAGTAAAATTTTGGGTGAAATATCAGGCCACTTAGGACTCTGTGAAGATTGTGGAAAAGATAAAATCAATGGCATTTTGACACCTTCGTTCATCTTGAAGTACAAAAAGTTTGGCTTGTCTGTTAGTTGCAAAGAAATGGGATTTTTTTAAAACAACAGTAATTTTTCAAAATGTAAGATGATCGTAAGATACACTTGTCCATCACTTCTGCCATTTCTCCCATTATTTTGAGTTAAGGTAGATAACTCATGTGGTGTGTGTGCAAATAGTTAAAGCATAGGAAGGAAATTCATGCCATGCTTTGGGTTACGCATGATAAGATATTAATGAATTTAAACAAGTGTGGGCTAAGTTTCGAACATGTGAGATGTTTTACATTTTATATGACGCTCAATCAAGCTTCTTGCTCTGAACAAAAACCTGTACAAACCACTAATCCGAAATGGAAGAAGCTACCATTTTTAGAATGACCAGAATCTTTTCAGTTTGGCATTTACTCCCCATTTCATATAATAATTTTTGCATTCTCCCTCCCAACTTTGTCATACACTACATAATTTACAGAGTTATATTTACAGATATCACTATTCTTGGGATTGGTGTTGGAGACGAAGCCACTAACTTCTTAGAAAAAAATTATATCAGATCATTTACGGCGTCGACAACAGACCAATTAAATGAAGTAACGACAACTTTTCTTACAGACTTGATTAAAATTGACTGTAAAGGTATGAAATATTTCACCCTTTTTGTCTAATTTCTTAGCTGACTTTGCGGTGGCCATATAATTCATTTCTTCATTTTGTCCATATATTGATTCAGAATTTCTTTTTCGTTTAACATTAAAATGTACATTTCAGATCATTCTCTCTGTTCTGGACCTATAGATAATGGCACAGTAACTTGTATATTGAAGGAAGATGGTCCTGCCAGTGAATTATGTACAATTCATTGTGATGATAGTTTTCAATTAGTTGGGCAAGCAACAGCTCTGTGTGGTGATATGAATGGCGATGGAAGTGTTGAATGGATTTCTCCACCAGGAAGTTGTATAAGTAATGTTGTTGATGATGATTGATGTTGTTATTAGTCTTTTTTTAGTTGACACTTATTTTATGTGACACACATTATTTTCTATGTAAACAAGGTCATGTGCAAGAAGCCATTGATATCTAACAATATGTGAAGAGCTATAATTTTATGGAATCTATTCGGTTCGGCATTGTTTATCCGATTCATCTCACATTGGGTGAGGTGGGGGGTATGGGATTTGGACCCAAGATGTGTAACCTGCTATGCAAACACAGTTAGGTCCACCGCTTAAACTGCTAGACCAGGGTTTCCCAGCGGGCAGCGGACCACAGTCTGGGAATCTTATTTTTGACGAACCCCCAATCCTATGTTGTATTAATTTCTGCTTCTAACCAACAAGGAAGGATGATGTTTCCGTTAACGAAATAAAATTCATGAAAGTCTGAATCAATCCATACTAACGTTAAATACTGATAGGCTAACGGCAATTCGATAACATTATAATCTATTTGTATATGTTTGAGACTCTTTTCATATCAGACGGAGCCCCTGTGCAGTCATCACGAACCCCTAGTGGTCCGCGGACCCCAGTTTGGGAAACCCTGCGCTAGACCATTGCATATAATCCCCCTTGAACAAGGCTCTTTATAAGCATCCACTGATATGTACTATAGTTTTCAGAAGAACATTAGTACACAGTACGTTTTTCATGTAATATTTTATGATTTGAAGGGTCTTGTATGTGTATTCTGTCCTTGAATGATTTCTTTCCTATAAATACAAATATACATACGTGAGGACACACACACTATTTTCTAATAAAAGTAATAATGTCATTTTTTGATATCTGGTTGTTATTAGGTGTTGTCTGCCCTCCTCTACTACCTGTACCAGAAATGGAGATGGACTGCACTAGAGAAAACAGCTTTTCCTCACTTTGTCGTATCTGGTGTAAAGATGGTTTCAATTTGGTTGGTTCATCCCAGTTATTTTGTGGAGATCCACTCGGAAAAGGTGTTGGTCAATGGAATGCTCGCATGCCTATATGTGTGGCAGGTAACATTCAAGGATTGGCCTTGAAATAATTTAAATACCGGTATGTATCTGAATGATTTTGAGTAATAAACTGAATAATAATAAACTGAATAATAAACTGTAATTTTTTGGTTTTTAAAATTATTTGTATTACATATTAATACTTGTACAGTTGAAAGCAGTGGCACAGCAAGGTTTTTTTTGGGGGTCTCACCCACTTCCCCCTCTTGAAATTTTTTTCGCCTATAATCAGTGCGATTCGCACAGCTAATTTTGTTAAAATCATCGATTTGATTTCATCAGCGGGCATGGTTATTTAGGCCAGCATTTGAACTGCTTACATCTGTCATGGATTGAATATTTTGCGCAACAAAAAAACATTATCCACTGAAAAACTCTGCTCTCCTAACGAGTGGTGTAATCAATGTGACTGTTTCAGTTGCCGTTCGGTGGGAAATTCCGATTTTGAATCCCCCATTTTTATTTTATTTTAGGATTATCCTGTCAGCCGGTGCTATTACCTCCTGCTCACGGAATAGTGGAATGCACGAAAAATAATTCGTATGGCTCTGTATGCCGCTTTGACTGTAATGAAGGGTATATAGTTCAAGGAAGTGCAATGATCGTATGCGTTGATGCAGGAAAGCAGGGTCATGTCAAATGGGAGAATCCACCTCCGATCTGCTCAAGTATTTATATTTTTATCAAATAAATTATATTTTTATAATAAATTTATATTAGTAAAACATGGTTGAAATCTGAATCTCGATGACATACTTAGGTAGTGACATAGACTTGGTTGTGGCTGGACAATGGTCATTTCAACTATTCAATTTAAGTGTATATTCTCAAACTATACAAAAAGCAGCATTTTTGTACTGCTTGCTTTAAATCGATCTGTAATCAAAAGTTACTAAGATCTTTTAAAAGCAAGATGATAGAGATGAGGGTGCAATGGATGGCAAATTGTTTGAAGCGTTAGACTTAGCCGTTTTGGCATTGCCGTCTCATGCTCGCTGTTACGCAATACTGAGCCGTAAAGATTGCAGTATTTCTAAAAATGGAAGATCCTTACATATTGTTAAATATCAGTAGTCATTTGTGTATTGCCTTAGATGACTCAACTGACTTTAGCTTGTGAGTTCTATTTCATCATTTTGACTTTTATTCTTCTATTCCAGCCTGTTCACAAGGCCTTTGTGCGAGAGATATCATTTTATTGATTGATGGGTCGGGAAGTATAAATGATGAAGATTTTATATTTGCAAAACAATGGGTTGTTAGAATGTTTGAAGATATGCAGGGAGAAATTGACATTGGTGCCACCAGGGTAGTTCATGATATTGTATATTGTGTCAAATCGACTAGGCAGGGTCTTGCATTATATTGTATCTTTCCTGGGTTTTACAGACTTTTCGAACATGAGATGGCGTATGATGGTTTGAGTTATGACTTTGACTTGAGAGTTGTTCAATAATAATTAAATGCATGTGGAATTGTGGATTTCTATGACATTTAAGCTTGTTCACGGCAATAGCGACTTATACCAGTAATCTGCTGACACCAGTACATTGCAATTTTAAGTAATACAGAACCTTAACATAAAACCACAAACCTTTCCATATGCCCTCTCGTAGTCCGAGAAGTCTGGATAGTGCCCATCTCTGGTATCTGAGGGTCCAGCACCTAAGAATGTATCTGGCATGTTCTGATTAGCACTTTCTGTCTGTGTATTGGAGTGTTTCCACATTTTTCTGTGAGATAGAGTATTGCATGGTTCCTCATCAGGTTTCAGGCAGGTCTCTGCAGAGGCCCCACATCATTGCTGGTCAGTCATGTCTTTTTCCCCTTACAAGTATGTATCTGGATGAATATCTAATTCGGATTTGTGACTGAATGAAAGATCGTGTTTTGTCAATGGATAAAGACATATTTGCTCTCTCCGAAATAAAATGTAAAATTTCTGCTTCAAATATGGCTCTGATCAAGTAACTGCTCACCTGTACAAAGGCTTGAGCTTATTTCAATAGTAAATCGTAAGGGTCCAGTAGAGAGCCTACATGGAACAGAAAAACAGTATCATAACTTTCATTTGAATGATTTATAATCACATGGTATGCAATTGTTTGACTTTTAATGTTATGTTTTCTCTAATTTTTAGGTTGGTATAATTGAATACAGTGGAGAATCAGCTTTCATGTGTGCATCTGGTGCTCTGAATCCAAAATATCGGGTAAATGTTGGTTTCATATCACTTTTTCTGTCTTTCACCTATTCAAACTCACAAGTTTTCAATTTAGATTGAAGTAGAACTTGGCCAATATCCATTCCGATATCTGAGAGAAACCATCATGGAAATCAGCCAAATGAAAGGTTGTACTGCTACTGGTAATGCAATTACACAAGGCACCAAACATTTTGAAGCACTCGGTCGTGATAATGTTGACAAGATATTGGTTATTTTAACTGATGGAAGATCAAATGATGATGTTAAACAGCCAGCATTAGAAGCCAGACAGGAAGGTTATTGAGGATTTTTGTTAGTGAAAGTATTATTATACAGCCATTTGTTTGCCATTTTGAGCAGAAGATTCGAAAGTGCTAGGTTTTATGTATTCTTGACTTTGTCAGCTAGCTGACGTCTTATAGTTGGACTAACCATTTTTTAGACAGTGATCCTATATGAAGGAAGCAATAGGCACGTTTCGAACATTTTTTTTTTAGATATTATAGATGCTTCTCAGTTCTAGAGTAAATATGGGGACAAGATAGATTATATTTCTTTTTCATTCTGATAACGGAAAGAATATAAAATGGCTTTTCGTATATTGAATACTATTACATTGATTCTGAAACTGCTATGCTTTTAGATAATATCTGTTTTGAAACTTCTTAATTCAAGGGATCAAAATAGTTGCCATTGGAATTGGATCTTTTAATCCTGACCAGCTACTGACAATTACTGGAAAAATTGTGTTAGCAGATAGTTTTGACGAATTGCCATCACTTCTTGAGGAAGTTCAAGATGAAATTATGTCAGATTATAGTTTCGATTCCATTGATGGAAAAGGTACAATTTTTTTCAAGTACTCTTGAATATAGGCTTTCCAAATTAGATGGCAATTTCTTCTACAAGCTGGTTATGACTTAACAATAATCCTTTTAAAATTCTTTGCAAACTTTTGATTACCTGTGCGGGGTCGCAGGTTCAAATCTCATGTGTAAATTATGTGCGAGAGGAGTGCTGGATTCCTCGCTGCTGTGGGTTGGTTTACATAACTGGTGGTCGGTTACGGCTTCATCCACCATGAAGTCCAAGCATCTGAAAACAAATAACTGGCTAACTAATCCATACCAGACCTCTCTCGCAGGATAAATATGTAAATCCTATGTTATTTAACTACATATAGTTAATTTTAAAATCTAGAGATTTTTTGACAATATCTATAATATGATTTGTGAATGAAAAATTTATTTTCTTCAAAGGAAATTCTGTTCAGTCTTCCTTCAATTTATACATTGGCACTTTGTTGTTGCATCGAATTCTAAGTTATTTCAACTAAGCCAAAACATATGATAGGTCGGAATGTAACTGATGAATTGCATACCAGAGGAGCTCACTGTGATCTATAAATAAGTATTCACTACAGATGGAACATGTTAATAGCAAAGAAAGAGTAATGTTTATTTATAATGAATCTTTTTTTCTGGATTTTCACTGGTTCGTTTGTGGTGGAAGTGTTATATATTGAGATATTGAAATTATATTTTTATTAAAAATTTTGTTTGAACTTTTGTGTACTGGCCATGCTAGGATTGATTTAAGGAAAACCCTTTGTTCATCTATCAGCTTATTCAAAAATATTAGCAACATTCTATTAGGTCTAGCTGATGTGAGATGTGGATGTAATATTCAAGCATTTAGAAGATGTGATTAAAGTGTAGGCAAATAATTTGTAGTATCTTTACGCTGTCGACTAGTAATCCACCCTGCTTATTTGAGCTTGCGAGGTTTATTATATGCGTAAACGCAATGCACCAGTACGGTTATGCATTAACAAGTTTAGAGCATTGACTTTACTCAAGAGATAAAGAACAGGCAACAAACAATACGTACTGAAAAGTCTTCCCCTTTAATTAACCTAAATGAAACAGCAACATTTTTGACGAAATATCGGCCCTCGGAAAGGAATTTCAAAAAATGAAAGCAGTGGCCTTCTGACTACTTTTGGAAATTATAGGTTCATTAGTTGCGGAAATAAGCTATTTTCACTCAATAACAACAACAATCCTGCAAAACGGCCCGTTTGTATGTTGTTTAGCGAGTGTAGTTTTAAATATCATTGTTTTTTTGCGGATTCCGAAGTGAACTTAACATTAGAGTGACCATACGTCCTCCTTTTGGAGGATTTGTCCTCCTTTTTCGTTAAAAATTTTATGTCCTCCGAGGACGCTCTGAAAGGTTAAAAAGTCCTCCTTGTTTGAGGGATTAAATATTCAAAATTATTTTAAAGACATAATCAACATGTTTTTAATGGGTTAAGAAAATTTTAAAGTAAGTAGAAATTTGTAATTATCAATTCACATATGACAAGCATTGCGTTGAAATACCATATAGGTTGATAACTACTTCAATAAACCCCGAATACAAAATAGGTTGAAAATACCTTAGGTTGTTATGACAAACCTTGGGGTTTTGAGTTATTGCGTGCGCAACACCTCATTCTTAATCTACTAATAAATTGTAGCTCAGGCTCACGAACAGGTTGAATGTAGGAAATAAGTGACACAACAATGACTATTTCTACGCTACAAGGTTACAACACAATGTTCATTTTCTATAACCATACACAAAATTAGCTTATCTACTGTGAAGTTCTAATTGCGCTCCTAATTCCAACCGTTGAATGGGGTTTAAAAGGGCGCTTGTACAATATCGTTCGTGGTTTGGCAGACCCGCAAAAGTTGGGAATCACTGCTCTCGATTAAATGCATACTTTATCACGTAAAAATCGTGTTGTTCTGCTACTATCTTTTACGTCATTTCATCTTGTATTTAGCAATTTGGTGAAGTTTCGGTTTTAGCAGAAAATTACGACAGTAACCCCAGTAAATTATGCCAAAAAAAAAACTTTTTTACCCAGGATTTAAAGCAAAAGTATCCATGTTTTAGATTCACAAAAGATCGAACTGATAGCGAAGCGGAGCGCATTACTTGCGATTACAGTTGCTCGTTGACAAGACAAGAATGCGTTATTGCATTGTCGTCACATCGTCTATTGTCGCTTCTATTTTTAATCCTAGAGAATTTAGTAGATAATGTATATATATATTTCAGGCACAGGTGGTATATGGATCTACCAAACGACGTGTCCTCCTTTTAGGATTTGAAAATATGGTCACCCTACTTAACATGCGTTCTTCTCAATACTGCGATTCAAAACAACTCGTTGCGGTTAAAATTTGTCATATTGCCCTTTGGGCATATAGTTTTTATTCGTAGTATAAGTAATTTTGCAATGAAAAATGATACCAGAGCGAACTTGGATTCATCCAGGCTAAGAAAAGATCGCGCTGTTACCCTTTTTCGTCGGGGATTTCTTTATTGTTATTTCGTGTAAAATTGGGGTTTCCCCGCGTCGCACGATAACTCGTGATTGACGGCGATCAGCTGATCAATGTTTGCGACAAATACCGTGCTGTACATATCTCTGCATGGGTGCTATCTTGAATTCGATTACTTACTGGACTGCATTTTTCGCAATTGACTGGGAGGTGGCAGTACGTATCCTTCATGGAGGTGAGTGAAATATCAGTTCAAGTAGATGTAACGCATGTGATGTGTACCGGTATGCATTCCAGGAGCTTCCAGTGAAAAATAGTGTCAGAGTGTGGGATTATATGACCCTAGTTTCGGAATTATCCATTTAGTCACAATATAAACTACAACATTTGCCTGGATCATGTCACGTTTCAGTGTTCATCAACGTTTACTTTTTATTTTAACACAGTATTCCGAGTCTGCCTGTAGTTGCAGTTGTTTATTTAGACATTATTCTGCTGATACTGCCAGATTGGACCCCAAAATACAGTACAAGCCTGAGCGATCACTATAAATAACATTCATTGACATTATCGGTAAATAATTGCCATGGTTTTGCAGTCTCTGTACACAGATCTGTAGATACAGCTAAGTTACAATTTTACAAAAAAACAACTATTATAGTGATCTAAAAATTTATATCTATATAGCAGTAGTTTGCAATTGGGAATTAAGGGATTGCTATTGGGGAACAAACGCACTTTTAAAAAATTATACACAGTAAACACAATGATTGGATATTATCACACAATGAAAGTTGATCACAAACTGGGGAAACTACCCTAGTACTATTTCAACACAGGTATTAGTACTATTCATTAAAGCTAAGCTGGACAGAATAATCCCATCTTAATGTCAAAGCGCCAATAATATTTTTTCTTGTTTTGCTGGGTTCAAGCTGAAATGTCCTAGGTTCTTATACTTTTCTGTTTATTATCAGGACGATAAGGAACCTCTGGTAAATGTCGAGCCCCCGGTGGTATTGCTACGAACAACCAGGTATCGCTGGCTCATCTTGGCCATATTTGCATTGTTTTCTTTATTGCAAAGTGCAGTATGGGATACATGGGGACCAATCAGTGTTTCAGCAACACAAGTCGTTGGGTTTACAGATCGTAAGTGCTTTGAATAGATTTATATTGGGGAATACTATGTAGTAAATATCAATACATAGTTGATGGGCTGTTATAGTCATCAGTGAATGCATTTGAGGTTTTTTGTAAATTTCAATTAAACCTGAAGCACTCCAAACTGGCACGATAAATAAACTTTTAAAAAGAGTAGAAAAAAACACATGCATACCAGAAACAAAATCAAACTAGCATATTCAGAAATATCTTAAAGTTGTGTCAATTGCATTAAGGCTGGTTTGAGTAGTGGCCCAAATGTACAAACAATAGGATACTTTTTGCAGGTACAATATAAGTATGTGCAGTTGGGTCAAGCATTCTGTTGAAAAAGTATCTCACTCCCACTGAACTTCTCGAAGCAAAATAATTGATATAATCTTTGGTCTTTGCATATTATCTTATATAATAATTGTGTTGAAATGGTGTTGCAGTCCTGCCAAAGGAACCCTCAGACTAAAGAATTTAGATGACAATAAAATTTGGTGTATGTTTGATATAATATGCTGATTTTTATTTCAATTAGTGATGTAATAGTGGCATAATTTTTTAAAATAAGGCTCTTTACTAGTTATGCAATTTTTTTGTTATTAGTTTTTTATAGCCAATTCTGTTGCCATTTTTCAGATGATTATGATTTGCTTTCAAATTGGGCACCAATTGGAATTATGACAACAATGCCATTTTTCATATGGCTGATAAACAATAAAGGTGCAAGACTATCCGTTATATTTGGCGGGACACTGGTTGCAATGGGTACTGGACTGCGATGCATACCTTTGCCATCGTCCACATGGAAATAGTATGTTATTTTGTACTTCCTGTTTTTATTCATTAAAAAGGACTTTCTTATAATCAAATTGTGACAAGTTTACCACATATTCGTTTTCAATATCATAACTTTGTTCTACATCGGACCTACTTGGAAGATTCAAACTATAATTGACTTCATCTGCTTTTTGTATCTTTTTTTTTCAGTTTCATACATGCTGGTCAATTACTGAGTGCAATAGCAGGATGCCCTGTATTGGGTGCAGCTCCTTTAATATCCAACACATGGTTTCCTCCTAATGAAAGAGTGTTTGCTACTAGTTGCATGGTTTTAATTGGAAATATAGGTAGGGTTTGATAATTATTGATAGATTATTTATTTTGAATATTGCCATGGTAAATAAAGTATGAGCAATCTCCACTTGTGACGTAGAGGATAAGTAAAAAACAAGAGAGCGATGCTCAAATATAATATGGACACGAAGAACAAAGCGAAGCAGTAGTCTATCTAACCTTTTACATTGCTGCTACCATCAAGAAAAATACGATTTTCGCGTAGCACGAGAGAGGAGGTCGAAGAACCGCTATAAATAATTAGTGTTAATTTTAAAGAGGTCATTACATACCGACACCGTAAGTGAAATACGAATCACATAGTGCCCACAGAATTTTTTTAAATAAATAAAAAGTAAAACCGATCCATATGACCATTTTTTGTGTCCGAAACATGAAGAGATACTCTCTATTCAGGCTCTATTCTAATAGCTATTAGTGAAGTAAAAGCAAATGTTTGCTCATAGGTAATGCAGCAAGTTTTCTAATCGGACCAGCCATTGTGAACAGACCAAACAATTGTACAGGTGGACAAAATCTTTCAACAACAACACATGCAACATATACAGATAGAAATGAAGTTATGACAAATGTTACATTGGCCCCAATTGTTCCACTAACAACTACTTCATGCTCAGATAATACAGAAGAAATGAGGTGAAATTGCCATGCATTTTACTATATCAATCTCAATGATTACCTAAATGATATTTTACTTTGCATATTGGTATTCTGGATAAATTTTATTAATTGCATATAAAAATTATTCTCTTCAATTTAGACTTTCTGTTTTTATTGAAATGTCTCAATAAGTTGTTTTTTCGTTGGATAATTAATAAAACAATGTACAGCATCAAACATGATGATTTGAATTCTGATGTGGTTTTTCAAGCGGCCCAGGTTTTTTTTAAAATGAATTTTGTGAAATTTTATGACCCAAGAATATGATCAAACACTGAGTGGCATGTAGTGCTTTTATGGCCTTGGACATAATTAATACAAAACAATCATTTTCACATAACATTTATTTCACCAGAAATCACTTCAAAGTTGCACTAATGAAAAAGCTGTGCTTGTTTCCCCATCAGTGAGTTTTTGAGGTCATGGTGTGGCCTTGCTAAAGCGTAACATAATAGATCATGACAAGTTTTTTTGTTGTGATACTTTCCACATGTAGGATTAATAGGAACCAACAGTTTAATATGGAATAAAAAAATAAACAATGAAATTTACTACAAAATAAAATCCATTTTCATGGTTTAAAAAAAGCGAATGACCCAAAACTTCGCCTCATGTTGGGAAGCACTGTCTTCCACTATGGGTGAAATTTAAAGTAGATATATGTGCTGATACCCTAAACAGATAGAACTCAACTTGTGATTAGCTTATAAGCTAAATGCCTTATGCCACAAATACAATAATTCCACCTGTTGGATGCTCGTTTTATTCCAATTCTTTTTAATTTTTTTAACAGAAAGCAGATCAAATATTATTTGTATGGAGAGTTTGCGATTGCAGTTTTAATTCTCGTTTCTATTGTAATCTCCTTCCAAAACAAGCCAGATGTGCCACCTAGTGTATCTGCTGGGATAGAAAGGCTTGACATTTTAGTAAGTAAACTTATTGGAGGTTCTCAAACTTGTGACGCTTTTAATTTTTGTAATAAAAATCATGACACAATAAAACAAAAGTTTTGACTTCATCAACATATTAGGATAACAATGATTTTTACTCTACAGATGCATGTAACCTGGTAGAGAAAGGCATGTCATCCGGTTAACAGTCTATATCGGGTATAGGATTAGTTAGCCAGTTATTTTGTTTTCAGAGTCATGGATTTGATGGTGAAGAAATCCATAACCGCCCAGCTGTTAAGTGAACCCACCCTACAGCGGTGAGAAGTCCAGCAATCCTCTTGCACGTAATTATCCCCTACAGGATGCGAACCTGTGAGTCCGCATGGGTTATCAAAGGTGCTGTGGCAAGCGTATTTCTAACACTTGGCATGATACGCCACACCGCCGAGCTTTAGTTGCTTGAACTACATGTGGTAGTTCAGCACTAGGTAATATAATATTGGTTACATCCAATTAGCAACCGCGCCAACTGTTGAATTATAATCCCATGTTAAACTGGTGAATCTGGTGAATTGAGAACACATTAAGGGTCCAGTTCATTTTCACCAGTGGAAAGCTCATGGAAATTTTATTGTTATCAAGATAACAATTTCATTTTCTTGTAAATACAGGCAGGATTGAAGACATTATCAAAAAAATATTCATTTTGGGTTGTTACAATATCATTTGCTCTTGCTTGTGGTGCGTTCTATGGTTGGTTTGGTATTGTTACAGTTCTGATGACTCCACATAATGTATCAGAGGTGAGTTTGGTGATGATATTGCTGTGTTTTTAAGGGGTGTTGTCTTAGTAGAATTTGCTCAAAGCAAGGTTATGTGAACTCACTCAGAAATAAAGGAGAACAGATACGAGATTCCACATAATTAGAATTCTTGCAAATATTTTTCCTTGGAAAATTTATACACAGTACACTGACAGTGGAAGGTTGGAAGTTTACAGTCAACTGAGTTTTACAACTTACTCTCTGTAATGATTTTTGTATTTCTTCTTTTGGCAGACCGAGGTTGGAAATGTTGCTTTTGTGATGACAATATGTGGAAGCGTATTAGGAATTTTAACTGGATGGTAGGCTTAATTTTTTATTATTATTTTTGACTCCCCAAAAATGCTTCATGTCAGTGGTATCATTCTCAGATGAATTGTGTAAGAGCAGGCTTTGTATACTAGTGCATGTTGAATAAAATTTTTTATTATACTCCGCAATAGTATTATGTTAAATAGTAATGGATTTTTGTAAAATATATACAGCAAAAATGTTCAAGAACATCTCAAGAGCAGTAGAATTGTGCTAAAGTCGGCTTTAATTCAATCTAATTGTGTAGAAGAAATCACTCTTGTCCCTATATATGTTACTGTATGTCATATGTGTGTGTAAAGTTCTAATCTGCACAAATCCTACCAAGGCTATGAGACTACGGAGGCAAACATGCTTCCCATTGACATAAACATTGCTTATTAAATCTTCGACCCACATACTTTTTCCAGCGTAACCCCCCTTACCTGTTAAAATAATATTGGATGTGTCACTGATTTCAATACTCGGTGGAAATATTACATTGCTGGCCATACATTGATATACAAATATATAAGCTATATATATGTTCATTTCTAGGTTTGCTGATAGAATAAAAGGGAAGTTGAAATGGCTATTATTCTCCTGTTATATAATAATGGCTGTTGTATTTTTGTATCTTGCAATCATAATATTGGATTGGATCAACGTGCCTCCATTCAAATTCACTAAAGGTAAAAATATTTATTGTATAGTGAGAAATTTTCCATATATTCCTACCAGTGAGGTAGCGAAGTGAGATCAAAGTCAAAATCTCATTCACTATACATAGATTGGTGAATTCAGTTTATTGCAATCATGCCACACCAAAAAATGTGGCAAAAAAAGTATATTTTCATTTTACAAATTTCATTTTACAATACTTTTATGTGAGTGGTGTTTTACAGTAAACACTTGATCAAGTACCAATTTTTATTTCAATTTTGCAAAATGAATGTGATTTCCATATCTGTCATATTGTCACACAATGTACAATTGTCTAAAACAGTTGTTTCCAACCTTTTCAATGCATTCCTTCTCGCCTATTTCAGATCCCTTCATTCCCTTTTCGCCATGCATGAAAACACTGTTTCCATTCGTTGTTCATTCTTTGATGAAATATTATCTATTGTTATGCGAAAGTTGCACTTCGGATTTTGCACAGTTTGTAATGTGTGGATGAAGATCTGTTACCTTTTTGGTCGGAAAATGCTGCTTTAAGAGATATGAAAAACATGATCCAACATGCCATCACTGTTTTACCTGCAAAGATGTTTTAGATGCAAGCCCAGGAAAGAGATTTCCTAGACCTGATACCCCATCCTTAATCTAAATGCTAATGAAATGTTTCTACATCTACGAATAATGACTTCTTTATACATTAGCGGGATTTTGGGTCAGTTTCATACTGTTTGGAAGTCTTTCAAGTGTAATTCAACCACTTGGCATGGAGTTGACAGCTGATATTGCTTATCCAGTTAGTGAAGGAACTTCAATATCCGTAGTTACCTGGTTTATCATGTTGAGCATGTTCATCTTCTTGCTGATATTGAATTCAGTCCCTAGTAAGTATTTTCCTTTTTTGCCTGAAGTGTATCTGTAATGTTTTATTTACAGCTGAATATCAATATTTTATATATTGTGTGGTATAGATATGTACACTACTTTTGTGAATATATTATATTCCTTCAGTTGATTTAAAGAATTAAAGGGGATGAGAAATAAATAAAGAATTCAAGAATTAGTGACATTTTTACTGAAAGCTAGACCAGAGACTGTGGCATGCTATTGATTGAGTCAAAACAGAGTAAAATTTTATCCTTGCCTTTCCTTGTGATATGTTCAAGTGACTATTTATATGAAAAAATATTTATAAAGATTGGAAAATATAAATCTATATTCCTATGGATTGTTGTCACTCTGTGTATATTTAGCAATGTCCAATTCTCTATTCAGATCAAGATATTTCCATGTACTTGGTGTTAATTTTTACTGGCCTTGCTGCTCCATTTTTAGCTATGTCAGCGAAGAATGAAAACGTTCGACTTGAATTGGATAAAAATACAAGAACATCAAACAGGCATAATCCTAGAAGTATAGTTAACTAGCAGTAGTTACTTAAGAAATTCAGTCCAGTTGCGAAATTAGGATGTGAGCAAGACTTCTTGAATATGTGTGCAAAACGTTTGCTATGTTTATGTGAAAAATTTTAACTTCTATTATTGAGAGTCTGAAATTCTGCCAAGGATGCAAAATTTCGACCCTGACTTCTGGGATTTAAAAAATGGAGTTTCAGCCCCACGGCTCTGGTTTAACATTGATAGACAACTTTCATACCTAAACGAATGATCTTAATTTGCCATCTTCTAATGCTTAAATATCATTTTATATTTGTTATTACCAAAATAACCATTTTAACCTCCTCAATCAACGCTGTTATATAGAGTAACATGCTAACCTTGTACATCCTAAAATCATATACAGCATTGCATTTTTAGTTCTATTATTACTGGTTCTTACTTTTGTGCTTTTAGTCCTGCTCTAAGTGCATTATGAGATAATAGTGTCTGTAAAATGTGCAATATTGTAAATTTATGGAAACTAAATTGTGCAATTGAGTTTTCGATTTATCGTTATATAGATTGTAAATCATATGTAATATATATTATTATTATTTCACCGCATATGTTTGTGCTCAATGCACTGTTATGGACATACTAGTATTTCCTTCTAGTGATGTAGTTTGGCTTTTATAATGTTAATGTTGTAGGCTCGCAGCTTAGTGTTTCATCACCAACATTCATAAACTGATCAGTGGTTGAATTTATAATAATATCCATCTGTATAGAACAATAGCGATACCATATCGATATCATATTCATCGCGTATACTAACGCTAGAAAAGTCTTACAGACGTCTTGGCCTACGTACCTGCGTGAGTCGGAACGTCTGTTTACCCTTGAAAATTGTCGTTCTTGTATGTATATTTTTGAAAACGTACGTCGTAACGTGTAGATTGCTGTTTATCAGATTCCTTGATTACTTTAGTAATACTCATTTAGTGAGTATTGGAGTGACACCAATCATTTAGTGAGCATAGGAGTGATACCAATTCAAATTCCAGATAGGTTGGCGTAACCTAGCGTTCACATAAAAAATTATCTAAACAGTTTCTTCAAAGTGGACAAGTTTCTTGATGCTGGAGAAGCACTTAATGTAAACACATTCGAGACAAATGCATTTTATATTTCTAAACCAAAAGAAAACGAACGAAAATGTAGTCAAAAAAATATCGAGTACTCAATCAAATTATAAGACTAGCATAATTTAATACTGAGTTATTATCATACTGTCACAAAACTCTTTTTCATCTGCGCATATAGTTTGTAAATCCGGGGCTTTTGTAGTACAGGTCAGTTCCAGAATGCTGACTGTCATCGCAGCTACTCAAGCACTTGCTGAGTATGTTCCACTAAGCCCGTATAGATCATATATTTCATTACTATTGCAGTTTCACACGTATTTTTGGCCATCGCCTTTTCCTGTACAAACAAAAAAAACAGTAAACGGACATTGATAATTTATGTATTGTTCACCTAGTTAGGAACAAGGAGTGATGTATTGTAACTATCGCCGTTTTTCAATGACTTGCTTTCCCCAGGTGTGACTTGGTGCAGTCATACAAAACGGGTAGTCTCAACTCCCAAAGGTGAGTTAAAGACAAGACGTCTAAAGTTTCGGTAAAATTCAGGTCGGAAACCTTTGCGTTAAGAATGTATTTACTATATAAATAGACATAAAATCAGTATGTATTAGAAATACTCAGAAATGTTACTTGAATACTTATACTTTGTTGGAAAACAACTGATTTCTTACCTCTGTTGGAGACGAAAGTGGAAGATGAGGAACACTTTTAATTGTAGGAAATATAATTGGTTTCCAATTTCCCAGTCTCGTCCGTATCCTTGAACAGGTACTTTTAGATTTCTTGTTATACCGTGATGTTTCTGCGGCACAGCTCTTAACAGATGTATCACAAATAGTTTTAATTTCCCCATGCCGCAGCATTGTGTCATCAGATGCATTAGTTACGCATCCAATAGCATCGTCGCAATATTCTGTTATTTTGCTTTCACGTTTTTCGTCGCTGTTGCAATATGTGTGTGTCGGTGTGCACTGATTTAAGTCTTCAGAATAAGCACTATTCTTGTTCGTGTTAGCCTTTTTTTCAATATCGTCCATGTTCAGTTTTTCTAAAACCACGCAGGCATGAGACTTGTCGGATGTCAAGTGTTCAGATGCCCTAAGCGAAGAAGGATCAATATCGACATCTATTTTGTCATCTCCTTCATTAGGATTTAGTATTTCTGTTTTTTTATATTTCTGACCATATTGGCTTGAATCGTTCGAGTGATGCCGTTTTCTTGTGCAATCCGTGCACTGATTCGCGCTTGCTTCATTTTCTGTTGTATCTTTAACAATTGCTTTATTACTTATGCTAATGCCAGCTTGTTTATTCTTGTTGTTCGAGGCACTATTTGGTAGTATGGAATCGGAACTGTTGTTGGAAATTAGAACATAATTTTTATGTTCGCGGAGATATTTATACTCATTACTATATTCTTCCTCTTCGCCAACAACAATTATATCCGGAGCCGTATTTTGCCGCCATTCATATTGGATTGATTTTTTCGCGGAATTGTTTTTATTTTTATCACGAATAGGCGCTTTAGTTATTTCTGTGTCCGTTTCTTTCTCATAATTTTGTTGAGAGTCAACGCTGAAAACAACTTGGTTTTGATATGTTAAAGCAGTCCTATTAATGCTTTGTTGTCCCGTACCTTGAGTCTGAAAATCATTCACGAATTGTTTTTTACTTTGCTCACGTATAGACTCTTTAATCGTTTTTGTTTCCGTTTCTTTCTCATAATTTTGTTGAGAGCTGACGCTGAAAACAATTTGGCTTTGATGGGTTAAAGCAGTAGTGTTAATGCTTTGTTGTCCGGTCTCTTTAGCTTGAAAATTATTCATGGACAAGTTTTCAATTTTCTCACGAATAGGCTCTTTAGTCGTTTTTGTTTCCGTTACTTCCTCATTATTTTGTGGAGAGCTAACGCTGAAAATGACATGGTTTTGATTGGTTGAAGCAGTAGTATCAAAGCTTTGTTGTTCCGTACCTTGAGTCTGAAAATTATTCTTGTTTCTTGTCAAATCGCAGTAATTGTCATTTGCAGTATGTTCTGAAATCAGCATTCCCGCTGCATTTTTGTTGCCAGCACACTGTTGAGGACTAACGTTGGAAATAACTTGGTTTTGATGGGTTAACGAAATACTATCAATGCTTTGTTGTCCCGTACCTTGAGTCTGGAAATTATTATTGTTCTTTGACAAATTGCAGGCATTGTCAGATGCAGTATGTTCTTCTGAAATCAGCATTTCCGATGCATTTTGGTTGCCAGTACACTGTCGAAGACTGACATTGAAAATAACTTGGTCCTGGCAGGGTAAAGAAATAATATCATTGATTTTATGTCCTGTAACTTGAGTCTGCAAAGTATTATTGTTTTTTGTGCAAATGTTGTTATGTTCAGATTCAATATTCACTGGCGTCGATCTTGCTGGTGTTTCTTGGGTACCAGCACACTTCTGAAGGCAAACGCTAGAAATACCTTGTTCTTGGTAGGGTAAAGCAATATCCTTGCTGTCATGACCCGTTATTGGAGTCAGCAAACTTCCATTGCTTTCTGTGAAAATGTTTTTATTATCAGATGAAGCAATTGCTGGTGTCATCAATCTTGATGCATTTATGCTTCCCATACACTGTTCATTGCTATCTTTATCTTTGCGCGTGTCTGAATTGCAATCATCCGATTTGATCGAGAGATTGTTGACTTCGCCTGACCCACGAAGCTCTTCTGCTGGAAGGAGATGCCCGACAGCATGTCGCTTGTCCATGCTGTTTAACCAGATTTCGAGTGACTCTGCGTTTTTGATAGGATGTATATGCAACGATGAATTAGTACCAGAAGCTTTTCTTTTCAATTCGTTTGTTATTTTCTGAAATATTTGCGCAGTTTTGTGGTCTTTGTTCACAGGGTTTTGGGAGGGTACAGAATTTTTTTCGTCCGCGTTCAAATCATGCTCAGGGGTTGCCATTTTCACGAATTTTGAATTTTTTCTGGAGTGCTTCGGTACACTTTTCACTTTTCGAGAAACACGAGTGTCGGAATTTTTTTTTGAAGAACGAGATTTATTTGGAATTGCTGGTTGGTTTCTGACTGTTAAACTCTCATTTGACTGAACGTTACCAGCGTAAATAAAGTTTGGAGCATTGCCAAAATAATGAAGAGTGTTTGCTGGTTTCAATGATGTCGTCGATAATAATTCCGCATTACCTTGAAATGATAAATATTGGTAGCTTCTATTTCGTGGAACTTCTTTGATAAGCAAACCTGCTTCGGCGTGATTTATATGCTGTATATGAAGATTTGTGTTCACTAGATTACCATGAGACATTGTTGGACTTGGTAATGTTGCGGCCATCATTCCGTGATTGTTATATGCTGCCCATTGTGTTTGCTGATTTTCTGTACAAACTTGACATCTAGTTCCATTCTGGGATGTCCAGCTACTACTGCCAAGTTGAAACTGAAGAGGTTGTTGTGCAATTTCATTATTGTTACAAAATCTTGTTGGTGCAGTTCGAGGCAGTTGGTGAGTAATATGATTATTGATCACTGTTAAATTTCTTTCAACGTCTCCAACATTTGATACATCCATAGCATTGATAATAGACGCGTTGGAACTTAAAATATCATTTTGTTGACCACAAAAACGTCTTTCATAGTGAGAATTTGTATGATTACTGGTATTAGCGACCGGTATCACAGGTAATTGCGATACCATGGAACATCCATGATGTTGTACAGCGGACATAGAGTTTTTAGCCGCTGAAAAGCTAACGGGCAGAGAATGTTCCAAAGACCCATGACCAGATGGGATAGGCATCTGCATAAAGTGTTCTGAAGTACGCTGATTGTTGTAATTTTTTATTTTATTTTCTAAAGCACTACAATATACGTCGTTACTTCTCTGAATATTGGAATATTCACTGCTGCTTGCTCCATGTTCTGTCGAGTGTGGAAGTTCAACCGATGAATTATTTCGACTCTGATTGTTAGTACCTCCAATGATCTTTGTTGAGTGGTTGTTAATTGGTAGATGATGAGGTTCTGAACTGCGGTGCAGGATTATGTAGTCGCCCGAATTGACAAAGCTTTGCTGTGGGCACTGCATATTTGGACGAGTCCATGCGTAACCGTTTTTTCCATTCATCGGCACATTAGCTCGGCTTGTATTTGGCGGTGATTCAAAGCTGGAACAAATCTGAAATTAGTCAGGAATTAAATTACGACAGCAGAATCAAAATTAAATTTATTGCTTGGGAAGATATAAATTATCACTGCATTAGTTATCTTGATCACAAAAAATGTTATCCTTTCAAACACACTCTGAACATTTCAATCCCGTTTTTGTGGATCATTTCATTTTTTCACAATTCGATGAAGTTTTTTCACGAACCCGGATTATATACCGTATGTGGAATTCGCAGCTTGGTAGCTGTTTTTTCTGGTCTTATCGACCTGAACTGCTTCTAGTTCTGCGCCAATCGGCATTTACGCACCGTAATGCATCATCATAATTCTATAGTTTTATATAGTTTCAGTAGCTAGCCCTATCGATATTTCAGTGGTCGGTTGTAACTTGTACCTGAGCTACGGCTACATCTTGTATTTTGCGTCACGTAATTAGGCTTGGTAATCCAACTAAAATCGGTGATGCGATAACTAGGGATGCCACTTTTAGATTTACGAATCGGATCGATTCGAATCGCATCTTTTCCGAATCGATTCGAATCAGATTTACGCGATTCGGAAAAGAGAGCGATTCATTGGGAAAAAAAACATTGAACGTTTGTTAAATCGTTGTTTTAGGCAGCTCTAAATCTGCCGAATGCGTTTATGCGGCACTCCAAATAACACCAAATTACGGGACTGTAAAAAAACACTGAACGTTTGTTAAATGTTGTTTTCGGCGGCGTGTAAACTGCCGAATGCGTTTCTGCGGCACTCCAAATAACACCAAATTACGGGACGAAAATAAATGAAAAAAAGTTTTTCGTGATTGACTTTTTTACTTATTTGCCGTCATTTGTTACAAGTTCGACACAACACACACTTTTATGCATCACTCGAGATGATGTGTGGCGTACTTTCCACCGAACTGCGAGTTCAGCTTTCCACTGAATAGCCTAAGTCTCTATTATGCGCGAATTTAAATGGATCGTATACCTGAAAATTCGTGACAATTTTGATGAAAATTTCCAACAGCACACCTGCGTTGCGACCAAGTTATTGTACGCCCTGGCATGATTGGATAAAGAATCAGCTACCGACGTCTAGATAATATTTAATTTTGATTGAAATTTAATTTAAACTTTGTTCTGAGTGAAATAAATCGCGTACATTTAGGAGTAAATAATACTTGAGGAATGGCAACTTGTGCACTGTTTTACATCAACACTTGCCAGATTTTATACCAGACCAAGCATACTGTGCGAATGTCGTCTTACTTTAGCCCCAGGGACCATGTTTGATCGAGATAAAGCGTCGACCAATTATCGCTCGTCAACGGGGCGTTCATTGTGCACATTTGGACTTTCTGAATTACGAAATTAAAGTAGTCGACGATAATAATGAAGCCCGAGTTAGCCAAGAACGCTGTTAGTCACAATTAATATTGTCTCTAATATTTATGGAAATTTTTGTTCGCAATCGTAGTCGGGTGAAGGATTGTTTTTCTCGAAATTAATTTAATTGTGGTTAATTTTATCGTCTTCAATCATATTCTTGCAAGCATTTCCAATTGATAGTAATTCAGATGTAATTAGAATGTTTTTGTCGTATTACTCCATGCTGCTAGCATAAATATAAAATATTGTACTAAAATTTTGAAGATAAAGAATCGGTAATAAGGCCGGCCTTAATTCAATATACCAAGAAGTGAAATGCCACAGTCACATATACTGGTGTGGGACTAGGGAAAGCAGTCCTGTTACTGTGTTTATGACATAACGGTACAACTGTTCTCTGCTTATTTTCTCATATGAATTCCATCAAACTGCCTCAGTCTTGATACAAATATAACACAATAATACCTCAGTAGGCTATTGTAAGACTCACAGATAGGTTGCAACAGCAAGTTTTTCATCAATTCCTTTATTGGTGATATCTATGACCTACATCTTTTTGTATCACGATGGAAATGAGTGTGGATTATTCACTGAAAACCCCTTATCATCCTTGCCATATTGCATATTCCATTTTTAGTTCCATATTTGAGCTTTTTTGTGACTTTGAGCAAACATACGCATGCAATAAAATGAAAGCTTAATGGAATCAGATTCGGAAAGATTCGATTCGAAAAAAATGTATCCAGAAGGGGCAACCCTAGCGATAACATTCACATCCTACGATATATATATCGAATTTTCCCTGCTATATCATACCAAAGTTTTACTGCTTTCACTCTTTACAACAAGCACCGGTATGCAAAACTAATGATACCTGGTCCTGAACTAGCGGATAATTAACATACGGTATATATATGAGGAAGCTACCTTATAAATAATTTATTTCAGAAATTCAGCAAGCTATTGACAGGCTGTTACTTCACTAAAAATCCAGAAGGGGAACAAAAATGGCCTAATTGGCGCGAATGGTTGTTTCCATTCTATGTATATAACTACCAGCTCGCCTCATGGTTAAATAAAACCATTAAATTGATGTTAACATAGCTTTATTGGCTATAAAATGGAACCGAATAACATTCGTATTGTAAAGGAAATAATTTCTATGTCTAAATCCTGTTAATGTTAGTCATCCACGTTGCCACACCGATGAGTGCTTCAGAATAACTATTCAGTAAGACTTTGCCAATAGCTCAGTACGCATGTCTCGTCAAGCGCTTAGCCTTAAGACGTTAAAAATGTATAAAATCAAAATAAATCAAATCAAAGACATAATGATAACCAAAAAATCTTACCTGTCTTCGATGAGTTGTTGTACTAATATATGATGGACTCCTCACATTGTTCAAGTGATTCCGCGGTGTCAGCAATCGTTCAGTATTACTTTGCTGTGGTCGACATTGTGGTTTTATTATTGCTTCGTGTGAGATATCGTTTCTAACTGCGCTGAGTTCTTGCGTCTTGGGATTGCTGTTTGCTGAATCAGCTGAAACTGTGTGACAGTGGAATCCATCGACGCTTATCTCGTCCATTGTATCTTGTTTTGATTCCCCCGTGACCTTCCTTATCCCATCGGGTATATATATATATATGTTTGAACTATTTAATATAATTACAACGCATTTCGTTCTCAGAAGCTATGTATGTATACCCGCCTGAATGAAATAACTCATAAAATGGTGCGTTATATATGTGCGTGTTGTTCATATATTGCGATGTACGAATGCGTGTAACCGGCACCGGCTGTTTGCGCAAAACGGAAGTATCCAATTTCCTCAGTTTCCGTTGCTTTAAGTTTAGTATTTGCACGAAAATCACAACGAGAGTCGAATTGCTAATATTGCAGACTTGTTTGAATGGTTCTGTTGTCGATATAGTGAATCACTCAGTCACTCAGTTGTCAAACAATCGCTGTTAGCGTCAAAATGATTTCATCAATAATAATAATAATAAACATTTGATTCTCACGACTCCCTTCGACAGTGAAAATAGTATTCTGGCAAGCTTGAAAGGGCCCGAATTGTGACGCTAATTCCACTCAGTGAGACATTTATCTTGTCCACTCGCCGCGCATTTATTTAGTATTTTTTGTGCTTGCTGTTGAAATTGTAATGAGGTAAATATGACTCATTTATTTCGCTTTTCGCGCTTTTACTTAATAGTGACACCTTGTGTCCCATCACTAATTAATTAATAACTCGCTAATTATACGACATAATTCGCCCAAAATCAATAGGCTTCTGGTCCGAGATATGATGAATGCACATGCAAAATCTGGAGCAGATTCAGTCTCGCTTTTGTGAGATATCGCGTGCATCTAACAGACAAACAAACATACAGACAGACAGACAGACAAATACCTATCAACATACTTACTGATTAAAATCGATAAGTGACAAACTACATTTTAAAGCTGCTCTGAAATTTCAAAAAGCCAGCTATCACTTAGCAAATAGTCCCACACAAATAGACTAAATAAATTCTTTCAAATTATGTCTCAATAGTGTTTTAGCGTGAACAGAAGACTGTATATATATGACGTCCTATAGCTATATTATAGTAAATAACACGCTGTGTTTACAACTGAGCGATAATGTTGAATCGATATCTCAGGTCTGGTTTATATCTAACTTGTCATCCATGGCTTATTTGAAAAAGGAGGTTGTACACAACACACTGAAATAGACAATTCGTCTGTATCACAACTTTCTTTACTGCAGTCGTTACAATTTGAAGCAATTTCTCGAAAATTTTGGATTTTGTTTATTTCGAGAATGTATACAACGAAAGGAAGTCTAGATATCTATCTCTCTCTAGTAATCTCACTCGCAAGGCGACTAAGAAAACCTTCCGATAAACACTAAAGTGGTGTCTCTCGCGTATTTGAACAGCGGGGAAAAAACTTTTTGAAGGGAGGTGTCCATAGTTGCTTCGATTGTCGGAGGACATAGGGCCAGGGGTCGGGAACCTTTTTGGTCAAGAGAGCCATAAAATATACATATCTTCAATTGCATTTCCGTGCGAGCCATATAACATTTCTTCACTTAATCAGGCCTGAAATGTTCACTCAAAAATCAACACATACAATGTCAATATACATTTAATGTGATTTCTGATGCTGCATGTAGTCGCTGCGGGCCTTGAACGGTTGCTCACCTGCAGCCCAATGTGGAAATCTACGATACTCATCACCCTTTTTCGTTTAGGCATCTCCGTAGTGTTTTGAAAACTCTATCGCTCTGTGATGTCACAATATATGTTCCAGAATCCCCTTGTTTGTCACAATGCCTGTCTGGTAATTATCTTATATAACATAGACATGTGCTGGACGCGCGTTGGGACTCAAACGTATTGGGAATTTCCTGCCAAATTTGGCTATAAAAGAATTTGAAATCTCGTAACAACAGTAAGCTTAGTCTTGGGATATTAGATTTTTCTGAGAGCCATATGCCGTCACCAAAAAAGCCATATATGGCTCGCGAGCCATGGGTTCCCGACCCCTGACATAGGGTTTTCAGCCCTGGCTACAACACCCTTGCATACTTATACAGTATACACCTACTAAGCTGTCAGCGTAATAGAGCAATAATAAATGGAGTTAGTCTCGCCTTGTAGCTAGCCCAAACCAATACCTTCATTGATTTGAATGTTAACAGTGGTGAAGTTGTGGTGAAATGCTAGTTAAATGCTCATTATTATTATCAATAATATGATGTCATTGTGAAATGCTATTTAAACGTTCACCGACTGACGCGTTTTAACTGTATTGAAGTTACGGTGGAATGCTACCTAAAACGTCCAATGACTGACGCTTTTGAACAGTAAGGAGGTTCTGTTACCCGGATGAGGATTACCTGTATACTGTTCGTTAGACAAAGTAGTTGCAAATTTCGCAAAGGATGGCTCGAGTATGAGTTCTTGATGCCTATTTTGGGTGTTTTTGCGCTTACTAACTGGTTTACTAGTTCGAAACAATAATTTGGGTAAATGGGCACAAACGCTTGCAGCGCTCGCTATGAACCTTTCTCTAGGTTTTGCTCATTTTCCCGATCTTTTCGTCGCCCTTGTCTGTGTTTTCCATTTTGTGTTGTCAGGTTGTAGACGAAAAATCGAAATGAAATTGTATTGTATTATATTGTAATTTGATTTAAAATATTAAACTACTAGTCATTTAAATGGACCGATAAGCAATTTTGAAATTGTGTATCGCAGATTTGGGGAACCAATATTTTACAAGTTTGACTGAATCGAAATCATTTGTTTATAGTTTTGGGAAATTAAAATAGTGTCCTGGCAGACCACAAACCCTTCACTAAATAATGGTAAATGTACCAAATGAATAATTCTTTGTGAATTAAAAAGCCTACGGCACCCGGTATTCCCTAACTGATCTGTCAGCTTAATAGAGCAATACTAAATAGAGTTGGTTTCGCCTTGTAAGTCGCCCCAAACCAAAACCTTCATTGATTTGAATGTTAACAGTGTTGAAGTTGCGGTGAAATGCTAGTTAAATGCTTATTAATAATAAAGGTATTGTGAAATGCTAATTGAACGTTCAGCGACTGACGCGTTTTAATAGTATTGAAGTTACGGTGGAATGATACCTCAAACGTTTAATGACTGACGCTTTTGAACAGTAATGAGGTACTATCACCTGGTCACCTGAAACTGTGAGTCATTAAAGTGTTATGATAGCCGATTTTAAAATTGTGTATCGCAGATTTGGCGCACTAGTATTTTATAAGTTTAACGAAATCAAAATCATTTATTTATAGTTTTGGGAAATTATAATCATGTCCTGATAGACCACAAACCTTAATTAAATAATGGTAAATGTACCAAATCAATATGCTTTGTAAAAAGCAAAAGCCTACGGCACCCGGTATTCCCAGCCGGTCACCCATGCAAGTACTAACCGAGCCCGACGTTGCTTAACTTCCGAGATCGAACGAGATCGGGTGTATTCAACGTGGTATGGTTGTAGGCGATATAGCAGCCTATTATTCGGCTATTTATATTTAGGTATCGCGTTCAAAACGAGAGTTCAAATCGAGAGACGAAGCGTAAACCGTACAAAATGATTTATTTGGATGAAATCATTCCAGTTCAATTTATTAATTATCACAGCCTCCAGAACATGGTCAAAAACATGAAAAAATAACTAGATACCATACATAATCTTTATGCCACCATTCGCACACCGAATTTTAATCTGCTACGGAGTCAAACAACTTTAAAAATCTTACTAATTCTTAAATAAAACTGAATTGTCCTCCCAGTCATGGCATTTAATGACGCCAGTCTGTGCAGCTTAGGGCTTAAAGGTAAAATAGGGGTATAAAGAGCTGGATATTTTAAATCCATGGATTTTGTTCCGTATTGGCGACGACAATCCTTCTTAACTTATGCTTGTATTTGCTATATATACTTCAAGTTGCCGTATTCCCTGGCTAATAAGTCGCTTTTCTAGGCCCAATTTTTCAGCTCGATTTCAGGGGGGCCGTCTTATTAGGCTGGTAAGCTTATTTTCTTTTCTGTGGTCCGCTTATTTTCTTCTCAAACATGATTTGAATTAACGTTATATTTGGATTGATATATTTCAATATGTAGGCTACTCGTTGACGCCAAAAGGTCTGCCAATCATGATATTTAACAGCGATCGCTGGTAAAGGTAAGATCGGGCCCCAAAATAAACCCGACCCGAGCCCGACTGATTAACTGAATTTGCAGGTCCGACCCGGGCCCGTGGGTATTAAACCTGAACCGAGTCCGACTAATTAACTGGATTTGCAGACACTTTTCTCGCTCAAGACAGATTTTCGGGCGTGGTCGTAAACATTACCGCGTTTTTGAACTTTATTCGTTAGTTTTCAGTTGTGTTTCGGAAATATAAATCAGATAATTCAAATATCACTTTGTCTTCTTAGGAGTTTTAATTTAATTGCAGCAATAAAAATTAGTGTAGAAATAGCTGTCATAGACTTGGCTTAAATTCTTTGCAGGTACTTTTGAAAACAAAATGTTGTATGCCATGGATTATAATGATGGTTTGAAACAAATACCCCATTTTACTCGAAACCACTCTCAAAATAAAACAAGAGAGCAATGCTCAAATATATGGACACGCTGAACAATTCCCCAAAAATCATATGCGGTGACCAACGACTAACATACCGGCGGTGACTTACCAGTACCTGTATCGGGGTACCGTGACGGTACAGGGACTGTAATAGATATTTTAGGTCCTGTGACAATTGGAACATCAGTTGAAATATCTCGTGATATGAGTCAATTATGTACCGTATTATCGGATCAGGTGACCGAACCACAGTCAAACATTTCAGATAAAAACGTTACTAAATAACATGCGTCAACTTAACACCAGCCGAATCGGGGTACAATTTTTGGTACAGTGACTGTCATAGCCGTTTAGGGCTGATGGACAATTCGACTACACGGACAACTCGCCAGGCCTAGGGTGGTGTAGCCAGTCTGCGGACAATTTCATTCAAACCGCTATAAAACAAAAACCAATATATCTAACCCGTTAATTTTTTCACCGTGGGTGCATTGGCGGCATTTATTCTACACGCTAAACCTCGTATTAACTTTCTACGACAAAGGGTTGAAGCTATACAAATCCCCAAAGTACGGCACTCGAAAGACGTATTTGCGACCGAACGA